AAGGCAGCACAGGAGAGGAGCCTCCCGTGCCCTGCCCTGCCCATGCCGTGTACCCACCTGGTGATGTCGTACACCAGCAGGGCTCCGGCTGCCCCTCGGTAATAACTCCGCGTCACCGACCTGTGGGGCCAGGGGGACCCAGTCACCCCCAAGGCTGGGATCTGCCCCAGGATTGCCCCCCTCTACGAAGAGAGACTGGTGGTTTGGAGACCCCCCCTTCACTGCTGGCCCATCCTGCCAAAACCTGGCCTTCCTCTGGTTAAGATATGATTTCTTTCTCTGCCTCTTCATACCCTGCCTCTCTCAATTTCTGTCTCTCTTAGCTCTCTATCTGCCTGTCTGTGAGTCTCTCCCTGACCTAATCTCTATGGCTCTTTCTGTATCCCTGCAAGTCTGTTTCTTTCTCTGTGTCTCTCTTATGTGTGTATCTTTATAGTGTTGTTTTGTTTTGTTTTGTCTGCAGTGCTGGGGATGAAATCCAGGGCCTTACACATGCTAGGTAAGCACTCTACCAACTGAGCTACACCCCTAGCTGTGTGTGTCATTAATTCTCTGGTTTTTTCTATCTCTTTTTCTTTCTCTTTCTCTGGCTCTCTCGTAATCACATTTGCTTTCCCTCTCACTTGTTCATTCAACATTTCTGAGCATCTCCCCTCTCCATGGCCCTGAGTAAGTGCTATGCAGTATCTGCTTATCCCTCTCCTACTATGACAAGCTCAAGGCCTCCTTCCTGGGAGGGTCAACTCTGTATTTCCCTGCCTGCCCAGCCTGGATCCCTCTGGAACTCATGCAATCATTCCACAAACATTAACTGAGCACTTACTGCAAATCCTGCCCATGTTACCCACCTGTCTCTCCTTCACCTTCTGTCTCTGTGCTCTACATGCTTCACAGTCAATCAACACAAAGTGTTAACTCAGCAGCTAAGTGCTTCCTAGAGACCACACTCTCCATGGACTGAGTTCCCTGTTTCTCCCTCCCATTCTCGATTCTCAGACTCTCAGTTTCAACATCTACCAACTTTTCTGCACACATTTTCTGAAGACTTACTTGCTGAGTCCTACATATCACATTTCTGTCTCCCTGCAACATGCCCATTTCTCCATCCCCTGGCTATGCCTATCAATATTCCCTGTCTCTCTCTGACTCTGACCTGTTTCTCTTTGTGTCTCCTCACTTTGTTTATGGTTCTCTTCATCTTCACCTCTCAGTCTCTCTCGTTCCCTTTCTGAGAGTGTGTCTCTCTTTCAAGTTTGTACTTATTTTCTGTTTTAAAGTCTCTCTCTCTCTCTCTCTCTCTCTCTCTCTCTTTCGATAGATCTCCACTAACTTTGCCTGGGCTGGTCTTGAACTCTCCATCCTCCTGCCTCTACCTCCTGAGTATCTAGGATTACAGGCATGCACCACCATGCCTGGCTAAAGTGCTCTACCTTTAAGCTGTGAACCACAGTCTCTTGTCCCTTTCTCTTCCTCTTCCTCTACTCTGCCAGCCCTCTCGATGTCTTCCTCCTCCCACTGTTGTGTCTCCAATGACTCTACACACCTCTCTCCCTCCTTCCTCTTTGGGAACCCCAGTAACCTACCGAAACCTCTCCTGGCCAGCAGTGTCCCAAATCTGTAGCTTCACGGTCTTCCCACCCACGTTGACTACCCGGGATCCAAACTCCACACCAATCGTGTGGTTAGAATCCTGTTTGACTGGAAAGAAGAGGAAGAAAAAAGGCAGTGCAGAGGCCCAGAGGAGCCCACATCCTCCAAGGCCTCCTCCACTTCTACAAACCCACTCTCACTCTCACTTTGAGAATCTAGCAGAGAGCAGATACCAAGGAAAGGGCCAAGACGCTAACACTGGAGTTGTACAGATGGCCAAACCTACCCACCCTACCAACTGCCCACCTGCCCACACCAGGCCTCTATCCATAGCTCAATGCTCCCAGGACCACTGCCAGAAACTCACACTTGTTCTCAATGAACTGATGAAGGAGACATGATTTGCCAGTTCCTGCACTGCCGATCACCAGGAATTTGAAGAGGAAGTCTGAGCAGTCAGAGCCAAAATCAAGGATACCCACAGGGAGAGAAAGATCAGGGAACAAAATAGAAAACAAAGAATTAGGAGAAAAACTGACACAAGCAGAAACAGCCAACTACAGTAATAGATTACTTTTTTTCTTTCTTTACTGGCAGTGCTGGGGATTAAACCCAAGGCTTTGTACATGCTAGGCAAGCACTCTACTTACTGCTGAGTTGTACCCCCAGCTCAACTCTTACATAGTGCTTACTATGTGCCAGGCACAGTTCTAAAGATCTTTACTTACATCAACAGCTCACTTAATCATCAGAAAACTCTAGGAGGGAATATACTAACAATTATCTCCATTTTCCAGGTGAGAAAAGTGAAGTCAGAGAAATTAACTGACTTGCCAAGGTCACACAGCTAGGCAGAGATGAATTTGAAACCCAGATCAAAGGTCTCCATAGTGTAAGATCTTAGTTATTACTAAAGCCTCTTGAAAGGATGGCATTTAATCAAGGATTTAATCAAAAATGACAGGGCTGAGGATGTGGCTCAAGTGGTAAAGGGTTTGCATAGTGAGCTCAAGGTCCTGAGTTTAAACCCCAGTACTGCCAAAAGAAAGAAAGACAATAAAACAATGTAGCCTCTGCTCTTTTTTTTCTTTTTTTCTTTTTGAGGTACTAGGGATTGAACCCAGGACCTCAAGCCTACTAGACAAGTAAGCACTCTATCACTTGAGTCATGCCCCCAGACCTTGTTTTTATTTTATTTAGAGACACAGTCTTGCTAGCTTTGATGGAGCAGGCCTCAAACTAGAGATCCTCCTACTTCTGCTTTCCAAATAGTTAGAATTACAGGTGTGAGCCATCATGCCCAGATTTTGTTTTGCTTTTTGGTTTTGAACCTGGGTCTATGTAACTGTGAATGACCTGGAACTCACTGTGTAGCCCAAGCTTCAAACTCCATCCTCCTGCCTCCGCCTCCAGAATGTTGGAATTACTGGCGTGCACCACCATGCCCAACCACCTCTGTCCCTGTTGACTTCACCTTCTACCACCGTCTTACTCATTCACTCCCTTATAGCCTTCAGGTTATTCCCTGCAGGTAACAAGCTGGTTGCACCTCAGGGTCTTTGCGCTTGATCCCTCTGCTTTTCTGTATTTGTTGAATACAGAATGGTGGCTGCATCCGGGCACCAGTGGCTTATGCCTGTAATCCTAGCTACTCAGGAGGCAGAGACCAGGAGGATCATGGTTTGAAGCAAGCCCAGGCAAATAGTTCTCGAGACCCTATCTCAAAAAAAGCCATCAAAAAAAGGGCTAGTGGAGTTGCTCAAGGTGTAGATACTAAGTTCAAGCCCCAGTACTGCAAAAAAAAAGAATGGTTGCTGTTCCTCTGACTCCTAAGCCAGAGCTTCCTAACGCCCCCTGAGCCCCCTCCACCCACTTGATATTGTACATTCATACTGATTTTCCAATTCCCAATCTCTACTTCCCCACCTTCGTCCAAAAACCCTTGGCCCCTATTCCTCAAGCTTAAATCCCACCCTTGCCACTAAGTCCCAACCCTAACTCAAGGACAACCTATCCCAACACCATTTCAGATCTCTCAAGCCACACCAGCCCCAGACAGCATCTCTACAGGGTTCCCTCTAAGCACGACCCCTGCCATTCACAGTCAGCTCCGCCCCATCCACTCAGACTCCGCCCCCATACGTGAAGGTTCACCTCTTCCCTTAAGGCCTACTTTGAACCCAACATGACCCATTCCCTCCAATCCCGCCCCAAATCTAGTTAACCCACGCACCAGACCCTCAGGCTCCACCCATATCGATTAAGTTCAGCCTCAGACCCACGAAAACCCTCCCAGCATCCACTTAGGCCCTGCCCCCATAGCGGAAGACCCCGCCCCCTGGCACACAAAGCCCCGCCCCATTCCCACAGGCCGCATCTTCTGTGGGCCCAGTCCCGAGATCCCAGCCTCGGCCCACCACCCTCACCGTAGGTCTCGGCCATGACTCGGTCGCGGCCGCTGAGGGCCGCAATATGGCGCCGCGGCCGCGCCTGCTCCTCGGCTGGCAGCCGCTCGGCTCCGGCTGCAGCCCCGGCTTCTTCCTACTCCCGGACCCCGCGCCGCCACTTCCGCCTCCACCCCCAAGCTCCGGCGCGATCCGCTAGAGCTGCGGGATACCAGGCCACGCTTTCTAGAGGCAGTGATTGGCGGACTCGGCGGACAGAGGACGGGGTAAGAGACGCGGATTGGTGGTGTGAGAGGGGCTAGTCGAAAGAGGAGGGGCCAAGACGAGCGATTGGCGGAGCAAGTGGGAAGGGGCGGTGCAAAGATGCTCCACCCAGCGGAGGAACGGATTGAGTCAGGAGTCCAGGGACAGAGCTAAGACTCGGGATTGGATAAGAGCGGATTTGGGGGCGAACATACAGATGCAAAGGGGCAAGGGCACGACTGACAGAGTTGGAAGAGGAATCGATCTTGAGTTGGTGGGTGCGATTTCTGCTCCCAAAGGCAGGAATGAGGAAAACTAATACGCTCAGAGCTCCTTTCCACCTCCCTTTGCAGATAATCTTCAAAAACACCCTTGCTCCAAGGGAGGGGGATGTAATCTAGCGGTAAGAGCGCTTGCCTAACGTCCGCAAGGTCCTGGGTTCAATCTACACCACACACACAAAAAAATTCGTTGGCTGGGCATGGTGGTATACGCCTGCAATCCCGGAAGTCAGACAAAACAAAACAGGGCATCTGTGATTTACGTTCTCTTCATAGTCTGACTGGTTCATTCCCATAGTTCAACTCCCTCCCCTGTTCGCGTCTCACATCTGTTTAGGAATCCGTTGCTTCATCTGAAACTCAGCCTAGCAACCAGTGACATTACCATCTTCAGGGGGTTGATTGGCTAGATTCAGAAACCTGAGAAACATTTCTTTTGTACCTTCCCACCGCACCCCAAAAACCAGAGACCCAGCAGGTAGCATTTGGCCGATGTATTTGCATAAAGGTAGAAGGGAAAACAGCAGGGACCGCGGCAGGCTGAGCTCACTGGCAGTAGAAATCCCATTTCTGAAAGAGAGAAAGGGAAAACAGTGGAGAGAAACCCGTGATCAGACCACAACGCAGCTAGTGGTTTTAGCAAACTCTGGCAGGCCACATAGTTATGCAAATTGGCCTAGAGCCTTCTAACCTTTGCACCTACCAATTAGACAAGAGTCACCAAGCCTAGCCAGGTGATGCACACCTGTAGTCACATGCACTCCGGGACTAAGACAGGTGGATTGAGGCCAGCCTGGGCTACATAGCGAGACCCTGTCTCAAAATAATAATAATAATAATAACTCTCCATTTACAGGTGAGAAAATTAAGGCAGTGAGAGAATTTGTCCCTGACTAATCAGCAAGGCTGCTGGACAGCCAAGGATAGGTGCATTTTTGCCCATCATCAAAACCCAAGGGTCCTCCCTCCAGAACCCTGCCACTCCCAAGACACTCACATCTGTCTTCACATCAATTTTGCCAGGTTTCAGAGTCTGGTTCTCAAGAACAATGCTACTAGGGAAATAGCCAAAGCGTGCAGCCAGGTCTCCATAGTAATCTCCCTGAACCTGGGGAAAAGGAATTAAAAGCTTGGTCTGGAAAGATGGCACGCTCATTCCAGCTGAAGGCCTGTGCACTATCCCTTCTCCCTGATCACCACATGCCTGGCTCCATCCTTGCCATTTGAATCTGTTTAAATGTCACCTGCTCAGAAGCGCTCCCCGAGGATTCAATATTAAGTAGCCACCTAGTCTAGTCACTCTGTATTAATGCTCACAGCAACACGTTTGCTGGTATTTTGGATGGCTTGCCTATTGTTCGTCTCCCTCCATTAGAATAAATACCATTCGCTGTTGTATCTTCAGTATCTAGAAAATAACTTGGCCATGATGTGCTGATACATACCTATAATCCTGGTACTTGGAGAGGCTGAGGTAAAAGGATCCTGAGTTTCAGGTCATCCTGGGCTATATAGTGAATTCGTCAAGACCAGCTTGGGCTACATATAAACACTGTCTCAAAAAAAAAAAAAGTGCCGGACACTGGTGGCTCATGCCTGTAATCCTAGTTACCCAGGAGGCAGAGATCAGGAGGATCACAGTTTGAAGCCAGCCTGAACAAATAGTTTGCAAGACCCTATCTTGAAAAACAACCGTCACAAAAAAAGGGCTGGTCCAGTGGCTCAAGGTGAAGGCCCTGAGTTCAAACCCCAGTACTCCCAAAAAAAAAAAAAAAAAAATAAGGCACTAAGTAGCTGGCACTGCAATTGCTAAAGGGTAAAAATAAAGTAGGTCACAAAACGTCCCCCAGTCCCAAATCTTTCAGTGCCCGCCCCCTCTAATTTTCCCTTCAGGTGGAAGATGGGTTTACTCCCACCCCAGTCCCATATCCTTCCCTCTGTCACTCTCCCAAGACTCACACTGCCTCCCCAGAAGAGCCTCCCACGGCCCTTCAGCTTCGAAAAGACATACACCACTTGGCCCCTATAGATAGTCAGGAAACGGCAGTCAGGAGCCACGTAGTCCTGAAGGGCCACAGCCATGGAAATGGGATCTGGGGAAGGAATAGAAGAAATTGACAGCACCCTCCACACAGATCAGCAACCCAAGCCCCAAACTCCAGGCTCTCCACTCTTACAGCTGCATTCCTCATCCGCACACAGCTTCCGGTCAGCCAGCTTGGGCATGGGGCGGCCTGCCCCATTAGGCCCTGCAAAAGCAGACAGCAAGATGATGACAGCGAAGAGCACTGGGGACCCTGCCATCATGGACTATAGCGAGTGACCAAGTGGAGAACGGGGTCTCCAATTTCCTCCTACCCTCCCTCTCTCTTAAAGCACAAGGAAACCTGTGTTCTCACTCTTGTCCCCGCCCCAAACCAATTTCACCCACACCATCTACCAATGTTATCCGGCCAGAACCATTTCAGCAACAGGGTGAGGGTGGGCGGGGGTCCAAAGAAATGCTCAGATAGGCCCAAGGCATCCCAAGTTACTCCCCAAGTACAGCCACCCCCTCAACAATCAGAGGCCAGGACAGGCAGGTTGAGATATTTGGTTCTATCATCTGGAGTGGGTTTAGGTACCCAGACCCCTGCTCTCTCCCGTCCAGGGACAGAACCAGAGGAGCCAGCATGGAAAACCACCTTGGAATTTCCTGTGCGGAGGGGCAGAACAAGGCAGCCTTTTGATTGTGGGAACAGCTCCAACCTCAGTACTGAGTGAATACTCCACATTGGGTCTACGCCAGGCAGTGTCTCACCTCACTCACTATTCCTCCTCACAAAGGCCACTTGCTGACTGGATAGCCTGGGTTAAGCTATTCTTCCCCTCAGAGCCTCAACTTCCTTATGTGTAAAATTGGATAAAAGCAAATCGTTACAGAGCATCTACCAAGTGTATTTTCACTTATAGATACTGTGCATCACATATAAATTATATAAAGGAACTTGGGTTAGGGGTGTAGCTCAAGTGGTAGAGGGCTTGCCTAGCAAGCATGGACCCCTAAGTTCAAAACCCTAGTACTGCCAAAAAAAAAAAGATCTAAGAGGTATACCAACCAGTCACAATGTGTGGCCCTTATTTGGATTCTGATCCAAAGTGTATATAGATTTGTATATGCAAATTTTGAACATCTGAATAGAAATCAGGTATCTAGTACTATTTCAAAACTTTTTTTAGAACAGGGTGCTGGTGGCACACCTCTATAATCCTGGCTAGTTGGGAGGCTGAAGTGGGGCCAGTCCAGACAAACAGTTCTCAAGACATCTCCAAAATAACTAGAACAAAATGGGACAGAGTTGTGGCTCAAGTACAGGCACAAAATCCCAAATATAATCAAACCCTAGTCCCACCAAAAAAGGAATGAAAACCTGAAGGCCTCTGCTGGGAGAGACTATTAGCCAGTAAGTCAGGTAAACTACGCTGTGAAGCTAAGGATATTTAGACGAACAGGGATGCAGGTCAGTGGCAGAGCACATACCTGGCAAGCACAAGGCCAGTTCAGTTTCTAGCACCAGAGATGCCCCATTACTGAGAAATAACCAGCTGTGGGGACTGTGACCCATTTTGTTCATGAAGTCACAAAGTTGTAGCGATCACTTCATTTCCCAAACCCCAATTCTCTTACCTACTGCAGTAGCTTAACGTGAACATTTGAAGACTGGGGATGTAGCTCAATGAGTGGCACAGCACTTGCCTACCATGCTTGAGGACCTGGTCTTGATCCCCAGCACCACAAAGCCAACCAAAAAAACATTTATTATCACTATTTCTGTTTCTGTGGGCTGAAAATCTGTGCACACAGCTTAGCTGGGTGTCAAGCCAGCCAAGGCTGCAGTTTCATCTGAAGACTGGACTGGTGGAGGATGGGCTTCCCCACTCTCAGGCAGCTGTTGGAAAGATTCAGTTACTTACAGAAGCTGGACTGCAGGCCTTTGTCCTCACTGGCTGTTGGCTGGAGGCTTCCCCAGCTTCTTGCCACGTGAATCTCTTCATGGACAACTAGCATGGTAGCTGGCTTCCCCCAAAGCCAGCAAGAGAAAAGCTAGTGTTTGTAATCTTGTGAAAGTGACATCCCATCATTGTGCTATTCAGTAGCTCCTCACCCTCCTTATCCATGGTTCGCTTCCTATGGTTTGTTACCCACAGTCTGAAAATATTAAATGAAAAATTCCAGAAATAAACAATGTGATTATGTGTTCCTTTCTGATGAAATCTCACTCCATCCTTGTCCACTGTATACACACTGTAAATGCTACCTGCCCATTATTCACAAGTAGCCATTTCAGTTATCAGATGAATGGAAGTATTCCAGTGCTTGTGTGCCAGTCACTCTTATGTTACTTAATAATTCCCCCAAAATGCAACACTAGCAATGCTGCCAATGCAAATATGCCAGGGCTGGGGTATATTGGTAAAGTGCTTGCCTAGCATTTGTAAAGTCCTGAGTTCCATCCTCAGCACTGGGGGAGGGAAAAGAAACAATTGTACTTATACCAAAAAGCTAGGCATAAGCCAGGTGCTGGTGGCTCACGCCTGTAATCCTAGCTACTCAGGATGCAGAGATCAGGAGGATCAAAGTTTGAAGCCAGCCCCAGCAAACAGTTCGCAATACTTTATCTCAAAAAAACCCATCACAAGAAAAAGGGCCTGGTGGAGTGAAGCCCCAGTACCCCTGCACATGCACACACACACATGCACACACACAACTGTAAAATGCTTAGTTTTTGTAAAAAGGTGAAAGTTCTCAATAAGGAAAAAAAAATCCTCGGTTGAGGTTGCTAAGATCTACAATAAAAACAAATCTGTGAAATTGTGAAGGACAAACAATTCACACTAGTTTTGCAGTCACACTTCAAACTGCAAAGGTTATAGCCACAACGCATGGTGAGATGGAAAGAGCATTGTCAGCTTCTGTACAACCTGTGGGTTCGGGCACACAACTAGAGGGTTTTAGAACAATCGTAGCCCCCACAGAAAAGGAGGACTGCTATACTTATCTGAAGCAGGTCACTAGGTCCAGCTCACGCTCAAGACAAGGGGATTTCACAAGTGTGAATATCTGAGGGTGGTAATTGGCCATTTTAGAAATTGCTGACCATACTCAAAACTTTATACGTGACCCAAAGACAGCCACAGAAAGCTCCACAGAAACCCCCTGTATCCTCCTCCCTCTGTACTGCAGTAAACCAGGGCTCCTCAGAAATAGAATTCTGAAGACAATGCAAAAGGAGTTTCCCTTCTTCATAGGCCTCACTGAGCCCATTTCCACCCAAGACCTTTGCACTACCTTCAGACCTTCCCATGGTCAGCTGCTCCCAGTCTTTTGGGAGCACTCAGCTCCCAACTTCTAACCACTCTGTTCAATAATGTCCCTTCAGATTTCTTTTTCCATCTTCCTGAGAAAACTCAGACCTAGAGTTCATTCACGGGCCAAGGTCAGAATGATAGTGGTGAAGGATTTAAACTCGTTTCATCTGTAAATTTGCTTCAGAGACCCACATGCATAGAATGCATAGAACCATTCTCCAGAGGATCCACCTCCCTCCCAGCCACCCTTACCTCTAGACTGGCAACTCAGTTTTTTTTTGTTTTTTTGTTTTTTTTTGCCAAGCAAAGGATGGACACATGGACTTGGAGCCAGGGGGGGAGTTGTTCAGGGCAGAGATGCACCCATGAGCTCACACCATGAGAGCACACAGCAGCTTCACCCCAAAGCAGGTCTTTTCTCGATCACCCTGACTGTTTCCAACCCAGCAGTTCTGTTTCACTGGCACACAGTATGTGCAATCAGCTCATCAATTTCATTCACCGTGCATACCCTATCCCTTGACAGTGCTAGCACCTAATGGGTACTCACTAAATACATGCTCAGTTTAGAATTCTTACCAAGTACTGGTATGTGTGAGTGTCAAGTGAATACAAGCATTATCATGGCATTAATAAAGGGACTCTCCTTTACACAGGAAGAAAATGAAGCTCAGAACAGGACATCAGTCACCCGTGGGGTCACAGCTAAGGTGTTTGTTCTCAGAGTAGACACCAGGAGTGGCAGACCACAGAACTCACATGTCACAATCACTAGGTCCACAGTTCCCAGTGCAGTGGGTGAGATGTTTCCACTACATCATTCAGAGAAGATGGCAAACCCTTTCTCCTTCCTCTCTTTCAGACTACACAGAGAGCAGGCTGCACTGGGTGCTGGGAACCGTCACTCTACTACTGTTCCACTTCAATGCAGAGTGCAAAGCAGGAACAAGGGTGGGCTTAGAGCCCCAGCAGGAAATAGTGGTCAGAGAGAATGGGGTATCCTTACAGGTAACATCTCTGTGCAGTACACAACATGCCTAAAGGTACATGGCAGCCCTGAAGGATGATTTGAGACAAAATAGGAAAATGCTGCAGTACGTAAGTCTGGATAATGTTACTACGTCATTTTTGTGTTTTCCCAAAGTTGTGTCCCCCAAAATTTCAAGAAATCTAAAAGCCCAGGATATCCTGATGTGAAGGGAAGGGAACCATGAAAGGCAAGAAAACAGAACAGACAAATGGTTGTGAAAAACCAAACCTTAAAAAACCACTTTAATTCCAGCCTAACAGCGCCAGGTGCAATGTCTGGGGACAGACTCTGGGTACAATGCTGTGTGGCGACCACGCACTCACACACGGCTCTGAGAAGCCCCCAAGGGGGACTTACCTTCAGGGACTGAGCCAAGGGGGGAGGGTGGCCCCAGAATGGGGACTGGGGCAGTCCCGGGGGTTGGGGAAAGGTGCTACTTCTTGGCAAAGGAGATCTTCATGGCATTGTTCTGGGTGATCTTAAAGCCCTGCAGGGCATCGCGAGCTGCCCCTGCCTGTACCTCATTGTCAAACTCCACAAAGGCAATATCATGCCGCCCAGGGACCAGACGGACCTCCTTGAAGCCAGGGAACCTGTGAGAAGGGAAAGACAGAACTCAGGAACCCAACTCAGCACTTCCCAGAACATTCCCCCTCTACAGAGGCTACAGATGACACTCAATATGCTACAGGATAGGCCCTCATAACAAAAGATTACGAGAACCAGGTGCCAGGGGCTCATGCCTATAACCCTAGCTACTCAGGAGGCAGAGATGAGGAAGATCCAGGTTCAAAGACAGCCAGGGCAAATAGTTCGAGAGAACCTATCTTGAAAAACCCATCACAAAAAGGGCTGGTGGAGTGGCTCAAGGTGTAGGACCAAAGTTCAAACCCCAGTACCACAAAAAAAAAAAAAAAAAATACAGCCCAAATGCTAAGCTGAGAAACTCTACTGTAAACATACTATTTAATGAAAATCTTAAACAATGCAACCACAGCCTAGACCACCAGAATCCTGAAATCCCGCCTTTCCCCATCACTACTCACCTTCAGAAACAGCAGTCCTCACTCCTATGAAGAGCTGCTTATTGCCCTCCTCATTCCTCACTGCCTTTTCCATTAGACAACCCTCTGAATGTTTCTTCAGCATCTTTTATCAATATTCTCACAAAATGCGTATTGTTTGGTGGACAAGGTATGCAAGTGGTACCGTTTTCCTGTTTTCATTCAAATTTTCCCCTTAGCACTGTCATAATAAAGAACAATTCAAGCCAGGCATGGTGGTGCACACCTATAATCCCAGTACTCCAGAGGCTGAGGCAGAAGTTCAAGATCAGCCTGGACTACTACATAGGGAGTCTGAAGCCATCCTGAGCTACATAGTGAGACCCTGTCCCAGAAAAAAAAAAAAAAAAATCCAAGTTGTTCTTTTCTTTTTTCTTGGTGGTGCCGGTGTTCGAATTCAAGACCTCACGCTTGCTAAGCAGGCGCTCTACCACTTGTATCATTCTGCCGATCCTGTTTTTTGGTTGGGTATTTTCCGAGATAGGTTCTTGGGAACTATTTGCCTGGAGTTGGCTTCAAACCATGATCCTTTTGATCTCTGCCTCCTAACTACCTAGGATTACAGACATGAGTAACCAGCGCCTAGGTCAGGTTTCTTTTTTCTGTTTCTTCAAACTACTGCACTATATATCACATGGCAAGTACTGGCATTTAACCTGTCCCTTCTCGAAGGCTGCCTTCTATGCCCTACCATAAACACTGTGACGGATACCTCTCCCAGTCCTTTGGAACAGGTGTCAATCTCTACAAGATGTGTGATCAGTAGCAGAACCACCAGATGAGCTCACCCCACTGCACTCAATTCCGTACACAATGGCCACACTGGTCTCCATCCCATCAGCAGGGCCCGAGGGTTCCTGTATCTCCACCTCCCATACCGAGCAAAGCCAATGCTTAATGACGTCTTGCTGTTTTACACACACCTTGTGCTGCATTTCTCCGTTTCAGAGCCTGGAATCTGCTCACCACCACCTCCCCAAAGGCTGATCGAGGCTAGCATTCCCTGGCCACGATGATCCCTCCTGGCTCATCATCACCACCTCTCCCCTACGCCATAGGCCCAGCCTCGGCTTCCTCATCCCCCTTTCACACCTTCAGTCTTGGTTGGCTCCTACTAGTGAGCCTGAGCTGACTCAGGGCTCCAAAAGCAGAACTGAGACCTGCGCCTGTGGTGAGACCTTCTGGCCACCACTTTCCAACCCCAGCCCAGCCACAGGCCACTTACTGGTTGAAAAGCATGGACAGCATGAGCTCGTTTGTCTCTTCGGGCAGGTTGGTGAGGAACAGGATGTGATTGGGTGGATTCTCAGAAAGCTGTCGGGAGGAAGAAGAACCTGTGAGTACTCAATCTAGTTGTGGGTCCTGCTAGTAGCCCCTACCCCCAACTGGAGTATTTCTAGAACTTTCACCTGACGTAAGTGTTGCCTGTCCACCCATACTCTGCCCCCATCAGCTGTAGACCAGACGTAAGTTTTTCCAATTGGTTGCTGCTGTATCTCTAGAGGGCAGTGTGGGGCCTGGCGCACAAGCTGGAGCTCAGTAAATCATAGGAAGACTCTAGACGCTGGCCCCTGCTCCAGCTTCACCCTGAACTTCAGACCTCCACCAAACATGGGCCCACCGACTCCTCTGCTACATTTCATCACTCAGGGAGATTGAGTCCAACATCACCTGTGGGGAGGGCTCCCCAGACCACCTCCCACTGCTCCCCTTCTATCACGTGAGGCCTGTGGGAAGAAGATCAGATACTTACAGGCTGGGCAGGTGGCATCTGCCCTGGCATGAGCTGCTGAGGAGGCATGGCTCCCGGGGGGATCTGGCCGGGTGCAAGGCCTGGCGGCGGGATCATGCCAGGAGGCGGCATGTAAGGAGGCTGGCCTGGCATGTGGTGCATGATGCGAGGTGCCTGAGTCATTGGCGGCATACCCTGCGGAGAGAGATGGCATGGCTAACATGCTGGGCTGGGAGGCGAGGGCACAGTGCCCACAGGGGCCAGAGGAGCAGAGGCCATTAGCAGAAACCCAAAGGTGAGACATAAGAGACTCAGACTTAGCCAAGCACGGGGCACACACCTGTAACCCCAGCACTCCTGAAACTGAGGCAGGAGGATTGCCTGTGCAAGGCCAGCCTGGGTTACATAGCTAGACCCTGTCTCAAAAAAGTAACACATGTGGCTGTGTCTGGACTCTTCATTCTGCTCCACCAGTCCATCTTCCTATCCAAATGATAATAGCAGGTCATCTTGATTGCTCAAGTTTCAGAATGAGTCTTCAGCCAGGAAGTGTCCACCAGGACTCTTATTGTATGTTAATGCATCTGTGTTCACTAATCAACCTTAGGTCAGTGTGGGGAGACCCCCACCTCCTTACCGTACTGAACTGAGTCACCCAATACACAGCCTCCGATTTCTCCCCATAATGGTCTACAGTTTGTTTCACTATAGTGTTTTTACATTTTTTTTTTGATGATGGTACTGAAGTTTGAACTCAGAACCTTCCACTTGCTAGGTAGCTGCTCTATCACTTTAGCCACACCCCCTGCCCTGTTTTAGTTATCTTTCAGGTAGGGTCTTGTGTTTTTCTGCTCAGGCCAGCCTGAACTACAATCCTCCTACTTCTGCCTCCCATGTAGCTGGGATGACAGGCATGCACACCACTACACCTGGCTTGTTTGTCAAGATGGGGTCTCACTATCTTGCCTGGACTGGCATCAAACCACGATCCTCCCAGTTTGCCTCCTGATTACAGGGAAGAATCACTACGCCTGGTGGTTTTACATACTTGTTGGATTTACTGCCACTTGCAAGTTCCCAGTGTGGAGTTTACTTGCTTATAACATGTGAAAACAACTATTTTTTTCATATTGACCTTATATCCAGCAACCTTTGTAAACTAAGTTCACTTATTAATCCTAACAATTAATTAGCAGATTCTGAATTTTAGGGCTGACATAATGGCTCTAGAAGTAGAGCACCTGCCTCGCAAATGTAGTTCAAGTCCCAGTACCACAAAAAATGATTTTATACATTGACTTAAAAACCAAGGTCAAGGAGAGAAACCAGGCAACAAATACAGAAACAGACTTTCAGAAACAGTCAAGCAGAGCAAGCACAGCAGAGACAATGCCATCCAGGTTCTCTCCAAAACAGAAACACAATCTCTGTAAGGAAATGAAAGGGTGAGGTGTGAATCCCCAGAGGAAGACCTATTTCCACCTGGCTCCTGTGCCAGGCCATGTGGCTGAAGGCTGCCTGGTAGTGAGAGGGACAAGTCTCTGTGCCCTGGCTTACCGGAACAGGCCCCTGGACAGCTCCCACCACAGGGGCAGCCGCCCCGCCCTGCACGGCCTTCTTGGCAGATGGGGTCTCCTGGCTCTTGGGCTTCCTCTTCTCCCGCTTGCGGTCCCGCTCTACAAAGGTGCCCTTCATCTTGGCAATGATGTCCGAGTCTGTCTTGGCATATTGGATACGCTGCCAAACAGAGAGCAGGAAGGTCAAGGGCAATGAGTGGGTTCAAAATCAGACTTTACCAAGAGCTTGCTAAGAAACACAGAAATCGCTGGGCTACAATTTCCTCATCTGTAAAATGTGATTATTTCTCATTTAGAAGGAATTTAAGTGCTAGGAACAAACCAGACTTTGTACATGGTAAGAGCATGGTTTGTATTCCTAAGGGACGATGACACAGCCCTGAGGATCATTCCAAAGGCTGAGCCTGAGAAGAAAAAGCCAGGACAGAGGCACTATACAGGGCGGCTGGATCAGTGGCAGGGGTGTTCTGGTCACCTGACAAGGTAAAACTCATCCTTTTCAGTCATCCAGGCCTGTTCTAGGCTCTAGGAGCACAGCAAGGAGATTATTAGACAAAAGCCCTACTCAATGGAGTTTACTCAGCAAGAGAAGGAAAGTAAAGATTAGAAAAGAGTTGAATGCCAGGCACCAGAGGCTCATGTCAGTAATTGAGGATCGTGGTTTGAAGCCAGCTCAGGCAAACAGTTAGAGACACCCAATCTGGAAAACAACCATCATAAAAAAGGGCTGGTGGAGAGGCTCAAGATGTAGGCCCTGAGTTCAAACCCCAATACTGCAAAAAAAAAAAAAAAAAAAGGAGTTAAGACATAAAGTACTGAGGAGTGGTATTTTTAAAACAGATGGGAGTGGCCAGGAAAGACCTCACCAAGATGACATTTGTGCAGAGACACAAAAGAAGTGGGGACCAACCCCAAGGATAATCTGGAGAAAGAGCCTAACAGCAACGGAACAGCCATGAAAAGAGTTAAGGCCTACATGGCATGTTCCAGAAATATGAGGGGATGAGAGGGAGGCAGAAGGCAAGGCCACAAGGACTATAGGGAACAGGAACCCTGTCTTTTCCTAGGAAGCTGAAAGCCATGAGGTATGAGCAGGAGTGATGACTCTCACTCATGTCTTGAGAGAAGCTCTGAGGCTGTGGTGTGGAACACAGCCTGTTGGCAGCAGGAAATAAAGCAGGACACCCAGTGAGCAGGTCACTGCCACTGTCCTGCCAAGGAAAGGTGGTGGCTAGAACCAGGACAATAGCAGGGAGGAGCAAGAAGCAGGCAGTCAGTAGATATGTTTTGAAGGTAGAGTGGAGAGTTCTGACAAAATTCACACATGCCAGAGTGCTTGATGTGCTCCAAGTAGTGATCTAGGGGAGGGAAGTAATGTAAAATTTACAGTTTCAAACTTTCAAAAGTCAATTCCAAGAGCTTGAGAAAGGCAATGGGAAGATGTGGCAATGCCAGGCTCCCATACTTACAGGTGACAACAGGAAACAGTCAATGCTCTATCCTCTCCAGATAAAGGCTACAGGCAGCCCAGCTGTTCTGGGATGCACTGCCTCTGTGATCCGCCTCTGCATGGAGGTGACCTGCCTGAGATTTGTTGTCACTGCCCCCAGGGAAGTGGTTTAGGGAGACAAACTCAAAAACTGATTGAGGCAGTGAAGGAAAAGGCTCAAATACAGAACCAAAGCCGCTGGTCAGAGATAGGCCAGGAATTCTAGTTTAGGGCAGACTTTGGGCCACCCCTCACCTCCCACAGACTGCAGCTCACCCCTTGAAGTCCACTTGGCCCCCGGAACATCTACAATCCACCCTAGCCTCTCATCTCATTGCCTTGCCTTAGTCCAGACCCACTCCCTGCCATGTGGGAACCTAAGCCAGCTTCACCTTAGCAACTAGACCCGAAGTCCCCCTCCTTTAATATATTCTACCCAATAGCCAGAGACATCTCCTTAAGTCCTTCCACAGCTCCCCACCACTCTAAGATCAAGTTTACTTTCAGGACAACTCCAGCTCCTCAATCTAACATCTGGAGTGGTCTCAAAAGTCATGTCCTCTCCACTACTTCCAGCAAAATGAGTTTGACTGACTGGCTTCCTCGATTACACATACTCTTGGTTATTTCTGGACCTTAATCCCCATGGTCCCTCTACTTACTTTCTGTCTCTCCTCCGCCAGCTAACTCTTCTCCTTCAAGTTTCACCTCATCTAGAGCTGCCCGAACCCCTAAAGTGGGTGAGATGCCTCCCCTAAACTCCTCCAGCTCCCTTATCCTGGCCCCGACCCCTCTGCCTGTGTCTCCCCATCTTGGCCTCTACTTCTCTGTCCTTTCCCAACAGGATGTGGGTCTGAAAGAGCAGGTCTGGGGGATTCCTTAATCGCTGCATGTCTCCACACCCCCAATATGAGGAACAGTAGTGCAAAGGAACAGCAAGAAAGTACCATCCTTAGGGAACTAGACCACAGGGGACACGAGATGTAGGCCCATTCAGTCTCCTGCAACACACACACATACACACACTCACCCTCCACATCACAATGCTCACCATGGGCTTGTCATAGAACGGAAAACCCTGCATGGAGCGCAAGGCGTTGGTAGCACTGCTCACTTCCTTAAAGATGACAAAAGCCTGGCCCCTCATCTTCAGGCTCCGGGACACCAGAATATCCAGGATCTGGCCAAACTGGGAGAAGATGGCGTACAGGGACTTTTTCAGCTCTGCAATCAGGAAGAGAAGACCCACCATGACCAGAGCCGTTGGCATCACGTCCTGGGACTTGAGCTCCTATTTTCAGAGGAAGTGCAGCCCAGCTGAGAGGCCACCTGCTCACTGACAGAGCACCCAGAGTACCACAGGTCAATAATCGCTCAAGACCCCACAATAACTGCAGAGGCCAAGAACCACAAGTGCTCGAGCACACTCTTCTGCAAGATGTGTACAGCCATGACACCTGATCCACAGAGCTGCTGCGTGAGAACGTGAGTGCCTTCATGCAAAGGGTGCACAGGAAGTGCTCAAGAACAGAACATAAACACATCTTTTCATTGCTGTGTCTCCAGCCACCCAAGCCCAATACCCCAATTCTGCTACAAGCTTTGCCCTCCCTACCTGGAACTCCCTTTTAATGTTCACATGGCTGCCACCTCCTTCTACACCCAGGTCTCAGCAGAAATGCTACCATTTCCCAAGAGGCTCCTCCGACGGCCATGCCTACATGTTCCCCCTCTCCTTTCCCTGGCAGGCCTTCACTTTGTGACATTTCCAACTCCTGACTCCATAAGTTTACTCTTTTTTTTTCCTTCAGTGCTGGGAACTGAGCCAGAGCCTCCCACATCCTAAGCAAGCTCTCTACCACTTGAACCTCACCCCCAGCCCTTTTGTCTGTATTGCTGTTCTTGAGATAGGGCCTCACTAATTTTGCTTGGGCTGGCTTCAAATGCAACATCTTCTGCCTCCACCAAGCTCGAAGTAGCTTGGATTATACACATGTGCTACCACACCTGGCTCTGCCTCTCCTTCTTAAGAGCCATAAGCATGCCCAATTTGTTTACTGTAGTCTCCCCACGTCCACCATAGATCTCAGCATACAACTGTCTCTACAAACACTGATGAAGACACCATGAAGTACCTTATGGAAACAACTTCACTAAATCCTCACAACAACCCTACAAGGGGTTGTCCCAATTGCATCAAGATAGAAAGAGGCTCCCACAAGACTTTGTCACTGTATAGGGTGTATATTTCTGAGGATGCAGAGAGGGACATGGCAGAGCCAAGTTCACACCTGAGTCCATCGGAACCCAGCGCCACTACAACTCCCCAGCAAACTGCCTCACTTAACAGCAAACAGGGCTCGAGCTAAACAAAAAAGGACCAAGTAGGTCTGAAAGGGGTACCAACACCTTATCAAAGAAGACAGCGGAGGTGTAGCTGCTTGGTGAATGAGAAGAAAATGTGTTGGAGGGGGTGGACATAGCTCAAAGGGTTTTGAAGCAATTAGGCAAAAATTTCCCCTAGTCCTGGCAGAGGCTCAAGTGGTAAAGCACATGCCTAGCAAGCATAAGGCCCTGAGTTCAAACCCCAGTACCACCCCCCCCCAAAAAAATTGTTGGAAACAGGTCTGTTCCCATGCTCCATACAGGCAAACACAGGCCTGTCAGACTGGACTCCAGATCTCTCCCCGCTCTCCAGCCTCCTCTCTTACCTGCTTCTTTTTTGTTGTTGAACAAAGTCCCATGTCTCCCCAGGCTCACAAGACCATTTGCTCACTAGAAGCTTCTCTGTGACTCACAGGCTTCTACGCCTTAGGTCCACCAAACTACTTGTAGTCCCCAGAATGCCCCAAGCTCTTTTGTCCCTAGTTATTTGAGCATGCTGGCCCATCTAAGAAACACGTGAAACTATTTTCCAAAATGTCTCCTTTTCTAAAGGGCCAGGGACATGGCTCAAGTTGTAAGAGTACAGGCGCAAAGCCACAAGTTCAAACCCCAGTACCACTGAAAAAGTCTCCTTTTCCATCAAGCAAATGAGCCTTTCTAGGCTCTCATCAAGTCTTTCTAGGCTCCAAATCCCAGCATAACCACTCTGACAGTGCTTCCCCCATTATGGCCCTGGCTACTTCAAGCTGTCACTGTCTCAGGGCAGGACCGGACTCTGAGTCAGCAATGTACCCACAGCACTGCCCAGTACAGGGCAGGCACCAGAATCTAAAAGCACATGTTGAACTTATGTTCCTTGTGTTGTTTTCTTCAACAGCTTTATTGGTAATATAAACTTAATCCCAATAGCGCCTTTGGGTCTTTTGACAATCTTTCTTTTTTTTGCAGGCTGTGTAGGATGGAGGGGAGCAGTGCAAGACAGGGTCTTGCTGTGTACTCATCTGCCTCAACCTACAAAATGCTAGGATTACAGGTAGGTATCATCAGGCCCAGCCTTGTGAAAATTTTCTTGAGGTGGCAATAAGAGCTAACATTATCCACCCCTCACTAATTGCTAGGTACTATAAAAAGCAGCACATTGCTAAGATTTGACTACTTTGATTCCCACAATATCTATGTGAAACAGGTATCATGACTTTGCCCAGTTTCAGAAAGTCTGTGAGTCTTTCTGATTTCTAGAATTGAGGGTTTTGGGTTTATTTTGTTTTGGTGCTGGGGAATCAAACTCAGGGCCTTAACTCAGAAATGCATTCTACCCCTGAGCTACACACCCAGACAAGAACTGACTTTATTTTTGCTTTGTTTTGAAACAGGATCTGGCTATGTAGCCCAGACTGGTCTCAAATTTATGATTGTCCTGTCTCAGTCTTCCAAGTGCTGAGATTACAGGGTGTGCCAAACATTCCTGGTTCAAGAATTGAGTTCTTAAGGAGAATCCCATACCTGAGGCCAGAAGACTTTCCTTGCTATGTGATCTTGAGCAAGTTACATCATCCAAGTCTCACTTTTGTGTTTGTGTGTGTGTGTGTGTGTGTGTGTGTGTGTGTGTGTGAGAGAGAGAGAGAGAGAGAGAGAGAGAGAGAGAGAGAGACTGGGGTTTGAACTCTGGGACAACAACTTGGGCCACTCCATCAGCCCTTCTGTTTATGTGTGAGATGGGTTTTTTTGGGATAGGGTCTCTAGAACTATTTGCCCTGGCTGGCTTTGAACCAAGATCTTCCTTCCTGATCTCTGCCTGAGTAGCTAGGATTACAGTGCCACTGGCTGCCCGGATCCAAGTCTCGCTTTCTTAATCTTGGAAACAGGAATAACGCATACAGCATCAAACCTGTAATCCCAGCTGCTGTGGAGATGGAGATCTGGGGCAATGCAATTCAAGATGAGCCCAGGCAAAAGGTTTGCAATACTCTATCTCAACTGATGGTTGGATGAGGTGGCTCATGCCTGTCATTCTCAACTTTATGTGGGAAAGCACAAATAGGGAGGACTGCTGCCCAGGCCAGCCACAGCATAAAGTGAAACTCTATTTCAAAAACCACCACCACAAAAAGAGCTGGCCAGTGGCTCAAATGGTAGCATACCTGCCTAGCCAAGTTCAAGACCCTGAGCTCAACCACCCAGTACCAAAAAAAAAGGAATACCAACCAACAGCATTCTCCTGCTGGCTTGTTGTAAAAATTAAATATACTCAAGGTTTACAGCCTGGCAGGTGTGGTCCCCCAAGCCTACAGAAGAGGCAAGAGAATCAAGGCCAGTCTGAGATACTCAGCAGGTCCCTCTCAATAAAAATACATATAAAATTATAAAAGCCCAAAAAAAATAAAATAAAATAAACTAGCCCATGTTACAGTGTTCAACATCATTATTATATATCTTCGTTGTAGGATGATCACTGAGAATGCCACAGCAACCCAGGCAGACTGTTTCTGCTGCTCTCAAGGGTCAGTGGGGTGACAGCCTGACAACAGCAGAGTGATCTGGGCTTGATGGAGGAGAGGGAATCCAAGCAGGAAGGCTTCCTGGAAGAGGGGGTCCCAAAACCTTGAAGGATTACCAACAGCGGCCAGGTGAACGAGTCTAAGAGGACGGGTGTACTGAAAACAGGAAGCAGCTACGTACAAAGGGCACGGGGCTACCTTAACAGTTTGACTGGAGGTAGAATAGCACCAGCTCAGGCGAGATAATGGAGTCCAGACCATCCCGAGAACTCACCATCCTTCTTGATCTTCTCATTGAGGTTGTTGATATAAATAGTGTGGTTGGGGCGAGTCTCGGGAACTGCCATGGTTGGGAGAGGCTTAGGTTGGGCTTAAAGAAGAAAAAAAGGTGACTTTAGCCCTGGGTTTCTCCAAATCCTTTGTCCCAACGCTGCCTTAGGGACTCAGCTCAGTGATGTCCCAAAACGAAGCCAGTTAAGACCGGAATTAGGCAAGGACAGCACACCTTGGGCAACAAAGCGTGCGTAGGACCCACTTCTTCAGCACGCGTGAAGGAACTACCAAAAGGTTTCCTACGAGTCCCAGGATGCTCCACGTGACCCAGGAGGCGGAGCGTTCCAAGCGACGATTCCCATTGGCCCACGCGCCCGAAGGGCAGCCCGGGAGAAAATAACCCGGATGTCAGAGCCAGTTAACAAAGCAGGGACGAATTTGGGACACAATGGTGTCGCACAGCGAAAAAAATCACCCCCAGACTAGGCACAGGAAAGCCCAAAGCCAAATACTCCCACTCACCTACCCGGTGCCGATGGCAGCCTGAGTCCGAGGTAACTTACAGACTGAGCCGCAGTTCCCACAAGTGACACCAACTACGTTCCTCTGACCAGACTACAAAGCTTCCTCTCCTGGCCCCGCCTCACTTTTCTGCAAGCCAATCCTCGCACGGAAATTCGTTAGGTCGACCAATCAGAGTAAGTCTCGTATCTGTGCTCGGAACTTGCCAATCAAAAGGACACTGGGATTCCCGCCTTAGCAAAAAAAAAAAAAAAAAAAAAAATCCCGCCCCCCCTGCAACAGCTTTGCCTCCAGCCGCGCCCAGGCTTACGGACCAATCAGAGAAAGTCACGAGCTTTTTGCCAATCGGGCTGCTGCTTTCGCCCTAGTCTCCCGGAAGCAATCCTGTGGAAGCCCCACCTCTTCCCCCGCCTCGCGTCTTATGCCACGCCAAAGGGACGGGCCCTCTTAGCCAGTACCGCCACAGGATACGGGAAAGGCGTGCGCGGGGGCCGCCATTTTGCGCAGGAGGGAGGTGCCTTGTGTCTCCTGAACTCCGTCACCTAGCACAGCGGCAGGCATCGCGGCTTATTTCGGGCTCCGATCTCAGTCTACTTCAACTCCCAGACTTTTCCTGTGCGTTCCAGGACTTTCTCCACAACTAGTCTATTTTTTTCTTTCCAGGTGGCCATTTTGACCTTTGACTGAAAGGTCAATTCCCAAGTTCCGAACGCAGGCTTGGAATGTGAGGGGGAACAGAGCCTGAATTCTTCAGGCTGTAGCCGTGGGCCCCCAAGTTTGTATGTCTCTTTGTTGTCTAAGACACTCCAGATCTGACCTCCAAAACTGACCCACGAGTTTCCAAATCTATCTCTAGAGAATGAGGTAACGCCTTCAAAATTTCCTTCCCCAGCCCCATACCCCAAGGAACGCACCTTCAGATCCCTCAATGCTTGAGTCAGTCTCAGCCCTGTTACCCTGGCTTCAAATTCTAGCCATAGTTTTCTCAGACCTACTGATCAGCGGCCAAATTCTGCAGTTCAGGTCTAAAATCCTCTTTTTTTTTCTTTTTTTGAGACAGGGTCTTCTATGTAATCCAGGCTGTCTTGAATTCGAGATCGTCCATCTTTCAAGTGCTGGGATTACAGATACATGCTACAACACCCAACTGGCCTAAAAGCTTGGAAATCTCCATCCCTGAAATCAGCCCTTTTGGAGGATCCAGCCTTCTCACATTTCAGCCCCTCCTGAACACCCCAAAATGACTTCTCCATGCCATCTTCCCCTAGAATCCCTTATCTCTCCAAGAACCCCTATGCCACAAGCCCCCATCATTCCACCACCACCTCTACCCACAAGTTCTTTGAACTTAGCTTTTCCATTTCCTACTTGCGGTCTCCAGGCCCCTGTTCCCCCACCACCCCCACTCCCTCCTCCATCTCTTGCCATAGGACGTGCTCCCCCTCATGTCTATGGCCTGGAGAAGAGCCAGCTCCTGAAGGAGGCCTTGGAAAGGGCTGGTCCAGTCCCCAAGGGCAGAGAGGATGTGAAGAGGCTGCTGAAGCTGCACAAGGACCGGTAGGGTCTCTACGCACCACCCTACCCAGGGTTTCACCTGTATGACAGTGATCCTGAGATCTATCCCGAGATCACTTCAACTGTCCTCTGTGGGGTTTCCCATTTCCTTGGGGTCAGACAGTCCTCTGCTTATGCCCTTCAGTGGTGGTGTCCAGTCCAGTGGGAAAGGCAGACCCTTCTGTTAGAATGAAAGAGGTGCAGAATGGATAGGCAAGAAGACAGCTCAGTGCCAGCACAGGGTTTATTAATCTGGAAGGAGCACTGCAGAAGGGGTCCCCAGCAAAAGAGCTGGAGCCCACAGCTGCTTGCAGACTGAGGGTAGGTAAAGGAGTTGGTTGGAGGAGTCCCAGGAAGGTCACTGGGTGGGATAATCTTCAATGTTCCTCTGACCTTCCCAAGCTAATGGGTGGGGCGTTTCCAATAAGTCAACTTCAAGGGGGAGAGGGCCCAGTTCTAACATGGCTTCCCTAACACCTTCTGCACTAGTGACCACCAGAATGGCCAGGACTGTGATGATGGAGCCCAAGGGTGGTGTTTGACCCAAGTTAAGGGGTCAATGAAGGCTTGCTGCTGAGTAAGTTACACAGGGGCATATGTGCTGAGAGAAGACAGCTTGAACAGAGATGCAGAGGAAAATTAGGATTTTTTTTTTTCCTGTACTGGGGTTTGAACTCCCCGGCCCCACACTTACTAGTCAGATGCTCTGGCACTTGAGCTACTCCAGCAGCCCTTTTATGTGTAGGGTATTTTTTTTTTTTGTAGGGTATTTTTGAGATAGGGACTCCCAAACTAATTGCAGGGGCTGACCTTAAATCATAATCCTCCTGATCTCTGCCTCCAAAGAAGCTGTGATTTCAAGTGTAAGCCACCTACGCCTGTCAGGACATTTCTTTTCAAGGAATTTCGAATCTTTTCTTAAATGGGACCTGAGAGTGGCAAAGATGAGGCTGGGAAGGTGGGTAAGAGCCATCTCACACAGGACTGTGGCCCTATGAAGGTAGTTGGACTGTCCTGAAGTCACTGCAAAGCCAGGCTTTGCTCAGGGAAGGAGCGTGGCCATGGAAGCAGAGGTCATGAACCAAGTCCAGGGTCCCAGGGAGAAAACTGGATCATCTAAGGACCCAGACAGGAGAGGGGGCTACACTTGTGCTTGGGTCATGAGGACTTGATTTAGAAAAAAGAAAAAAAAGTTGCCTAGACTCATGAAGAAACTCCAGCATGGTGGTACGTCAGTGATCCTAGCAGTTGGGAGGCTGAGGCAGGAGGATAAAGAGTTCCACACTGGCCTGGGCTTCATAGCAAGATCCTGTGTCAAAAATAAATAACTAGATAAAACTGAGCATGGTGCTGCATGTCTGTATTCCCAGTTATTCAGGAGACAGAGATGAGAGTATCAAGATTTGAGACCACCTGGGCAAAAGCATGAGACCCTATCTGAAAACAACCACTTGTCACCCTACCACATGACTAGGATATATCAAGCACTATTCCAGGCCTTTTTTTTTTTTTTCCCCCCAAAAGCTTATTTGGAGAAGCCTGTCTCTATAGTGAGAGCAATGGGAACAGGGGAGAGAAAAAGACATTTCCTGTTCCTGTCCCCAGCCCAAAATGGGAGGAGGATTCCTAGTCTCTTTTGTTTATTTGTTTTGAAACAAGGTTTCACTGTGTAGCTCAGACTGGAACTCCCTATGTAACCAGGCCGGCCTCTTGGAATCCTCTTGCCTCCTCCTCCTGAGTGTTGGAATTATAGGCATTCAGCACCACACCCTGCTTTTTCTAAGAATTTTTTTTTTTCTTTTGCAGTACTGGGGTTAAACTCAGGGCCTCACGCTTGCTAGACAAGCGCTCTATTACTTGAGCCTCTCTACCCGCCCTTTTTGCTCTGCTTTTTTGGAGACAGGGTCTTTTGAACTATTTGCTTGAGGCCAGCTTCAAACCACAGCCCTGATCTTTGCCTCCTGAGTAGCTAGAATTACAGGCATGAGCCACCTGCGCCCGGCTGCTTTCTAAGAATTTTTATTACTTTTTTTTTTCTGTCAGCAATCTCATGAGTTAGGAACTATTACTCTTTCATTTTCCAGATAAGAAAACTGAGACTTCTAGGAGTGAAGTCACTCAGCCACAGTGCAAAAAAGAGGAAGGGCCCATTTGAATTTTGGCAGGGGAACTGAGAGTTTATCAGGAGGTCTCCCAAACTGAGTGCATGCACCTGTACCCACCCAGCCTTGCTTTCTCACTGGCCTTGGAATAGGAATAATAAGCATATGTCCCTAAACCCTTCTGAGCCCTGGGGGCCTGAGAGCATTAAGACAGTTTGTGTCCTCCCCAGGGTGGGGCTGCTCAGGCTGCCAAGATTCATTATCAAGGTAATCTGTTGAACCATAAACATGCTATGACCTGCTCTTACTCAAGGCCAAGTTACAGGATTTTGTTTCTGCTTTTTATTTCAATTTTTGTGTCTGGGGTTTGGTTTGGTTTTGTTTTTCAATGCTGGGGAACCCAGGATCTTGTGCATGCTAGGCACGTGCTCTACCACTGAACTACATCTCTGGCCCTTGGTTTTTAAGACTGTGAAGCTCAGGCTGGCCCGGAACTTAGTATGTTGCCTAGGCTAATGTTGAACTTGCAGTGCTCCTGCCTCCATCTCCTGAGTGTTGGGATTACAGGTATGAGCCACCATGTCTGGATTGTGTCTGTTTTTTGTGTTTTGTTTTGTTGGGACTGGGGTTTGAACTCAGGACTTTGTACTTGCAAAGCAGACACCTTTCCACTTGAGCCACACCTCCAGTCCATTTTGCTGTGGTTATTTTGGAGATGGGGTCTTTTGAACTACTTGACTGGCCTCACCTTGAACTGTGATTCTCCCAATCTTAGCCTCCCAAATAGCTATGATTATAGACATAAGCCCCTGGCATCCAGGCACCTGGCACTGTGTCTGGTTTTTGAGACCAGTATTTTCATATGTAACCAAGGCTGGCTTTATTCAAGATCCTCCTCTCTCAGCCTCCCAAGAGCTGGGGTTGCAGGCACGCACCACACTCTGCCTGATTAAGATTTTCATCTTGCCAGGCACTGGTGGCTCATGCCTGTACTCCTAGCTACTCAGCAGGCAGAGATCAGGAGGATCGCAGTTTGAAAGCAGCCCAGGCAAATAATTGGCGAGACCCTATCAAAAAAACCCATCACGAAAAAGTGCTGGCCAAGTGGCTCCAGCTGTAAGAGCGCCTGCCTAGCAAGCGTGAGGCCCTGAGTTCAAACCTCATTGCTGCCCCTCCAAAAATTATTTTCATCTTGATTTTCACCTTGTTTAACAGCCTTAAAAGGCAACAGTTCTTCTTAAAGACTGACCTGGGAGGGTGGAAGTAACACTTCCTCCCAGGTGGTCTGAAGAGGACGTGGAGGGAGATGGAGAGGGGAACTTTCCACATCAGGGTCCTAGATGCATGCATAGTAAACACAGGTAGGACAAATGAGAAAATGAGTGAACCAATGAGCCTGGTCCTGCTCCCTTACTCTACCTTGACAAAGTTTCCCTTTGAGAAATTTCTTTAAGTCTGACTTGTAGTTGCAAAGTTTTCACATATGCTCTTTGCCCTTCAATCCTTGAGATTAAAAGCAGGGAGTAGCGCACCTGTAATCCTAGCTACTCAGGAGGCAGAGATCAAGAGGATCATGATTCAAAGCCAGCCCCAAGCAAGTAGTTCGAAAGACCCTATCTCAAAAATACCCAACAAAAAAAAAAAAAAAGGGCTGGTGGAGTGGCTCAAGCAGTAAGAGTGCCTGCCTAGCAAGCATGGTACCCTGAGTTCAAACCCCAGTGCTGCCAAGAAAAAAAAAAAACAGGAGCAAGCAGACAGAAGGATGATTTCCCCTGACCAGGTGGGGAAACTAAGGCTCGAGGCAGGGAAGTTCTTCAAAGGAGGAGGAACTGAGCATCTGAGCCAGGAGCAGCCCTAGGCCTTGGGACAGCTAGACTTGTGTTTCTTCCCTGTCTCTGGACACCCCTTTTCCAGCCAGACCTCAAATGGGGACTCTCAGAACTGTTCCCTTGTGACTTGAGTGTGGCTATGCTTCAGGTTCCGAAGTGACTTGCAGTGGATTCTCTTCTGTGCTGATGTGCCGTCTCTCATCCAAGAAGGCCCTCAGTATGTTCCCTAATATGGGGCTATGCATCATGGGCTTCATAAGGACTGACCTGGAAGGGTGGGAGGAACACTGGCTAGGAGGAGTGGCCTGGGGAGGAGGAGGAGGAGGAGGGAGATGGAGGGGGAAATTTCCACATCTGGGTCCTTGGTGCATGTGTAGTATACCTAGGTGGAAAGAATGAGTGTGTGTAAATGCCAGTGAGTGAACCAATGAACCTAGCCCAGCTCCCTAACTCCACTTTGGTACCTGTTCCTAGGATTCCAGGTGACCTCTGTCCCCACACCCCACTGCTGGAATCAGGCCTGAGACATCCCATCCCATATAGGAAATCGGGCCTGGGAGGAGTGAAGGGAACCCTCCAGCAAACCTACTCACTATGTTCAGTTTATGGTGTAGAGGGGTCCAGTGAAATGATATAAAGCTTGAGGGGGTGAACCTGTCTCTCCAGGTGTGGCTTGGTGGCCTTGTGGATGGCAGGCACTCTTCTGTCACCACCTGGCAGTGTCCCCCTGGCAAGACTCGTGCAGGTGGCCATGGAGAGAGGCTACACAGCCCAAGGAGAGATGTTCTCTGGTAAGTTGGGTGGGGAAGGGCTTCAAGCCAGTGCTCCATTGGCTCTTCCCTAAGAGGGGATAGGAGAGGTTGGGTGGCACTACAGGCACATGAGGGGTCCTCCTTCCATTCTCCAGGCCCATCCCCCTGCCTAGTTGGTCAGAGTGGTCACCATGTAAAGCATGGAATCAGCAGCCTGGTTCCCAAATCCAGCTCTGTTCCTTCCTCGCTGTGACCATGGACAAATGGCTAAGTCCCTTTGTGCCCCACTTTCTGCGTTTGTCACAAAGTGGTGGTGGGCATGCTGAGGTTGGAAACATGAATTCTTTGTGAGCCCTTTGTATAGTGCCTGGCATATGGTCAGTGCTCTCGCTCTCTCTCTCTCTCTCTCTCACTCACTCTCTCTCTCATGTTCTCAATTGCAGTGGCTGACATGGGCAGACTAGCACAGGAGACACTGGGCTGCCAGGTTGAGCTACTCTGTGGCGGCCTGGGCAGTCCCAACAGAGCCCGTGTCCTGCAGCACCTTGTCACTGGACATCCCCTGCTCCTCCCGTATCCCAGGACCTGGGAAGAAGTAGGGCGGGGATGGCAAAGGGTGGGTCTCAGGTCCACACCACAGTTTTGGCCTTAACGCCAACACCAGCTATGATGAGGACTTCAACCATGAGCCATGTCAGAGAAAGGGCCACAAGGCCCACTGGGCAGTGAGTGCAGGTGAGTTCCCCTCTTTTGCCCTTGCACCCCACTCCCTGGGTCTCTCCAGGCTCATGAACCGTCCTCACATTCTCACCCCTGCACTGATGCCTCCACAGCCAGGCCATGCACACAAGGCACAGACCAGGGCTGGGCCACCTGTGCTCCCACAAGGTACCTAGCATGGGACCTGACAGGCAACAGGTGCCTTGGGTATCTGATGTTTTGAGGTATACATAAACCAAAGCTCAGACTTCAGGGTGGGACAGTCTGGGCTTCAAGGCTGACCCAACCACTTCTAGGCTCTGTGACTCTGGTAAAGTGTCTACACCTCTCCATCTGATTCCCATCTGGAAATAGAGGGTGACAGTAGTACCCACCTCATAAGGCAGACTTTTTTTTTTTTTTATGTGACACTAGATTCCTTTTTTTTTTTTTGGTATTGGGGTTTGAACTCAGGCCTCACACTTGCTAAGCAGGCGCTGTACCACTTAAGCCACTCCGTCAGCTCTGTTTTTTTGTGTTGGGTGTTGCAGTTTGCCCAGGCTGACCTTGAATCTCTATCCTCCTGATCTTAGCCTCCTGAGTAGCTAGGATTACAGGCATGAGTCATCGGCACCTGGCTCCATTCTTCTTAGTATATCTTAATTGTACAAAGAGGGGGGTTCATTGTATGTTCACATGCGCATATAGTGTACTTTGATCAAATTCTTCCCTTTTATTACTTTTGCATATTCTTCCATTACCCCTCTTTTTTTCTAAAAAAGTTTTAGTGGATTTCATTATGCTATTTTCTTTTTTTTTTTTTTTTGGCTGTATTATGGTTTGAACTTAGAACCTTGTACTTGCTGGACAGGCATTTTACCACTTGAGCTATGCCTCAGGGCTCACATCTTGAACCATTCCACCAGCCCTTTTATGTGATGGGTTTTTTCAAGATAGGGTCTCTTGAACTATTTGCCTGGGCTGGCTTCAAACTGCAGTCTTCCTGGTATCTGTCTCCTGAGAAGCTAGAATCACAGGAGTGAGCTGCCAGCGCCTGGCTGCTTTAGATTTTGGGAGTTTTGGGGGATGGGGAGTAGCACTGGGGTTTGACCTCCGGGCCTCATGCTTGCTATGAGGGTTCTTTTACGGCTTTAGCCACTCAGCCACCCCTTTTTTTTTTTTTGTGATGAGTTTTTCTTTTTTTTTTCGAAATAGGGTCTTTTCTCAAAAACTGTTTGCCTGGGGCTGACTTCAAATCACGATCCTCCTGATTTCTGCCTCCAGGTAGCTAGGGTTACAGGCGTGAGCCACCAACATTCAGTGCATATAATGTATTTTGATCATATTCACCCCTCCTTTCCCCCTGTTCTCTCCTACTAATTGCCCTCCAAATAGTCCCCTATAAGACAGCCTTATAATCAGAACACGTAAACTCTTAGAACAGTGCTTGGCACAGAACACATCTCAAGTAGTGTCACCAGCGTTGTCATCATTCCACCTGCCTGAAAGAGGCCAGATTTGTGCATGTCAGCAGGCCAGATCGAGGCTCTGCTCAGTCTCATCATGGATATGTGGCCTTGAGGGCTGCTCCCTGATCATCTTTCCTGGACAGCTGATGGGGTTTGCTCCTCGTAATGTCACTTGTCCACCTCCCCTGTGCAGTGAGAGGCAGGACCTCAGATGCCTGCAGCTTTGGAGCCAGATGCACTGGGTTCCCGTCTGAGCCCAACTGTGTGCCCAGAGATCCCCCTAACTTCTGTGTAAAGTGGAGATCAAGGCAGCACCTGTCCCAGAATGTAGAGGGGAAGAATTCAGGGAGGCCCACACCTAGTCATTGTTTTGGCAGCTGCTACACCTGTCCTTTTCCTCTTCCCCAGGGGTCCTGCTGGGTGTGCACGATATACCATGCTCCGGCTATCTGGAGGACCCTGAGCTGCCAGGCCTGTTCCACCCAGTGCCTGGCACACCCTGCCAGCCACCATCCCTGCCAGAGGAAGACTCTCCTGGCACTGTCTTCCTTCTCTCCAAACAAGGCAAGAGTTGGCACTATCAGCTGTGGGACTACAGCCAAGTCCATGACAGCAACCTGCAGCTGACAGACTTCTCTCCTTCGAGGGCCACTGATGGACGGATGTATGTGGTGCCTGCTGGTGGGGTGCGTGCAGGCCTCTGTGGCCAGGCCCTGCTCCTCAGACCACAGGAGTTGAGCCACTAGTTGGGACTGGCCTCACCTTGGATCTGTCACCATTGGACGAGTGCCTTAGCTTCTTCCCATGTGACAGCCATAGGTTTATCCTGGATTTTTGAGGGCCTCTCACTTTACAGGGTCCCCACACCCATCCCATCTCAAGCCTGGCATCATCCCAAGCCCTTCCCTTCTAGGACTGAGCACTGATCCCCCTCTCCAGGGAGACACTGATGACAACTCAAAACTGTCTATCCCACCTGACTATGCCAGTCACCTGTTGCTCTCTGGAGACATCTTTTAAGCCACCATCACCTCACTAGACATCTATAGAAGCCTCCTCCTGGACCCTCTGCCACCTCCAGCCCCCATTCTGCTCAGAGGACAGGGACCCAGTGCTCCCCACTCAGCTCCGTTTGGCCCAGGCTTTCCTCACCCTTTCTGCCTACCAGCTGTACTGGCCTTTCAGGTCTCTAGACTGTGGGGCTCCACCCCCAGCTCTGTGCTAAAGGTCACTACTTAACTTCTCCATCTTGGCTCATGTATCACTTCCTCCGGGAAGAGTTCCTCAGGCCAGGCCCCATTCCCCCGCCATTCTGGAGGTTTTACTTTTGGTCTTTTTTTTTTTTTTCCCCATGGGACTACGCTTTGAACTCAAAGCTTCATGTTTACAAAGCAGGCACTTTATCACTTGAGGCACACCTCCAGTCCACTTCTGGGTGAGTTTTTTTGTTTGTTTTTTTTTTTGTGGAACTGGGGCTTAAACTCAGGGCCTACACCTTGATCCACACTCCCAGCCCTTTTTGTGTTGGTTTTTTTTGAGATAGGGTCTCGCAAACTGTTTGCCCTGGCTGGCTTCGAACCTTGATCCTCCCAATCTCTGCCTCCTTAGTAGTTAGGATCACAGGCTTGAGCCAAGGTGCCCAGCTTTTCTCAGGGTGTTTTAAATCCCATCCCAGAGTAGTTATGTGTGCCAACTCCTTTACCTGTGGTAATTCATCAACTCACCCTGTAAAGGAAGTACTAGATTTTGTACTGAATGCCCAAGATTTTTGTAAAAAAAAAAAAAAATAAAGTTTTATTAGCACGGTTGTAGAGGCTCGGAAGTGCAAGAGCAGATACTGGCATCTGTTCAGCATCTGGTGAAGGCCGCCTTGCTGCATCATAACGTGACAAGACAGCAAGCATGGCTGGCTGTCTCTTCCCTTGGAAGCCACTGCTGCCATCATGGGGGCCTACTTTCATGGCCTGAACTATCCTAATCTCAAAGGTCCTCCTCCTGATGCCATCAATACGTGAATTTGAGGCTTAGGTTTCCAACACATGAACTTTTGGAAAAACATTCAAACCATAACAACCTCTCCCATATGATAGATGGCAAGACCGAGGCCTGGAGAAATGGAGTCACTAGCCAAAGTGACAAGTGGCAGGGTCACCCACTGTCCAGGCTACCTGAACTTCATAATGGTGCTGACCACAAACTCTTCTTTCCATCTACCTATAAAAATATGCTGTGTCACCTATATTGTCCAGCATAGAGGTAGGCTGAGTATAGTGATTCACACCTGTAATCTCAGTACTTGGGAAGCTCAGGCAGGAGCATCTAAATTCCAGATCAGGAGTTACCGGCTTCCAGGCTCCACTACTCTTCTCTAGCAGTAGCCTTTCCTTTCTCTCTAATAAATACTACTTTATATACTGGGGAAAAAAAAAAAAAAAGTTCCAGATCAGGGCTGGGGATGTGGCTTAAGTGGCAGAGCACCTGTCTAGCAAGCACAAATTCCTGAGTTCAAACCCCAGTACCACAAAAAAAGTTCCAGATCAGCCTGGGCTAGCTACATAGTAAGACCCTGTCTCAAAAATAAGATTGGGAATGTGGCTCTAGTGATAGTATACTTGTCAAGCAAACATGAGGCCCAGTACTGCCAAAAAAAACTTGAGTGGATGCTTAAATGAGTGAACCAGCCAGCCCTGAAGCCTGCTTCTCTGTCCCAGGTGGTCATTATCCCTGTATGCCACCCCAGATACAAAGGAAAAAACCACAATATTGACTGAGTGTCCTGTTTATTGGGGTGTTGTGGGCAAAGGACAGTGAAGCCATTTTTCCTTCTGCTTCCCAGCACTACCCCACCTAACAACTACCTCGCTTACAAAGATGTTAAGTAGAAAAGGTGGCCGTCTCAGCCCTGGAAGATGACAGGGCTTCAGCTTAGGGAAGAGGTAGATGCCTGTCCTCCCCAAGCCCACCCGAGTGGGCAAGGAAGCCAAAGTTAACAGTACTGGAGCACTGTGATGGAGAAGACATTTTTCACACCCAGGGTTCTAGAGTCTTTGGTTTGAAGTCATGAACAGCAGCCACAGCAACCCATTTTTCTGGGTCACCTGGCATTTCACTGGGGGGCCCTCCCAGGCAAGACAGCTCTGACTCCCAAGAAGGAAACCTACTGCCTCTGCCTCATATACTCCTCCCAGCAGCTGTAGTCAGCTAAGAGGAAGGACACAAAAGCCCTATGCGTGGACAGGAGAAGGAAGTCCTGATGTGGAACGCCAAGGACAGAGGTCATACTGGCCAGTGCTAGCACACAGGTGGATGTGGCTGTGGTTTGGGTCTGCAGCAAGTCAGCAAAGTCCTTGGAGGAAAAGAAAGGATCTCACTGGGCCATGGTGAGGTGATAAGCAGTGTCCCACCCACCAGCACCAGCCCTCAGGCAGCATCAGCAGGCTGTCCCATGGTGTCACACCCTCATGGCCTGTCTCAGCACTTGAATGGCTTCCAGCTAGACACTGGGCTGTCCGTCCCTGGGGTGGACAAACAGCTCCTGCATGTGTTCTCCAGGACTGGGAGCTGGGAGGGGCAGACAAGGGGCAGTTACAGGTCATTCATGTGGTGGCAAACTGTCACACCTGTCTTCTGTGACAACTGATGTGTTCTCAGACAGCATGGTTGAGTTGTATCCTCTGGCAGGCCCTCCGAAGCTTTCCTAGACGATCAGGGGGCCCAGTTCTGCTGACTCACTGTGACCTCACCTGGTCATTTTCCCCATATCACGAAGGAGCCCGTGTTGCCTGGTCTCCCAAGGCCCTCTACACTGATCTTGCACTACAATGCAACCTCTCCTGACGCTGGGCTCGTATGGCATCTCAGGGCTTCTCTAGCCAGAGTGGCACCATCCAGCGAGTGAGTCTGGCAGCTATCACATGGGTCAACTCTGGACCAGCCCCTGAAGGAGTTGGATCAAGTTATCCAGGCCCCAGAGATAGCCATCCTCACGGTTGCCCTCAGTCCAGGGCAGCCTGTGACTGAGCATCTGGTGGTCAGGCAGTGCTACGGTCTTGCCAAAGTCAATCATCCACACCTTGGCCAGGCCAGTGTGGTCATGCACAAAGAGGAGGGAGCTGCCCACCACCTGCAAAGAGAGAAACAGGCAATTAGGGGGAGGAGCAGGTACTGGCCAAAGTCTATTCCCCAACAGGCAACAGAGTGTGGTGGTCAACAAAGTATGATCCCTGGAACCAGACTGCCTGAGTTCAAATCCTAGCTCTGCCACTCATGGCTGTACAGCAGGTGTTTTAACCTCCCTGTGGCTTTGCTTTAAGATGAGAGTAACAGTAGCATTTAATTTATCTCAGTGGATGCTGTGCATTCCCTGTCTGTCTGTCTGCCTGTCTGTCTCTCTCTCTCTCTCTCTCAATATATATTCACATTAGGGGATTTTGAGTTTTGGGGATAGACTGGCTCTTAACTCACTATATAGCCCAGACTGCCCTTGAACTCTAGTGCTCCTGCCTCGGCCTCCAGAGTGCTAGGATGAAAGGTGTGTGCCATCACGCCTATAGCACATAAGGTATTTAAGAAACTGCCTATACATAGCAAATATGGAACAAATGTTAACAGTTATCTGTGTGTGCGTGCCTGCACATGCTGGGGTAGAACCCAGAGCTTCATGCATGCTATATGACTCTATGATTGAGGTATGCCTCCACTCCAGCCTCTGTTAAGATTTTTTAAGCCAAAGTGCAAACTCAAATGCCTTCAAAATCCTGAATGAGGGACTGGAGAAGTGGCTCAAGTGGTAAGAACGCCTGCCTAACAAGCATGAGGTTTTGAGTTCAAGCCCCAATGCCAAAAAAATAAAAAGATCCTGAATGGGTCAGAACACCGGTAAGCACCACATAATTGGAGGATGCCTTCCCCAGAAAGGGCCAAGTGAACTGCTCTCTTGAAGACAGAAAAGTCGGACAAGCAGCTTCCTTCCTCTGGGTCTCAATGTCCTTCTCTGAAGAATGGGGAAGTTGGTAATGTCCTACCTCCTAGGGTCTCTGGTGTCATCCATCTAGTGTGGACACACTTACACAGTGCCAGCCAGTGCCTGGCACAGACAGTACCTGCTGTTGGTCTGTTGTTTTGTTTTCTTTAACTTGGTTTTAGAAATAGTCATTGCCTTCCCTTCATCTAACTCTGGTTTACAAGGCCCTACCTTCTTCTAAACCAGGTTTTCCCAGAGCTCCAGGAAAACCCCAATTCCTATGCAGGTGAGCAGTTACCTGTCAGAACAGGCAGCCCACTGCCCAGCTCTGGATGCTGTTGCCATATGGCAAGCAGTACAGGGTTACAATGTCTCTGTCGTCAAGGGAAACTGGAATTCTACTTTTGGTACGTAGTCTCACATTTTATGTGGTGGCAACTCCATTTTTAAAATTTTAAGTCACCATGCCAGGTGAGGTGTCATACACCTGTAATCCTAGTTACTCTAGGGGTGTCAGTAAGAAGATCATGGTCCATGGCAAAAGCTCAAGACTATCTGTTTTTTGTTTGGTTTGGTTTTGGGTTTTTGGGGGGGAATGGGGGGAATCAGCAATACTGGGATTTGAAATCAGGGCTTTCACCACTTGAGCTATGCCCCCAGCACAAGACCCTATCTGAAAACACAGTAAAAGCAAAAGGACTGGGGCCATGGCTCAAGTGAGTGGTAGAGTGCTTGCCTGACAAGTGTGAGGCCAAGTTCAGTCCCCAGTATTGTATGGGGAAAAAAAATTAAGTCTGCTGGCAGGTAAAACCAAACACAAGGACAGAAGAGATGGAGTCCCAAGGCCTTCTCTTTATGACTTCCATGTAAAGCCAGAAGACTGCAACAAGGATAAGGATGACATTTGATAAAAAAACAAACATGACAGTGACAGCTGGCACATACTGATGGGCCGGGTCCTAATGTATTAGCCCAATTAACCTTCACTATGCCCCACAGTTAAGTGCTGCCTACAAGAAAGGACACCAAATGGCTGCCCAGACTCAGGAGGCTAGGAGAGACAAAGCTGGGATTTGAACTCAGGTCCACCTGACTTCCAAAACAGTGCTGGAATAGTTAGTGATGTCAAGAAGGAAAGGTAGGAAAGGATGGAGAGGCAGAAGAGCCTGGAGAGGAGGGGATGCACATGGAGTGAAGCCATGAATTCACTGACTTTCCAACGCAGCCTCAGAAGATGCATGTTTCCCAAGGCAGATGGGCTGGGAGCAAGGGGGAAAGTTGAAGGGTAAGAACCACTAAACAAGGGAGGCATATAACAGTAACTATAAAAAACTATGGTCATAAACTAATTTACAGAACCAAGAGTCAAATGCCTTTGTACGCCCCAAATGTTACTTTCCAGTGGCTCTCTCGCACCTCTGCAGCCCTGGGAGGAAGGTAGTGTTGTCCCTACTATGTTAGGAGGAAACTGAGACCTGAGAGGGTAAGTCATGTGCTTGCATCACACAGCACAGCCCACCCTCATCCCAGGCCATCTGCTTGAGCTCATGCTGCTGACTGTCCTACTTCCCTGAAATCCCCTTTGCTGGGCCCTAAAACATGGGGCCTCCCTTTTAAAACTGATATGTACCTATCAGTGGTTCCCCACCACAATGCCTGGACCCTGCTACCTCCCACATACACCCATGGGGTCCAGGGCTCGCACCTCGTGGGTCTTGAAGAAGGGGGAACTCTCCAGAGCTTCGCGAAGTTCTTCTAAGCGGGCCACGTACTTTCTCTGAGTGTGAGAGGGAGGGTGTCTTGGTTAACACAGAAACTTTGTCAGCCCTTTGTAAGCCACTGTGAGCACTGCTCTCATCCTGTACCCCCAAAGGAGTGGGCAGACTCTAGCCAGGATGGGAGAAGGGGAGCCATGGGAAACGGGGTGGGGGGGAGTGAGGGATTGGTTTCATCAAGGTGGCACAGTTACACAAAACAAGGTGGCAGGTTATACAAATATTCACAAACCACAACAGCTCCCTCCATGGGGAGGTGTAATCTGTTTCTCCTTCCCTTTGACTAGGCTTAGTCACATATAACCATGCAGGTCACTTAATGACCTGCCATGCCCAAGCCCCGGTATAGGAGACCTTGTACCCTACTTGTTCTTTTAGCTCCCTGCTTCTGTGATGAGAACCAGCCCAGGCTAGCCCGCTGGATCTGGAGAAACAGACACCAAGTTCTAAGCCAAGCCAGTGAGCTGATGGCAGACACATGAGCCAGGCCAGCCTGGATTAGCCAGCTGAACACAGACTGTGTGAACAAGGCAGACCAGGATCAGCCCAGCCCAAAGCAAATCATGACTGACTCAGAAGCAATAATAAATAGTGGCTACATTTTGGGACAAGGGCATCCCCACGCACCAGAATTCTATGGTCTCTGTCCACAAAGTCCTCCAACACCTTTGTCACCTGCTCCAGTGCCTGTGTCTTCTTGAAGTTGGTGTTGCAGGTGCCATCAGCTTTCTGCAGGGCAAGGGGGAAGGGGCACTGTGTCATGTTTCTGTCTTCCCAGGCCAACACCAAGCAACCTCCAGCACCTCCTGGGCCACCCACTGGCCTCCACACTGCCTACTCTTCTGAAGAAATCAACCCACTTGCTTGGCCCAACTCCACACAGCCCCAAGTCATACACCTGAGCAACCTGTCCTTGCAACTCCAACCTTGGACCTCCTCGTTGAGCCAGTCTAGCAAAGCGGGCTGTTGGCGGCAGGGATCTAGCTTTCACCCATGACTCTGATACCCTTGAGTTAGGTGGTATTACAAGAGTCACTTCACCTGCCTCGGCCTCAGCCTCAGGTGCTACATCCAGAAAATAGGAAGTGTGTTGGTATCTACTTCCTAAAGCTGGAGACGCGTGTGCAGGACACAGAGCACCGTGCCTTGCGTGGAGTCTCGAAGCATGCAGCAAATGTTTTTTCTTTGCTTTTTTTTTGTAGTGCTGGAGATGGAATCCAGGGTCTAGGCAAGTGCTCTACTACTGACTATATCCCCAGCCCTCAGGGATTTTTTAAGACAAGTTCTTGCTATGTAATCCAGGCTGGTCAGCCTCTGGCCTCAGCCTCCCAGGGGCTGGGACTTTAGGAATGCACCACCACACCTGGCTTATTTTGGCTTCTTGACTATGTATGTTACCTATTCAAACAATTATCATTAATCAAAAAAAAAAAAAAAAGAAATGCAGAAGAAAAAAGTAGAAATGTCTATAGCAGAGGGGAAAGGATCCTTCCAGCTACTGTGTTGGACCGTGGACCACGGGCTAAGACTAGAGCTGAGGAGCCCAGGGAGGCTGGGGCAGAAGAGTAGCTGGACTTGGAAATGGCCATGAGAAGGGAAAGGACAGAATGCAGAGATGCTCAGATAAACAAAACTTGGGTTCTGAAGGATGTGGTATGAGAGAAGTGGGGCCTTCCCTGCCCAGATATCTTCTGCAGCCTCCTGCTCTCTCTAGACCGGTTCTTTCCAGCTTCCCTGATTCCCATGCTCCCTATGAAGCCCAGCCTCACATCCAGTCCCAGGCCCTCAAGTGATAGGCCAGCCGGCTTCTGGCCCTCACCTTGATACCCTCGATCCGGAAGCCTAGCGTAGAGGTAGAGCTCATGGTTTCCCTCCACTGCATGTAGCGGGGCTTGGTGACCGCACCCTGGGCATGCTCCTCAGGGGTGGGGGCCCCAGGGTCCACAGCCACCATCTTTTCATACATGTCCTTCCGGGGCCGGGGTCGTTCTCGAGCCTTCACCAGCTCTTCTTCCAGGTAAGTTCTGAGCACACAGAGGATGTGACAAGGAGACCATGAAGCACAAAGCTGTAGGGCACGTACTTCCTAATAGTAAGGCATAGTTTAAAGCTACAGTATGGCATAAGAATGAACAAATACATGGACAGAACAGAACAGGGTACACACATACACACAGGCATGCATGCACAATCACTCAGTTTATGACAAAGAACCCAGCGCAATTCAGTGGGGAAAAGGTAGTCTTTGCAATAAACAGTGCTGGGTCAATAGGTTGTCCATATGGAAAATGATGAACCAGGACCTCTACCTCACACCATACACAAACACTAACTCTAGATGGACTGCAGGTCTAAATGAGAAAGCCAAAACAACAAGGCTCATAGAGTACAGCAGAAAATATCTTCATGATCTTGAAGTAGGCAAAGATTTCTCAAACACAAGCCTATTAACCACAATGAAAAAAAACTGACTAAATTGAAAGTACTTCAAGGGCAACATGGCTCATGCCTGTAATCCTAGCTACATGGAGGCTGAGATCAGGAGGATCACAGTTTGAGGCCAGACCGGACAAATAGTTCAAGAGACCACCCCCTCTCCAAAATAACCAGAGCAAAATGGACTGATAGTGTGGCTCAAGTGGTAGAGAGCCTGCTTTGCAAGCTCGAAGTCCTGAGTGCAAAACCCAGTCCCATCAAAAAAAAAAAAAAAGTACTTCAGAAGCTAGGTGTGAAGTACTAGGGTGACGCACACCTGTCATCCTAGCACTCAGGTGGCTAAGGCAGGAGGAGCATAATCTCAAGGCCAAGAAAAAATACTTTTGTTTATAAAAAGCTAGGTACCCTTTATCTAAAATGTTCAGCACCAGAAGTGTTTCAGATTTCAAAGTTTTTCAGATTTTAGCATACTTGCATAGATGAGCCCATAAAGTTTCAGATTTCAGAGAATTTTGGATTATGGGTAATACTGATTGCAAAGTAGGAGTTAGACAATTAGAGAATATATACATATGTGTGTATGTGTGTACAGAACAATTACAGATTAAAAAGAAAAGACAGCCCAATTGAGAAATGAGCAAAAGATTCAAACAGGTATTATTTTCTTTCTTTTTAATTTTAATTTTTTTTTATTTTATTTTTTGCAGTACTGAGGTTTGAACTCAGGGCCTTCACCCTGAGCCACTCCACCAGCCCTATTTTTGTGATGGGTATTTTTGAGATAAGGTCTCACAAACTATTTGCTGAGGCTGGCTTCAAGCCCTGATCCTCCTGATCTCTGCCTCATGAGTAGCCCAGCATTTTTTTTTAATTTTTGGTGGTACTAGAGTTTGAATTCAGGGCCTCTGGCTTGCTAGACAGGTGTTCTGCCATTTGAACCAAGTCCCTAGCCCAAACAGGCACTTTTCAAAAAAGGATTTCCAATGGTCAATCAACATATGAAATAGTGCTTAATTTCTTTGGCCTTCAGAACAAAAGAAATTAAAACTACAATGAAATGCTACTGTATACCCATGAGAGTGGTTTAAATTAGTGAGACAGACAACACCAAAGACTGCTGGGAAGATGGACAACTGGACTTTCGTGTACACTGGTACCATCACTTTGAAAACCGACATGCCCCTATTCAAAAATGCCCACCACCTGTCCTCTACCCTTCCCATGGCTGCCCCGACCCTACCTGCTGCCCATCTTGCAGTCCATGATGGAAGGGCCCTCAAAGTCTGCTAGGAGATCTTCCATCTGGTTGAAGGCCTGACCATCCCTCTGCACCATGCCGTAATAGGCTGGCACAAAAGGCCGCAGAGGGTCTCCCATAAGCTCTTCCAGGCTGCGCTGCTCACACTGACAGAAGCGTTTCAGAATTCGGCCATCCTCTCCTGCCTCGAAGTTCCCTATGAACAGCAGGACCAATGACAGAGTCAAAAACTTGTGTCAGAAAGAGATTCCTGCCCCCCATTTCCCTGTACGTATCAGACCCGAGCCATATCATCTTGCTTGACCCCTGCCATGCTGTCTCTCCCTTCCTATAGCTCTCATGGGCAGGCATGGTAAGGGAAGTCTGTGTCTGCTCTCTCTTGCTTAGACAGAGCCCTGTTCACAGCACAGTGTGTGCTTAATTTGTAATTTTGGATTGTGAGATCATCATAGACGTGGGAATTTTGTGAGATGTGAATAGAGAACATGACTCTGAAGCAGATTTGCATTTGCTTCTGCCTGGAGGCCCCAGGTAAATCTGGCACTTCCTGGACCATGCAGATAGAATTCCAAACTTTTATTCTGGCAGTATTTTTGGCTTAGATTTCCCAAGTATGGCAGTGGCAGTATCTCTAGTTCCACTTACTATCTAGTCTCTCTCAAAAAAAGCTACATGCTAAGCAGTGAGCTTCTGTGTGCTAGAAGAACTCACTAGGTCCTGGGGAAAGCCATTAAAGCTGATGTCACTGTGGACTCTTGTCAGGGAATAACTGGTATACAAAAGGGGCCTTATGTCAATCTCTGCATATATTTTGGTTTAAACTCTTCGGTTACCTACAAGGAGGGTAAGATGAACTCCATATAAACAGACGGGGAAACTGAGGCCCAGGAAGGGAAGGTAACCTGCCCAGGCTCACCAAAGAATAAAAACAACTAGGATTTTATTCAAGGGCCATCCATCCCAGACTTCAGGCTCCACCATCCACCAAAATACTAAAGAATAGTTTCCACTCTGACATAGAAATACCTGGGTCCAGAGCTGAGTGTGGTAGCGCACACATAAAATCCCAGCTACTCAAGAGGTGGAAACAGGAAGATCATGGTTCAAGGCCAACCAAAGCAAAACGCTAGCCCCTATCTCAAAAAAGCCAGGAGCTGGCAGAGTGGCTCAAGTGGTAGAGTGCCTGCTTAGCAAGTGTGAGGCCCTAAGTTCAAACCTCAGTACAGCCAAAAAAAAAGCGGGGGGGGGCTCAAGGGGTAAGAGGGCTTGCCTACCAAGTGAAAGGCCCTTAGTTCAAACCTCAGCAATGCCAAAAAGAAAAAAAACACCAAGCTGAGTGTGGTGTCACACACACGGGGTCCCAGCTAGGCAAGATGCAGGGGTAGGATTACCATTGCCAAGGCTAGTCCAAAGCAAAGACCTGAGACGCCATATGAAAAACAAACTAAAGCAAAAAGAGCTGGTGGAGAGGCTCAAGTTGCAGAGCACTCGCCTAGCAAGCAGGAGACCTTGAGTTCAAACCCCAATACCACCCAAAAAAATAAAATGCCTGACCCCCCAAAAAAAGTCCAGGTTCAGGCCTAGGTATTTCATGTAAGAGCTCCAGGAGATGGAACTGTCACTGAGCCCATTTTATAGGTAGGAAAGTTATAGACAGCAGTCCTTCGACAAGCCCCCAGTGCCTCTGCCCAGCCGTGCCCACCCACTGCCCCCTTTCTCACCAGCATGTCCGGAAAGCTGGACCCAAGGGTAGTGTTTACGGAAGGAGACCACAAAGGGTGAGTACTTCAGAACCGTCTTCAGCTTCTTCCAGGATTTGTTCTGTGTGGGGCACATCAGGGTGGGTCAGGCCAGAGGCAGGGAAGGAGGGGACTGGGAATGCCATGAGAGGAAACCAAGGTGGACCTGGGCTTTCCCCGGGTCTAGGGACCTTTCTGGAATCACTGTTCCCAAGCTTACTGGGGTGAGCAAACCCCACTGAGTTCAGCAATCGTGAGATCTCTAAAGGCCTCAGCAGAGGTAGGGAAAGGTTTTTGTCTGTCTCTGTCATCACTTTTTTTTCTTTTTTCTTATTTTGTGGTACTGGGGTTTGAACTCAGGGTTTTGTGCTTGCTAGGCAGGCACACTACTGCTTGAGCCATACCTCCAGTCCTGTCCTTGTCTTGTAAGTAAGAATAAGCTAAGTTTTATATTGGTAAACCACCACCAAGTCTCCCCCTTACCCCAAAACACACACAGTCCCAAAGCCTAGAAGCCCCATCTCTGCCCCTAAGCCAGGCCAGATCTTTGAGAGCAAATGATAGAGGCAAGAGCAGATGATGGAGGCTGATCACAGAGAGAGACAGATATCAAAGTGATGACAGAGACAGACAGAAAGGGACAGAGACTGTGACAGTCACAAGGGCTATTCACCAAATAGCTCCAGGTTTTCCCCCTTCCTGAGACATCCCTGCCCTCTTAACTGAGGTTAGTGACTTGCTGTTGCCAATGAACTATGAACACAAGTGTCACTTTTGGGTGGAAGCTTTTAGTGTCAGTTTATGGCCCTCCCTCCATGTTGAGTGCCCTGCTGGGGGTGGGGGGTGGAAGGAAAAATGGGAGCTTCCTTAGCCTGGGCCCCTACATGAAGACAGCTGGGAGCTGAGCCCCCTCGCCTCTCCCACTGACCTGTGGCCAATGTAGTCACGCAGATTTGGAGCTATTTGTTACTACATCAGATCCTGATCTACGCTGACTTACAGAGATAGGCTAAAAGCGAAAGAAAGGAACTATGAAAGAGAGACAGAGATACCAGGGAATGACAGAGGAAGAAAAAGATGGATGGAAACAGACAGAGAGAGAGCGCGTGCACAATAGAAAACCAGGGAAGGGCTGGGAGTGCAGCTCAGCAGTGGAGCACAGGCATAGCATATATAAGCCCTAGGTTTGATCCCATCACCACAAAAAAAGAAAGAAAAAAAGCAAAGAGAAAATAGAATTTAGTGTATCACTGCCTCAATGAAGAGCAAGGGTCTGACTCTCATATACACAGATACCTTCTCACCCCAGGCACACAGTGGCCCTTGGCAAGTCTTGGGAGGTGGGTGGCCTCCAGAGAAGGCCATCCTTCTCTAGGGTCAAGGGTATGTTCTCTCCCACCCCTGGCAGCCGAGACACCAGCTACCTAGCTGACAGCTTACTAATGGCAGCAGGTTAAACAGGGAGTCAGGGTGTTGGACTGCAGAATCTAGGAAGGGCTATTCCCTCCCCTGGGGAGGAGATGATTAATCAAGGTTCCTGTTTACTAAGCACCTGGAACATTCCAGGCACAATGACAAATACTCAGTGTGCCATACCCTATTTAATCCTAAAGATACAACTCCAGGAAGATTATTGTCTGTGTCACAGAAAAGGAAACAGGCTCAGAGAAGTGAAGTAACTTGCCTAACATTGTACAGCATAGTGCTGGGTCCTGGCTCTGGAATGAATCCACTGTCCTGGGGTGTATCCACTGCCCTCCAGCTGGACTGCAAGCTCCTGAGGGCAGGGAGGAGGTCATGCCATGGTCACAACTGGTCCCAGCACATGACTTACAGATACACAGTGGGTGCTCCACAAACATTGCTTGTAATAAAGGAAATTAATTGAGACTATTTCTTGTTTTTTTTTTCTTTTGTTTGTTTTCATTGTTGTTGTTTTAAAGACAGGGCTCACTATGTAGCCCAGGCTGGCCTCCAATTCCAGATCCTCCTGCCTTAGTCTCCTGAGTGGTGGGATTACAGGGGTGTACTACCATGCCCTTCTCTCTCTCCCTCTCTCTCTCTCTCTCTCTCTCTCCTTTTAAGCTTTGCTAGGGATGGAACACAGAGCTTTATGCATGCTAAGCAAGTGCTCTACTACTGAGCCACACCCCCAGGCCCTCTCTTTTATCTTAGGTCCAAGGATTAATCTGGGCTTTCTCAGATGGTTTCAGGATGGTCTCAGTTTACATGCCTCCTCCTCCAAGAAGACTTCTTTGATATACTAGGTCTGACCAGTCCTGTCCTCTGGGCTCCCACACCTGCCTGAGCTTCCGCCATTCCAGTCCTGATCACTGTGAAATGTCAATGTCTGGAGATTGCTCTGTCTCCCTCACTGGCCTGGGAGCTAGTGAGAGTAGTGTCTTGGTCACTGCTGTGTCCCCAGCAAAGCCAACATCAAGCCTGACACACAGTAGGAACCCAGGGAGTGACTGTTACTTGATTAGAATAGGTGATGAGAAGGAAGGAAGAATGTGAGAGAGGAAAGAAGAGAGGGAAAAAAGGAGGGAGGAAGGAAAGAATGGAGGAAGGAAGGGAGGAAGGAAGGAAGGAAGGCAGGCCTTCAAGGTCAGACAGGACTTCAAAATTCAGGGAGAAGAAAGCAAGGACATGCCGGGTAGTGGAAGCAGCTTGAGCAACGAATGTGTAGAGACCAGAAAGCAGTGGGGTGTTCTCAGGACACTGTGTACTCAGGCTTAGTTTCAGCAGGACAGGACAAGAGAAGGTTAGGGACCTGGGGACGGGGAGAAGCCTGAAGATAGAGGCTCTAAACACAGAAGCACTGAGCTCCAGATCACTACCAGGAAGGTCCTGGGGAACCGTGGCAGGCACCTGTCTGGGCACAGCTGGGTCACTGAGGCAGCTTCTAGAAAGATGAAGAAAAATTGGAGATAGGAAGGCCTAGGAAGAAGGCAAGTTAGGGATGGATCCACACTCCACAGGGGTTAAAATGATATGTTTGACTGTAAAATAGGTACAGTATGTTTGGGTGGGGAGGTACTTGTAAAAGGGGGAGGGTGAATGGAGGAGATGGTAAGTAGAATATGGTTGATGGGCTTCATATGTTCCTCATATGAAATAGAACAATGAAACCTCTTGCAATTGCTTTAAGTGGAGAGCAGAGGGATTGGGGGAGGGAGGAAGAAGATGGTGAGGGCAATCTAACCAATGTACAATGTAAGGCTAATCAGAATTGTGACAATGAATTCTCTCCCCTGTTTTTAATATATCCTAATAAAAACTGGGGGGAAAAAAACTTAAAAATGACAGGTTTGAAACTCAGCCAGAACTGAGTTAGGGTTGACTTGGCCAAATCTAAGCAAGCAACATCACCAATCTATGCCTCAGTTTCCTTATCTGTAAAATGGAGATAATAACAATCCCAATCTCCCAGTCCTGCCATAAGGATTCAAAGAGACAAGCCAAGCATGGTGGTGCACATCTGTCATTCTAATACTCCAGTAGCTAAGGCAGAAGGATCTAGAGTTCAAGGTCAGCCTAGGCAATTATTATTTTGCAGTACTGGCATTGAACCCAGGACTTCCCATTTGTGGCTCTACAACTTGAGCCACACCTCCAGCTCACTGTTATTATTATTGTTAGTCACCCATTTCCTGCTCAGCTGTGCGGAGATGCCAAGGAGGTGAGAAAGCAGACAGAAGAGCGCAGGCAGAAAGCCCCGAGAGGTCAGCTCCTTTGCACAGACACTGGCACGTTTGGGCAGGTCTGTTTCTCACAGAAGCCACGTGTGTGAACATGTCCCTTAGCAAGGCATGTGGGCTGAGCAAGGCTCAGGGCAGATTCCCCAGCACAATGGGAGGACTCACAGGCAAGCTGGGGAAGTGACAGACTACGGCCTACGGACTGCACTGCCAGCCCCAGGAGCTCCCTTAAACTCCTGTGTCTGCTCTGACTCTCCCTCCCGGAACCTGCCAGGCCAGCCCTTCTGATTCACCTAGGGAAGCCACACCCAAACTGGAGACTAGGGTGGAGGATGTCAAAAAGAGTCTGCAGGGCCCCCTTGGGGGCCTGAGGGGGACAATGGGAGACAGGGGGCTGGCTCCCTGGCTAAGCAAAGGATCCTTGAGCATTTTGGGTTGGCACAGCCCTTCAAGCCTCTGAAGAAAGCTGGAGGGGGGCAAAGGGGATCCCCCCTTTTTTTTTTTGGCAGTACTGGGGTTTGAACTCAGGGCCTCACACTTCTAGGCAAGCACTCTACCACATGAGTTATTCTGCCAGTCCTTATTTGTGTTGGTTATTTTTCAACATAGGGTCTCACAAACTATTGGCCAGGGCTGGTCTCAAACCGCAATCCTCCTAATCTTTGGCCTCTTGAATAGCTAGGATTACAGGCATGAGGCACCGGCACCAGGTTTAGGGGACCCCTTAAGGCAGCCACAGAACTCAGACTAAGACATCTGGGGAAGAAAATGCGCTCTATCTCCCTGTTGTAGTGTTTTTCAAATTTGGGGGTCACAGCCTCCCCAGAGTATTCAATAGAACACATAGACCCTCGCTGCAAAATTGTGCATTCACACATACCCAGACTCACTCAATGGTAATTTCAGAGGTCCCTGCGCACCATGAAATCAATCAGTGGTCCTCCACTGTAGACCCCAAAACTGGAGAAAGTGGAGGAAAGGAAGATGTTGGGGTGCCTAGAGAGGGTTAGTAACCTGGCTGTCAGAGAGAGAAAGACAGTGGAGGGAAGAGGTGCCTGGTGATGAAACTGGTGGTGGAGAGATTAAGAGTAACTTGAAAAAAAACTTCCCAATCAAAGGGGGAGGGTGGGAAGTCTGGGGGATGTGGCTCAGGGACAGAATAGGGTCCCACTCACCCCAGACCTGTCCTCGGGATCGCTGGTACCTCCACCCCCAGCCATCAGGTCATCCTCAGACTCGTCAAAAGAGGAGGCAGAGGAGAAGCCACCACTGCCCCCCTCAATACGGGATGGGGGTCCCAGTGGCTGGGCCTCAGGCTCAGGGGTCTCAGGGGTGATGATGAGGCGGGGAACAGTGCACAGGGAGCCACACTCCAGTTGAGAGTAGAGTTGAGTCAACTCTCCAGGTTCTGGTCCCTCTAATGAGCCATCTCCGTTGGGCTCCTCCAAAAGGCAGTCAGTTTCAGGTGCTGTCTGGGGCCCATCCGTGCCAGGCTGTGTCCGGAGGTGTTCGATAGTTTGCTGTGCTGGGAAAAAATCAGATCCAGGCTGTTTCCAGGCTGTCTGAGTGTTCTGTTGTATCTGAGAGCCTTCAGTATCCTGTGGAATCCTGGAGCTCTCTGTGTACAGTTCTTTCTGGGAGTCACCAGCACTTGGTTCTGTTGAGGGACAGGCTCCCACTGGGTGAGTCCGGAGGTTGGACCTGCTCTGGTGGGTCCAGAGGTTATCAGCCCAGGGCTCGACCCCCTGTGGCTGAGTCTGCCGCCCAAATATTTCTAGTTCTGTCCAGGGTTCATCAGACCCTGGCTGGGTCCAGAGGCTGGCCCTCTCTGGCTGAGACTGGAGGTCGGATTTGTGTGGATCAGTCCAAACGCCATCTGTCGCAGTCTCGGTCCAGGGACCGGCCATCTCCAGCTCTGTCCAGTGGCTGCTTCTTTCTAGATGTGTCTGGAGGCCAGACATGTCTAGCTCAGTGTTTTGGCTGGGCCTCTCAGTCTTGGTTCCTAGGCCAGCTGCTTCGAGCTCAACCTGTCCGTCTGTCCAGGATTCTGTCTGTAGACCGCCTGTCCTTAGGTCAGGCCCGATGCCAGCACTCTCGGGCTCGCTGTGCAGGATGGACTCCTCAGTACAGGCTGGGGGCCCGCCCCTCTCCGGCCGGCCGGCAGGGCACCCCGCGCCAGGCCCGGGTCGCTGCTGTCCTGGCTGCCGCCGCCGCCCCCCTCGCGGTGCCTCCAGCCCCATGCGGGCCGCGGCGGGCAGCGTCCCGGCCTCCGCCTCGCTCAGGCTCCCCCGGCACGGGCAGCGCCTCATGCCCGCTCCCTCGGTTCGGGCTTCGGCAGGCCCGGCTCCTCCTTCCCCTTTAAATCCAGCTAGGGGTGTGGCCGGGGAGCCCCGACTCGCGGGTTCCGGCCGGCAGAGTCTCAGCCAGCCAGACCACTCAAGGGTTAATCGATACTCCACCTCCCGGGGAAAGCCCCATGGCCCCGCCCACCGGATATGACGTAAAAGGAGCTGCTGGTCTGCGTCGGAGGGCGTGGCCTCCAGACGCTGAGCGCGCTGGTTCTGCGCGGGGGTGGTGGTTGAGCGTCAGTCTCTTTGGACGCCCTCCGCCTTACCCAAACACTTTTTTTCTTTTTCGGCAGTACTGGGGTTGAACTCTGGGCCTCACTCTTGCTAAGCTTGCTAAGCAGGCGCTCTACCACTTGAGCCACTCCGCTAGCCCTTTTTTTCTTTTCTACTTTTGGCAGTACTGGGGTTTGAACTGGGGGCCTCACACTTGCTACGCAGGCGCTCTATCACTTGAGCCACTCCACCAGCCCATCCCCCTACACCCTCAAGTGACAGATTCGGCCTCCCTACACCTCCTCTCACCCTCCGGCCCCCCACACCCGCCCACCGTGACGAATTCAGCTGGCCACCATTCTTCACGCAGGGGCAGGACAGAGTTGGGGGTGTCACAGACTTGGGTTCGAGACCCGGCCTCTGCCACTTCCCGCTGTGCTACTTTCAGTGAGTGCCTTAGGTTCCACTGAATTTCACATAAGAAATCTCATGTCTGGGACGAGTGTGGCAGTACACGCCTGTAATCCCATCATTTTGGAGCCTGACGTATAACTCTTTGATGAGAGTTACACGTCACCCTGGGCTAAATAGCGAGGCCCGATATCAAAAAAAACCAAGAACTGGGGAAGTAACTCAGTGACAGAGCGTATGGACAAGGCCCTGGGTTCCATACCCAGTACTGAAAAAAACCTCATGTCTAGAGGTTGAAGCCAGCCCCGGGGCAAATAGTTGGGGAGATCCTTTCTCGGAAAAAAAACAGTCACACAAAAAAAAAAATAACAGTCACAAAAAAAGCATTGGCAGAGTGTAAGGCCCTGAGTTCAAAGCCCAGGGCTGCCAAAAAAAAAGGACACTGGATACTCAGAGGCCTCTAGCCTTTGTTTTATCCCCTGGGCTACTTACTGTGACCCATATGTGAGGCACGTGGTGCCAGGCTTGACACTGTCAGCCTCAGCAGTGTAGAATTAGTTGTCATAGGTGTTGTTTACATAGTCGCCCCCAGTGGTGAGCTGCCTCCAGCTCCTGAGTCAAATCCTCACCTTCGGAGGGAGACAGGGTGGTTTCAGTCTTGAAATTGATTTACCTAGGGGAAGGACATTGGGCACAGGTCCAAGGCTGAAGAATGAATCATCTCTTCATAAACTAATGATAAGTCAGAAGCAGAGATCCACCTGGTACATCATACAAATTAGAAGCTGAGGTCCAGAGAGGGGTCAGAGTTCTTGAGGTCACACAGCAATTGGATAGAGATCGAGAGGCCTGATTCCTGACCAAGGTGTGTGTGCGTGTGTGGGGGGAGACTGACAGAGAACGGGATGCTGAGAGATGCCTTAACCAGCTGTTTCTATTCCAGTGGTGAAGAGTGAGTAAGCCTGGAACGCACGCGCGTGCATACATACACAGACAACCTGACTGGAAGCTGATTTTCTGGGATGCCAAGATTTTTGACTCAGCACTGGGAATCCTAGCTGACTGTATTCTGGGAAATGTCAGTCCTACAGGAAACAGAGGGCTCCCACTCGCGCCATCCCGCAGGTGGGCGGGGAGCAGAGAGAGCAGGGTACGTGAGGAACAGAAGCTCAAAGCTCAGTGTGCAAGTGAGGGGGTTTATGTACGCAGTGTGAGCGGGAGAGAGTTGGCGAGCAAAACAGGGGATTTTACATGCCCAAGGAAGGAGGTTGGGTGCCAGGCCGTGGGTGTTTGTGCAAAGTGGAGGCGCTCCATGCATGTGCAGGGGGAATGTTTGCTTGGAAGAATGTGTGTTCAAAGGAGAGGTAGGTGAGACTGCCTGAAGGAAAATAAGAAGGGGGATTGGGCAAGATGATCGTGCAGAGATGTGACGTTTGTAAGGGAAAGTGTTGTTTGCAAGACAGTGCAGGGAACCTCGTACATGGCACTCTGAGGTTGGTGGAAGGGCGTAAGAAGCACTTGTGCGCTCTAGCCGGCCCTGAAACCCATCCCGAAAGCCCAGCTGCGGCGCCTCAGCCCCGCCCCCGCGCGCACAGCGTTCTATGCCTATCAGCGGGCTGCTGCTCTCTTATTGGCTAGCTGGGTAGAGGGGGCGGGCTGAAGATGTTCCCGGAAGCATAGGAGGCCCCACGCTTTGTGGACCCAGACCTGGAAAGCAGTGGGTGCTTAGCAACAGGAGGAGGTGCCCAGTAACCCCGTGGGGGGGGGATACGCGGGAGGAATTTGGTGCCTAGCAACAAAGGGGGCTCAGAACGAGAAAGGCTACCATGGAGGATACGTGAATGTCTAGCAACGGGGGAGGACCCTAGCAACAGTGAGGGGGGTGTTGGGAGGTTCAAGGGGAGAACTTTGAGTTCCTAACGAGGAGGTGGGTAACCAGGAGAAACTGTGGGGATCCGTTAGCAGGGGAACAGGTCTTTGGTAGATGGGAATCGAAGGGGTGTGGATACTGGAGAATTTGGGGGCTTTGTAAAAAGCAGCTGGGGGCGCAAAGCAGGAGGCCCAGTCGTCCACTTCCTACCTAAATAATCCCTCCTCTTCTCCCTTAGGCAATGTGGCTGGAGGTAGGGGGCCTACTGCGGGGGACCCGTGGACAACTGGGCTGGGCTGCTGGTCTGCTATGTGCTGCCCTGGGTCCTAGGCCCCACCGTTGGGTAAGAGACTGGAAAGGGAGTCCCCAAGAGGAAGAAGTTGAGGGAGGCTTTGGGGGAAGGGGAAGAGAAGGACAGAAAGGAGCCCAAAAGGGCCAGATAGGCCCCATGTCCTCTACCCAGGTCACTTCTTTTAAAGGGACCGTGTGGGGGTTTTTGGGCCCAACAGTGTCATCAGCATGGCCCCGGAAGAGGCCTGAGTGAGGAGAATATTCGAAGGGCACGGGAGACCCGTCTCAGGAAGACACCCCGAACCCAGGTATCATTGTACACCCACCCCCAGACCCAGCAACACCCCATGAAGGCTGCTAGTTTCCGATCTTGAAGAAGAGGGTGGGGGTAGGTTGGTTCTATTCTCTGGGCACTGTGCCCACCTTTCCAGCCCTCAGACCTTCTCCTGTTTCCCAGCTGAGTGATCGCTCCCGAGAACGCCAGGTGCCCGCCTCCCGCATCAGTCGCTTGGCCAGCTTTGGGGGTAGGTGTGACTTTGGGGAATCTAGATACGACCTAGATCAGAGGAGGCAACATTTGCAGGATGAAGCAACAGAAAGGATGAATCAGTGACAGAGAGAGGAGGAAAGGATGACAAAGGCAAACACCTGCAAAGCCAAAATAAATGGGAATAGAAGGATGGTTAACATTTATTGAAAACTCCTGACACAGTGATCTCCCAGTACCGAACTGATGAGTATTCATTTCTGTTTTGTGAATGAGGAAATCGGGGCAAAGAGAGGTGAGGTGACTTGACTCCAGGTCATGCAACAGATTGTTCAAACCTACACAAAATAATTTAGTGACTTGCAACCAACATTAAAATAGAAGAAAGCTAAACCAGGCACAGTGGTTCATGACTGCAATCTTAGCTTCTTGGGAGGCTGAGATTGGGAGAATCAAGGTTTGAGACTAGCCCAGACAAAAAATTAGTGAGACCCCATCTCAACCAATAGCTGGGTACAGTAGCACTCCCCTGTCATCCCAGCTATACTGGAGAGCATAAAATAGGAGAATCATGGTCCACACAGTCTGGGCAAAAAGTGAGACCCTATCTCCAAAATAACGAGAGATAAAAGGGACTGGAGGAATGGCTCAAGCAGTTGAGGGCTTGCCTAGCAAATGTGAAGCCCTGAATTTAAACCCCAGTACCAATAAAAGAAAGCCAGGTGTGGTGGTACATGCCTGTAATTCCAGTACTCAGGAGGCTGAAGCAAGAAGATCATGAGTTGGAGGCCTGCCTGGACTACAAAGTGAGTTCAAGGCCAGCCTTGGCTACCTAGTGAAACCCCATTGATAAGAAAAAAGGAGAAAGTATGAGCACACCTGTAGTGATTATAATATTATATATATTATATATATATATATTATATATATAATATTTATATTATAAATTATATATAAATGTTTTATATATAAATATTATATATTATATATATTATATATACATATAATATATATTATATATATAAATGTCTTTACTGCGGATTCATTGTGGATCATGGCTCAGTGACTCTAGGTTTGCTTTGGGTTTTTTGCTTTTGGTTTTTTTCTTTTGCAGTATGGGGGTTTGGACTCAGGGCAGTTGCTAGGCAAATGTTCTTCCACTTGAGCCACACCCCTGGTCCATCATGGTTCAAGGTTTAAAGATTACAATTCACAGTTGAAAGAGGCAATTGAGTGCACTGGATAGATCTTTGATACCAGGCTGCCCCAGGTTCCAGATGTTTTGTGACTCAGGGCAAATTACCTCTCTGAGCCTTGATTTCCTTTTCTGTAAAACATTTCATGAAGGTGTAAAGACACATGAGTTAATGCAAAGAAGGCACTGGAAATAGTACCCAGCATTTAAAAAGCACTCAGAAAATGCCAACTGCAACAATTTATAGAGATGGTGACAGTGAAAGAGGGACAGGGACCCAAAATGCCTTTAGGAGCAAGGAGAGAATGGAAGCACAGGAAATCAGAGAAATAGAGATAACATCAAAGAGAAGAACAGAGAGAAGAGGGCCTAGACATTGCCAGGTACAGGGAGGGGAAGATGGAGACATAAGTGACTTAGAAAAGGAGAGATGGAGACAGGAAAAGGTGAGGACAACAAAACAGGAGTTGCCAGGAGAATACATTAGAATCAGCTGGGATGCTTTAAAAAAATATGACTTTCATCTCGTAACTCCAATCAGTTTCATCAGACTCTCGGGTGGAATCTTGGCATCCAATTTACAGAAGCTTCTCAGATGTCAGCCAGGGCTCTGACCTGCTGGGAGGGAAATGGTGACATGGGGAGAGAGATGAAGAAAAAGAGAGTGTCACCTTGAAGGAAACCCAGGAAGAAAGAGAGCAAGAACCTAAGACAGAGAGATACAGAGAGTTGGCAACAAAGAGGCTGGGAGACAACAAAGAGAAGAGAGGAGCTGGGTGCTGGTGGCTCACACTTGTAATCCTAAGTACTCAGGAGGCAGAGATCAGGAGGATCATGGTTCAAAACCAGCCTGGGAAAATTGTTTGCAAGACCCTATCTTGAAAATACCCATCACACACACACACAAAAAAGAGGCTGGTGGAGGGCTCAAGGTGTAGTCCCTGAGTTCAAGCCCCAGTACTACAAAAAGAAAAAACAAGGCAACTAGCAGGCACTCAGGCTCCTCTCTCTCTCTCTCCTCTCTCTCTCTCTCTCTCTCTCTCTCTCTCTCTCTCTCTCTCTCTCTCTCTCTCTCTCTCTCTCTCTCTCTCTCTCCAGGACTGGCTGTGGGATTGGGGCTGGGAGCTCTGGCTGAGGTGGCCAAGAAATCCCTGCCAGGAGGAAGTCTGCAGTCAGGTGAGTGAGCCGCATTGCCTAGATTCAGATACTGGCCTCACTGTGTGACCTGGGGTCAGTGACATTACCTCTCTGGGTCCCAGTTTCCTCATCTGGAGGATGGAAGTGATGATAATATATCTGTCTCTTAGGATCACTGTGAGTTGCTCAGAATCAGGCCATCATTAACAGAAGCATATCATCTGAGGCTGGGTATGGTGGTGTATGCTTGTAATCCTAGCACGCAGGAGGACTGTGAGTTCCAGGCCAGGCTGAGCTATATAAGCAGACCCTATTTCAAAAAAGAAAAAACAAAAAAGAAACATATCATCAAGGAAAAATAGAAGCCATTGGAAGTTGTAAACTGAGCAGGAGAGGAAAGCAGAAAATAGGAGTGCCAGTCGGTTTGGTTTGGTTTTGGTAGGATGGGGTTTGAACTCAGGGTTTCATGATTGCAAAGCAGATGCTGTACCACTTGAGCCACACCTCCATTTTGCTCTTGCTACTTTGGAGATGGGATCTCAAGAACTATTTGCTCGGGGCTGCCCTTGAACCTCAGTCTTCCTGATCTTAGCCTCTTGAGTAACTTACAGGTGTGAGCCACCAGTGCCTGGCCAGGAATGCCAGTTGGATTTGTGTCCACCAGAGATTGGGACCAGACGTGGAACCTTTGTGGTTAAGATTCCTCAACAAGTCAAAGTCTTAAAACAAAAGTGAGGGTGGTTGTTCTAGATTAAAATGAAACTACAGAGACATTGATTGCAAAGGGAGTATGTGAACCATAACTGGATGTCACCACGAAAAAAACAACCATAAAAGACTACTTGGAGCCACTCATACCTGTAATCCTAGCAAATCAGGAGGATCATGGTTAGAAGCCAGCCCAGGCAAATAGTTTACAAGACCCTATCTTGAAAAAGCCCAACACAAAATAAAGGGTTGGTGGAGTGACTCAAGGTGTAGGCCCTGAGTTCAAACCCAGGCACTGAAAAAAAGAAAAATTCTTGAGAACAACTAGAAAGATCGAATATGGACTTGAGAGGATAGTAGATATTAGGGAATTTCAGTTAATTTTCTTACATGTGATTATAGTACTGTGCTTGTGTTCAGAAATATCCTTATTAGAAAGGTTGCATGCAACTTCAGCAAAACATGCAAAATGCAGGGGCAATGCAGATGAAACAATGTTACAATGTCAAAGCATGGAGCACTGTTCTGATATTTTGAGCACAATTTTTCTGTCTTCTTTGGGTGTTTCTAAAAATGTTGTGTATTGAGCTGTACATGGTGGGGCACATCTGTGGTCCCAGCACATGTGACACTGAGACAGGAGGATCGTGAGTTTGAGGGCAGCCTGGGCTACATAGCTTAAACCATTTCCTACCCACAAAAGTTGAGGATTGGTGGAAGATTAGGCTTTTAGGTAAGGCCAACCTGAGTCTACACCTTGCTCTGTCATTCTGTGCTGTAAGACCCAGGACCAGGCACTGCACCTCTGTGTCTCTTCCTTACCTTGAAAATTTGGAGTGTGCAGTTCACACTTCCTGGGTCATAGTTGAGATTCAGTCAGAGAACCCACAAAGATGCTTTGAATTCTGCAATATACAGGACTGGAGGCGTAGTTCAAGTGGTAGAGTGCCTACTTTGGTTTTTTTGCAGTACTGGGGTTTGAACTCAGGACCTCGATCCTCCTGATCTCTGCCTCCTGAGTAGCTAGGGTTACAGGCATGAGCCACCGGTACCTGCCAAGTGCCTACTTTGTAAACATGAAACCCTGAGTTCAAACCCCCAGTCCCACCAAAATAAAAAAAAAAAAGAATTTTACTCCTTGGCTGTGCGATGGTGGCTCACGCCCTGTAATCCTAGCTACTTGACAGACTGAGATCAGGAGGATTGTGGTTCAAGGTCAACCAGGGTAAACAGTTCCTCTTTATCTCTGCCTCCTGAATTGCTAGGATGACAGGTGTCAGCCACCAGTGCCTGGTTTAATAACTTTTTTTAGAAAATAAACTCTTAAGAAGTTCTTTGCTAATGAGTATTATAATTTACATACAAATTTGCATACTTACCTGTACTTGGAGCATTTTCATAAAGTAGACACATCTGTGCACTCAGATCAAGAAACCCTAGAAGAGCAAACTTCAACCTTTGGTCTCAGGATCTCTGCACACCTTCAAACTGATGAGTGGATCAGTAACATGATATGCTTGTAATGGAATACTACTCAGCCACAACAAGGAATGAAGTACTGACACACAGCGAGGAGGACAAATCACTATGCTAAGTGAAAGCAGCTACACACCAAAAGGCTACATGTTGGGTGATTCTAGTAATGTGACATGTCCAGAATAGACAGAAAGTAGATTAGTTTTTGCCTAGAGCTAGGAAAAATGGGAGTGACTCCTACAGGCAGGGGGTTTGTGATTCTTTTTTTCTATTTTGTTTTGTTTTGTTTATTGAGATGGGTCTTGCTATGAAGTCCAAGATAGCCTTTTTTTTTTTTTTTTTGTGGTACTGGGGCCCTCATACTTACTAGGCAGGCACTTTTACCACTTAAGCTACTTCACCAGTTCTCTGTGTGTGTGTGTGTGTGTGTGTGTGTGTGTGTGTGTGATGTGTTTGCCCTATTTCTGTGATAGGTTTTTCAAGATAGGGTCTCACCAACTATTTGCCTGGACTTATAACTGTGAAACCTGATCTCTGCTTCCTGAGTAGCTAGGATTACAGGCGTGAGCCACCATTGCCCAGCTTATGTTGGTTATTTTTGAGATGGAGTCTTGCTTTATGCCTAGGCTGGCCTGAACCAATATCCTTCTATTTATGCTTCTCCTTGTAGCTGGGTGACAGGTGTAAACTACCACACCCAGCCATTGCAAACTCCCTCCCACCCCCCAGCTGGCCTTGAACCAAAATATTTCTGCATCTCCATCTCCCAAGTAACGAGGATTACAGGCTTGAGCCACTGTGCCTGGCCTTTTTTGTTGTTTTCTGTGCTGGAGATTGCACCCAGGGCCTCTGACATGCTAAGTATGCATTCCACCCCTGAGCTACACCACAGCCAAAACTGTATGTTTTAAATGGGTAACTTATTTCTCAATAAAGAGGTTAAAAAATAGGATGATGCTGGGCCTTTAATTCTTGCTACTCTGGAGGCAGAGATCAGAAGGATTGTAATTCCAGACGAGCCCAGACAAATACTTCAAGAGACCCAGTCTCTAGCTGGGCACCAGTGGCTCACACCTATAATCCTAGCTATCCAGGAGGCAGAGATCAGGAAGTTCGAGGTTAGAAGCCCAGGCAAATAGTTCGAGAGAACCTATCTCGAAAAAAAAACATCACAAAAAAGGGCTGGTGTAGTGGCTCAAGGTGTAGACCCTGAGTTCAAACCCCAGAACTGCCAAAAAAAAAAAAATCACATAAAATATATTTATTATTAACTGATACATACTAATTTTACATATTTCTGGGATATAATGTGACATTTGTTTGTTTGAGACACCATCTCGCTATGTAGCCCAGGCTGGTTTCCACCTTGAAATCCTCCTGCCTCAGCCTCCCAAGTGCTGGGATTACAGGCAGGTCCACCATTCCCAGCTTCAACATCCTAGTATTTTACTGAAAATGCTTCAATCTCACAGACCAACCTGAAAGGTCTCAGGGACTCTCAGGGGTCCTTGGACTAGAGACTTCTTCCCAATCTCCAGAAACTCCTCTCATGCCCCCTCCTGGTCACTCCTTTCATGAAGAGTGACCACTGTGGCTTCTGACAATCAGTTTTATCTGTTTTTGCTCTTCTGTAAGTATAATCAGGCAGTATATTCTCATGTATCTGGCTTTTTTTTTTTTTTTTGAGATAGGGTCTCACTGTGCTGCTTAGGCTGTCCTCAAACTCATGATCTTCCTGCCTCAGACTTCTGAGTGCTAGAATTATAGGAGTGCACCACCATACCTGGTGCGTCTGATTTCCTTTGTTCAACTTTATGCTTGTGAGCTGGTGTCTGTTGTTGAGTGTAGCAGTAGACTGTTTATTGAGTGCTGTAGTAGGTCACCCTGCGACACTTGCACAGTTTATTCCTTCATTCTGTGGACAGTCATTTAGGTCATTTTCTGTTTGGGACTGTCTATGACAGACATAGGGCTGCTGTGACCATCTGGTATGGCCTGTTGGTGGGCACATTTATATATTTCTCTTGTGTGTGTGTACCTGGGAGGGATATTGCATTGTGTATAGGCCGGAGCCTTACTGGAAACTTCCCAGCTGTTTTCCAGAGGACTTGTGCCAGCACTGTCCCAGCAACTGTATCTGAGTTCAGGTCGCTGCCCTTCTTTGGCAATACTTGGTATTGCCTTTTAGCCACTCTGGTAGTGGTGTGGTGGTGTTACAGCACTGTGATACTAACAGTCATTCTCTTTCCTGCAGAGGGCGGCTCCCGGATGGACTCCAGCCCTTTCCTGTCAGAGGCCAACGCCGAGCGGATCGTGCACACCTTATGTACAGTGCGGGGTGCTGCCCTCAAGGTCGGCCAGATGCTCAGCATCCAGGGTATAGTGTGATCCTCAACTCCTGACCCCGACCTCACTTCCGCCATACCCCCACCCCACAACAAGCCCTGACTGCAGGCCCCTACTCCCTCACTCTTCCCCTGTCCCTCTGTGTCTTAAGATAACAGTTCCATCAGCCCCCAGCTACAGCACATCTTCGAGCGGGTCCGCCAGAATGCTGACTTCATGCCCCGATGGCAGATGCTGGTGAGTACCTGGTAGGGATGGCCAGTGTGAGGCTTGCTCCATCTCCTCCACCTCCACACCTGTCTGCCTGCCCCCCGTCCCGTTGGCTGCTTGGTTTCCCTATCTGTAAAATGAGGATCACCAAAGTACACACCTCATCCATCCATGGCATTGTTGTGATCAAGTGAGAGGATGGCACTGAGCACTGTGTTCTGCTCTGGGCCCAACTCAGCACTCTGCTGAGGCAGCAAAGCATAATCATTAGGGTTGAAATTCTGTCCCTGCCACTCACAGATGTGTGTCTTCACCTCCTTGTGCCTCAGTTACCTCATCTGGAAAACCTGGAAAATGGTAGCCACACCCATGTCATAGGGTTACATAAAGCAACACATAACTGATATGCTAGAGTGCACAGAACTGCCCCTGCCGCCCCATGAGCTGTGATTAATTAAAGGATCGGGAAGAGCATCTGCAGTTTGAGGCCAGACCAGGCAAACTTATGGACCCTATCTCAAAATAAAATACAGGCAAAATGGCTGGAGCGTGGCTCAAGTGGTAGAGCCCCTGGATTCAATCCTAGTACCACAAAAAAAAAAAAAAGAAGAAGAAGAAGAGGAAGAAGAAGAAAACTTTAAAGGAGGTGGTGTCTGTAAATAGCTGGAATAGCACTGAGTGCCCAGTACATGAGCTGTTCTTCCAGTAAGTAAGGGTGTAGGCTCCAGCATCCAGCCACCTGCTTGCTTTCCAATCTGTTCTGCTCACTTGCCATGTAACCCCAGGCCTCAGCCTATCTCTGAGCCACTCTGAACAGGACCCAGCCCACAGGAAGCTCTTTATCACATTAACTTCAAGTTAACACAATATGGTCCCAGAGGGGTGGTGCACATCTGTAATCCCAGCTGCTGAGGAGTTGGGCTTAGGAGGATTGCCGTTCATGCATCTGGACAAAAGTATGAGACCCTATCTGAAAGATAAGCTAAGAGCAGAAGAACTGGGGATGAGGCTCGAGTGGTAGAGTTTTATCTAGCAAGTGCAAGGCCCTGCGATCTACTCTCAGTACTGCCCCAAGTACCAACAATAATACAATATGGAAATACAACAAAGTATTGTTATTGTTCTTATCTAAAGATAACAGCAGTCCCCACAACATGTAGAGGGGTACAGAGAGGCGAACTGGACTGGGTCTTCCAATCTACCAGTGCCTGGCTGGTCACCTGGGCAAGAGACTTTTCCCTGCACCTCAGTTTCCACATCTATAAAGTGGGGTAGCAGCCAAGAGCTTAGCTCAGGTTTACAAGCAGGGTAAGCACTCAGCTCCAGGGATGAACTCAGCAGTCATAACCACAATGGTGATTATCATGACCACCTCTTCCTTCCCACAGAAAGTTCTCGAAGAGGAGCTGGGTAGAGACTGGCGGACCAAGGTGGCCTCCCTGGAGGAGGTGCCTTTTGCTGCTGCCTCAATTGGGCAGGTGCACCAAGGAATGCTGAAGGATGGGACAGAAGTGGCCGTGAAGATTCAGGTGGGCAGGTAGGCTGGGTGGCAGGTTGGGAGTGAGCACCCTGCTGTCTTAAAGAAGTGATTCCCAACTGTCTTCCTCCTCTCGCAGTACCCAGGCGTTTCCCAGAGCATCCAGAGTGATGTGCAGAACCTGCTGGCCGTGCTCAAGATGATCATAGCCCTGCCAGATGGTGAGGCACCCAGTCTGTCCTCAACCAAGGGAGGGATGCCTGAAGGGAGAAAGTGGGGCTGGCCAGAGTGTCAGAGCATGGGGCAGGATGTGCTGTGAGTGTGCATACATCAATATGTGTGACAAAAGGAGGACAGCCAGTGGGGACAACCCAGAGTACTTGTGTGTGTGTGAGGGACAGAACCACAGAGACAGAATCTCACACTGAAACACAGAGACACAGAGGATGTGCAGAGCTGGGGGAGGGATTTTAGGTGCTACAAAGCAGCCATGCAAGCAGAAAGCGGGGGTCAGTGGAACAGCATATTTGTGTCCGAGCACATGAGAGAGCACCTGCGGGAGACAGAGCAGGCTGCGTTGGTGTGGGAGGGAGAAGAGGGAGAGAGACAGACCCAGGCCCAGAGCAAAGATGAGAGACAGAGCCAGGCGCCAGTGCCTTATGCCTGTAATTCCAGCTACTCAGGAGCAGAGATCAGGAGGATTTCAGTTCAAAGCCAGCATGGGCAAAGAGTTCACAAGACCCTATCTCAAAAAAATCCATCACAAAAAAGGACTGGTGGAGTGGCTCAAGGTGTAGGCCCTGAGTTCAAACCCCAGTACAGTGGGGAATAAAAAAAAAAAAAGATGAGAGACAGAGGGCAACACAAATCAGCATGAACAAGAGACAGAAGGTGGCATTGCATGGACAGAGAAAGAATTACCTCAGGACTGGGGTGGTGCCCATGGCAGAAAAGCACAGGTGCCGGAAGGAGAGAGGGAAAGTATGTGTATAATGATGAGGAATGTAAATGTGAGGGACAGTTAGAGAGACACAGGAAGGAGACACAGCTGGCAAGAAAAGGCACTGGTGTATGGGACCCCAGGTGCTCAGGCAGCAGGACCGGCTGGGCCATCCCCTGCTGACCTGGCTGCTCTCCCCAGGCCTGTTTGCTGAGCACAGCCTGCAGGCCCTGCAGCAGGAGCTGGCTTGGGAGTGTGACTACCGTCGTGAGGCAGCTTGTGCCCAGAACTTCAGGTGAGCTGACTCTCCAGAGACTCTGGGGGAACCCTTTCCTCCAGCTCTCCTTCTTCCTTCCCTCTCTCTCAACCAGCAGCTGGAGGCCGGGGGTGGGGCTGACAGGCTCTTTTTCTTACATTCATTCTTTCACCCTCCCATTTATCCATCCATCCATTCTTTGCTTCACTTGTCTCCTTGTGCCTTCTGTGAGTGTGGGCAGGTCACTTTTCTTTTTTTTTTTTTTATTGTTTTATTATTCATATGTGCATACAAGGCTTGGGTCATTTCTCCCCCCTGCCCCCACCCTGTCACTTTTCTGTCTATAAGGTGGGACACATATCCCCTGTGGTCTGACCCAGGTCCTTCATTGCACCATGAGTCACTGATCTATACCCATTTGACTGTGAAAGATTAAACAGTAGGAGAGGTTGGGATACCAGGGAGTCCCTCATACACTGGGCAAGGGAAGAAACTGATAGAAGCGTTTTGGGGAACAGCTTGGCATCAGCAAATAAGCCCTTATATTCACACACACTACAACCCCACCATTGCCGTCCTTGTTGAATACTCTAAGGACACTTAATGCCAGTATTCACCATCAGTTTTCTAGAAGGCTCAGAACACCATTGTTTGTAAGAACCCCAACTAGAAACAATCCAAATCTGTTAAGTCTATCCAAGAGGATGGATGCATAAATTAATGGTGTATTCGTTGGTGGAATATTATGTGGCAGTGAAAAATGAACCAACTTTAACTACATGGAACAGTGTGGTTATATCTTGGAAGATGGTGATGTACAGTGATTAAGGACACCTCAGTAGGATTCTCCACAATGTGGCTCACACGTTTATTGTGGCTCACGATATGCCAAGCTCAGTAGACAGAGGAATGAGAGAAGAATTGGAAGGCAGTGTTTCAGGGCATGTGTCCCAGATTCAGACATATATGGGATCCAGTCTTAGGTTCAGCCTTGCAGGCTGGGTGGCCCGATTCCAGACAGTTGGCCTCAGGAGAGTGTCCTGGTTGTGAGGATATAAGGGAACTGTGCTGATTAAATGCTCTGCCCAGGGCATGGCTCTTGAGAATGATGTAAACATGAGATCTTATAAAAGGACAAAAGTACAGACCCAGATCAGGACCTTGAGGAGGAGGGTGCAAAGCAGGATGGGGGTGAGAGCCACCCCCATGTGGGATCTGGGGACACCTGTCCCCTACAGGGTCCCCCTTCCTCCCCCTCACTCTCTAGCACAGGTTCTCGGTGAGAGGCCTCACTCATATTCTCTGCCTCCTAAGTCTTTGTTTTGGCTGCACGGGGTTTGAATTCAGGGCCTCACATTTGCTAGGCAGGTACTCTTACTTCCTGAGCCACACCACCAGCCCTTTTTTTGTGTGTGATGGTTTTTTGTTTGTTTTTTGTTTTTTGAGATAGGGTCTCATGAACTAATTGCTCAGACTGGCTTCAAACCACAATCCTCCTGATCTCTGCTTCCTGAGTAGCTAAGATTACAGGTGTGAGCCACCAGCACCCAGCTACTAAATCTTACTTGACACACTTACCTCCATCTACAATCAGTCTGTCAGAGTGTGGGCTCTGGTGTGGGGTAGGCCGGTGGCTGGCTCAGTTACTGACCTATCATCCAGCACAATGTTCAAAATACAGCACCTCATATCCACAGGGACACATCCCACAAACCCCAGTGTATGCCTGAAACCATGGATCATAAGGGGGCCTATGTAGACCATGTTTTGTCCTGTACATATCTATGGTAAAGTTTAACTTACACATTAGATGCAGTGTTTCTTGGTACAGCAATCAGAACGTTTTCTGTTCCCATCTTCTACCTACAAACTGAATGCCTCTGCCAGTTTAACGAGGCACTTCTCACTTTGACCAGAGTTTTTGCAGTTGGAGGTGTGACAACAAAATTAGCATGAATTTTTTTCCCTTCACAATTTCACAGATAGTAAAATTATTCTTAGCATAGAATAAATCCTAGCAATATTCTAGCAAGCTCAGCCTATGATTTTTTTTCCTTATTACACTGAGAATTTTTACCTTTTCACTTAAAACATTTTATGTTTCTCTTTGGCATATATGAAATGCCAGCATCACTACTCTTGCGTTGGGTCCATTATTAAGTAAAATGAGGGTGATTTAAACATAAGAACTGTACTATGATAGTCAGTCTGATAACTGGGATGGCTACACAGTGACTAACGTGGAGGTAGCATATACACTATGTATACTCTAGACAAGAGAATGAATCATATCCCAGGAAGGATGGACTGGGATTTTATCACACTACTCAGAATGGTGTACAATCTAAAACTTAAAAATTGTTTATTTCTGGAGTTTTCTATTTAATATTTTCAGATCATGGGTGACCACAAGTGATTGAAACCTTGGAAAACGGAACCACAAATTAGAGGGGACTTCCTTAGTGACTCTAAGGAGTATCACTGTAGACTCATAGATTTTTATATCAGTGACTGTTTGGGGGCTGGATTAATAAATTGATTTTTTTGTGTGTTTATGGTACTGGGCTTGAACTCATGACCTACACCTTGAGCCACTTCACTAGCCCTATTTTTGTGAAGGGTTTTTCGAGATAGGGTCTCGTAGAACTATTTGCCTGGGCTGGCTTCAAACCATAATCCTCCTGAGTAGCTAGGATTGCCACTGGCGCCCGGTAATAAATTGAATTTTTGAAAAGTGATGCATAAGCTAAATACATTGAACTCAAAACCCTGGGGTAAGCAGAAGTCAAAGAAGGGTTTCTAGGAGGATTGGTAACTAGGTCTCCATTAACACCACTTCAAGGACAAGCACAGAGTAGGTTGTATAGAGCTTTCGTTAATTGTCAGTCCAGCCAGGTCTGGGCCATTACCTGGGAAGACAGAGGGTAGAGAAGGGCAGAAAGAAGGAGATTTCTTAAAGGAATTTCTCAGAAAAGACCAATTCACATCAGTCCTCAGAGGCCTGAAGTGTAAAGTCCCATTTTCTCCCTTTCTTCTTACTCCAGGCAGCTGTTGGCAGATGACCCCTTCTTCCGGGTGCCGGCTGTGGTTGAGGAACTGTGCACAAAGCGGGTGCTGGGCATGGAACTAGCCGGAGGTGTCCCCCTAGACCAGTGCCAGGGACTGAGCCAGGACATCCGGAACCAGGTACATTGCCTTGTGGAGCATTAGAGAGACTCCTTCCCTAAGCCAGGAGGGCTCTGCAGGGCTCACCACTGACACGTTTTACTTGTTCCCACCTCAGATTTGCTTCCAGCTCCTGAGGCTGTGTCTACGCGAACTGTTTGAGTTCAGATTCATGCAAACAGATCCCAACTGGGCAAATTTCCTGTATGATGCCTCCATCCATCAGGTTGGTTCCTTCTGATGGGAATCAGGGTATATTTGCTGCTGTAACAAATACTCCCTAGTATTTGTAACTCAACACGGTAATGGTTTGCTACTCAAGGGCTGGGATGGCCCTTCTCCTCGTAATGACTCGGAGGAGCAGGCTCTTCCCTTTTGTGGTTGTGTCTTCTTCTAGGATGCTCTGTTCTGCTTCCAGTGGAAGAGGAGAGGTTGACAGAGTGACCCCTGCTTAACTGCTTTGGCCAGAAGCGACATGTCATTTCCTCTATCATAACATCAATGACGATCTAGAGTAGCTAATATCAGGATGCAGAAGCACAGGCCACTGGGTCAGGACTAGGGTGGGGGAGGACATGGGGCTGTGGAACCTCAGGGAGTGTGCTATGCCTGACCAGACTGCAGTGGGTGGGGACCACAGAAGGCTCTTGACGGAAATGCCATTGATTCTGAGATCTGAAAGAGAGAGATAGCCAGGTAGCAAGCAGGGGCAGTGCTCTGGACAGAGCACAGTTATGCCAAGGTCTGCAGACTTTTCCTGTGTGTGGACACAACCAGAAGTTGCCAAGTAGAAGCCCATTTTGTGTTCCCATCTTGTCCTCAGAGAGACCATTTTCAAACACAAACCTGGCCAAAATTTCCCTTTCTCAGCTTCCAGCATTGTCCAGATGAAGCAGAGCCCTTTGTCCCCTGGGTCTCTGGCCTTAGACCCTCTTCCCCCTTCCCCTGTGCTCATGCAACCCGGTGATATAAGTCCTGATGTCCACCTTTTTTTCTTTTCTTTTCTTTTTTTTTTTTAAGGTACTAGGGTTTGAACTCAAGGACTATACCTTGAGCCACTTCACCAGCCATTTTTTGTGATGGATTTCTTTGAGATAGGGTTTCGTAAACTATTTTCCTGGCCTGGCTTTGAGCTGAAATCCTCCTGATCTCTGCCTCTGAATAGCTAGGATTACAGGTGTGAGCCACCTGCACCCAGCTTATTTTAGGTACTTTTTGAATAGGGTCTGAGTTTATGCCCAGGCCAGCCTGTACCACAGTGATCCTATTTATACTTCTTGCATCACTGAGATAACAGACACCACCACGCCCGGCTTTTATTGTTGACATGGGGTCTCATGAACTTTTTTGTTTGGTTGGCCTCAAATTATATCTTCCCTAATAACTAGGATTACAGGAGTGAACCACTATACCTGGCTTGTTTATGCCTAGCAGAAGCTAGGCATAGTGGCGCACTACTATAATACCAGCACTACAGAGGCAGAAGGAGAATCACGAGTTCAAGGCCAGCCTGGGTTACATAGTAAGACCTCAAAAAACCAAACCAAACCAAACAGGATCTCAGGTAGAAGGGATCCATGTTATTTTGGGACACTTTTGTATGACATTTATGTGTGCATTATCCAGGAGCCCAGCATAAACTGTTCTTTCTTTCTTTTTTGGTGGTATGGGGTTTGAATTCATTGCCTTGCATTTATTTACTAGGCAGCATTTATTTACTAGGCAGGTGCTCTACCACTTGCACCATGCCCTTAGTCCTAAACTATTCTATGTGGATTTTGGTGACCCATTCAAATTCTAGTGCCTAGAGAAACTCTTATGCTTGTGTGCATTGAACACACATCCTGGAAACAACCATGATGTCCATCAACCAGTGTGATTTATTCGTCCAGTGAAGTCTTTATACAGCAGTGAAAAACAAATGAATGAGCCAGAGATAGACAGCACACAACGAGATGAATTGCCACCATGCTGAGTCACAAGTAGTTATATTTACTATAGTAAACAATGTTTATATAAAATTTTTGTTTTGTTTTCTGGTGCTGGGAATCAAACCCAGGGCCTCACACATGCTAGTCCTCTACATCCCCAGCCCTATCTAAAAATTTGAAGTGTAGGAACTATTATTGTATGTTGTCTAATGGGTACAAACATAGGAAGAAGCACATGTACAGGAACTTCAGGAGACAATTTTAATAATAGTTTCAAGAAAGTGGTGACCGTGAAAAAAAAACTCTGAGGATGTAGGGGAACATGATGGGGTACATGGAGGCTTCACCTAGATTGGTAGTATTTTATATTTTAAGCTAAGTGGTAGGATTTGTGGGGTTCATTTACTTTTCATATATCTTATTCTCTGGATTTTTTTTTTTCTGGGCTTAAAATTTGTTATAAAAGCAAGTAAGAGGGTGGAGACATGGCTCAAGTGGTAGGACACTTGGCTAGCAAAGAAGAAACCCTAAGTTTTGACACCAGTACCACTAAACAAACAGCCAAAAGAAGCAAAAAGACACTGGAGGCAGTACAGTGCCCACCTAGCATGTGCGAGCCCTTTAGTTCAAATCCCAGTACCACCAAAAAAAAAAAAAAAAGCAAACAGGGCCAGACATGGTGGTTCACAGAACACTGAGGCAGGAGGATTGAGAGTTCAAGGCCAGCCTGGGCTACATACATAGCCAGGCCCTGTCTCTAAAAGTAAGTAAATAAAATAAAAGCAAATAGATCCCCTCCCACCCCCCCACCCCCCCCCAGAAAATAAAAGCCAGATCCCTTCAGCTGCCCTGCTGGGGTGGCTTAGATATGGAGACTAAAGGCTGAGAGCCCCAGGAGGTGAGGTGGGGGAGACAATGGGCTAGAGCTAATAGAGGTAAGTGGAGGGAGGGCTGGGTCCTGGCTGCCTCAATAGACAGTGGGGGTGTCATTGAGCAACCCTAGTTCCCCTCACCATTTGTCATGCTTCGCAGGTGACCCTGCTGGACTTTGGTGCAAGCCGGAAATTTGGGACGGAGTTCACTGATCATTATATCGAGGTGAGTCCTGTGACCCTGGGGCCTCTGAAGGGCAAGGCTCAAGGCAGAGAGTGAGGCAGAGGGGTAAGAAGGTGAAATACAGTATCTGGAATTAAGAAATTATACATAATAACCATATTCATAGCAGTTAATAAATGCCAAGCACTTAATATGTTTTAAGAGTTTTTGTATAGCAAAAGACTGAAACCAGACAGCAACTCTATGAACCACCCTTCGCACCTTTCTATAGGTGAAGTAACTGGTTGCCCGAGATGCAAGCAGACCTGGGAGTCACACTCAAGTATTCTGAGTCCAGTGCCCATGGTCCCAGCCCCTGTTGAACCCCCTCCTAAGAGAAGGGCCTGTGAAGGCCATCCTGTCCAAGGCTTTTGTGTCCAACCTGCACAGGGAGCTGTGGCCTTTGAAAGGGCTTCCTACTTACTTTGCCTATCGTTCTTACCCACCAGGGTTGATTATCTCACAACACCATCTCATGAGTTTCTTGAGACTGAACATTCAACTTGGCTCTTCAGATCATCTAGCTGTCAATCCACACATTCTCTGAAATTCCCTCCATACCTAATGCTATTCTGGATGATACTGGGAACAAATAGTAACCCAGGTCCAACTCAGGTCATACAGCTTACAGTTCAGTGGTGGGGTAGACTGAGGATCAGAGGGAGCAGGGCTGGGCTGGGGAAAGTGCAGGGGGACTGTGAGAGTCCAGAGGAGGAGCCTGACCCAGCCTGAGGAGTGAGGGAAGGCTTCCTGGAGGAGACCTGAGGGATGCAGAGGACTGATCAGGAAGGTGTTAGAGGAGATTCCAGATAACATGTGCAAAGGTCAGGGTGACAAGAGATAGTGCCACTATAGCAGTGCTTCTAGACTTTAATGTGTACATGGAGTGGTGGCTAGCCTGTTAAATGCAAGTTCTAGTCTGGAGTTAGACATAAGATACTCTTATCTCCCAAAGATGATGCCAATGCTGACTATACAAGGACCAAAAGGACACTCATGTCTGGGCAGGCAGGTGGGGAGCAGAGCCAAATCACTTTGGGCTTCAGCGGTCAGCTTTGCATTAGGTACTTTTCCTGGGGAGCTGTCTCTCCCCTCTCAAATCCTTTGATTTGAGAGGGGAGAGACATAGTCAGAATTAGGAAACTCTCTGAGGGCCAGACATGTGGTATAAGCCTGTAATTTCAGCTACACAGGAGACAGAGGTAGGAGACTCACAGGAGGAAGAGCTAGAAGGACCACATCACAGACCTGGGCAAAAGCGAGAGACCCTATCTGAGCAATAAGAGCAAAACAAGGCCTGGAGGTATGGTTCAGGTGGTAAAGTGCCTGCCGAGCAAGTGCACAGGCTCTGAGTTCAATCCTCAATACTGCCTCAAAAAAAAGAAAGAAAATTGTTCATTGCAAGTGGCCTCTAAGACTGGAGGCCTAGAGCCCAGGAAGGCTGTAGAGAGGGGCCAAGAAGCCTGCTGGGAGGAAGCTGGGGGAGGGACGTGTCTCAGATAAGAACTTGTGGGGCCACCCTGAGATGAGGACAGGAAGGAGGAGCTGCTGGTAACCCCGCGCCCCCCACCCCACCCCCCACAACACATACACTCAGGCTCCTTGGGGCCTTCTCTGCAGGCCACTTGAGGCACAAAGCCAAAGCCTCTCTGGGTAGTTGAGACATCCACCTCCCTCAGATACTCCCCCCCCAACACTAGGCCTCCTTAAATTTTTTTCCAGTTTATAACAGCATTATCACATGGGCCCCTGAGGACCAAGGCCTAACAGATGGCTAGATAGGCAAAGGCAGGGGTAGCTGAAACAGAATAAAACTGATCCATCCTGCATTGCACTCCCCATCCCCAAGAAAGAAGCACAGTGGGCAAGGGCAGGACCAGGTTCCACTCCCCATTCTGAGTCCTTTTCCTCCTATCCAATAATAATAAGAGGATGCTCGAAGAGTGGCTCAAGCAGTAAGGGCACCTGCTTAGCAAGTGTAAGGACCTGAGTTCAAACTCCAGGGCTGTCAAAAAAGTAAAATAATAAGAGCTCCTCATGTTTATGTGCTTCCTATATGCAGCCATGATGCCAAGTACTCCATAAGGGTCACTCTCCTCATCCTCACAATGACCTTGTGAAGAAACTCCTCATCCCCACTTCACAGATGATAACACAGAGGCCCAGGGCAAAGCCGCTTGCTTAGTGTCTGATGCCAAGCGAGCTGGCCCTGGGTAACCCCTAAACTCCCTCCTCAACTCCGCAGGTTACTCTGCTAAAGCAAGGTTCGCCAAGGGTATTCTGAGTGCCAAACCCTATCCGCGGTACAGCTGGCCCCACCTGGGATCCCTGTGCTCACAGGGCTCAAATACAGTGCAAGAGGCAAAGAGCTGACCCTCTGGCAACCTCAGACCCAGTTCTGGGTCACCGTCACATCCTTGTCCATTTGTGTTTGGATCCATGAGCAGCTGTGACGCTTTCCTCTGAGTTACTTCAGGGTGGTGGCTTCCAGGCAGTTCTGCATTCCCACCCAGGAGGACAAAGTCCCTGACCATCTCTGGAACACTCTTTTTTTTTTTTTTTTAAATGGTACTGGGGTTTGAACTCAGGGCCTCGTGCTTGCTAGGCAAGCATTCTATCACTTAAGCCATTCTACCAGCCCTCTGGAACACTCTTGAGGGTAACATAGACAGGACAAAGTGGGGAGAAGCTTCTAGGTAAGAGGGAGAGCCCAGGTAGGTGAAAAAGAAGATGATTCCAGGTTGGGCCAAGTGTTTCCTCTTTCTTCTTTTCTTGTCTTTTCTTTCTGGGATTTGAACTCAAGTCCTCCCACTTGCTAGGTAGGTGCTCTACCACTTTAGCCACACCTCCAATGCCCCCCCCCTGCCATTTTAGAAATAGGGTCTCACTTTGTAGGCCAGACTGACCTAGAACTCTCCATCCTCCTGCCAGGAACCATCACACCCAACTCGGGTGTTTCCTTTTCTCTAGAACCTCTCTTGACCCTCATTGGCCTTTGTCCTCTGCCCCACACCCTTCTCTCCAGGTGGTGAAGGCTGCAGCTGATGGAGACAAAGACCAGGTCCTGCAGAAATCCCGGGACCTCAAATTCCTCACCGGCTTTGAAACCAAGGTTGGGAAAGACTAGAGAGTAAAGGGGCTGGTGTCTGTTTGGGAGCAGACTGTGGGGATCTGCCTGTCCCTGTTGAGGGACTGGGGAAAGTATGAGGGATGGGGTCTGTCTCTACTGGGGCGATCTGAGGCTGTACTTCTACACTGGGAGAGTGGACAACTCTAGAGCTAGCTTATCTGTACTGGGGGGCCTGGGGAGGCGAGGAGGACACAGCTATTTGATTGCTCAAGAACCGTTGGAAAATGACTACCACTTACCTATTCTGGGGGAGGGGGTTGTGCTAATAGATGGGGAGTGGAGGGCTACTTGTCTGTAGGAAGCTCTGAGAGGAAGCCAGGGCTGTTTCTTCTGGAGTAGGAGGGGGCTGTCTACCTCCGGTTATGACAAAAGTAGAGGTTGCTCGCTTTAGGGGATTTTGGGGACTTGCATTTGGAGCTGAGGGCTGCTTGTCTCTTCTGGGGTGAGCCGAGGGTTCTCTGTCCATCTGGATGCATCTGCTGCCCCTGCCCCCACAGGCTTGTACTGATGCTCATGTGGAAGCAGTGATGATCCTCGGGGAGCCCTTTGCTGCCCCTGGCCCCTATGACTTCGGTGCAGGCGACACTGCCCACCGCATCCAAGGCCTCATCCCTGTGCTGCTGCAGCACCGGCTGCGTCCACCACCTGAGGAGACCTACGCCCTGCATCGCAAGTTGGCAGGGGCCTTCCTGGCCTGCTCCCGCCTCCAAGCCCACGTTGCCTGCGGGGACCTCTTCCAGGATACCTACCACCGCTACTGGGCCAGTCGCCAGGCACAGCCACCATCGGCAGCCTCCTGACCAGAAGGGATCTCCCTGCGGACCCCATGACAGCCTCCATGTGGTGATTCCTGCTCCTTAGCGGACCACCCCCTGCTATGGCTCTTCTTGTCCTTTACCCTTCTGCCCTGGTTTCGAAGAAGTCCCCTCCTTGGCCCTGGAGCTCAGGAACACTTGGGACTAGAGAACTCCGAACTTCATTTTCAGCTCCTCCCGCTCCAAAGTGGGCATCCGGGAACCCTAAATCAGGGAACCAATTAGCTGAATTCTGCCATCTGCCATCTGAGCGGGTCCCGGCCCGCCCTGCATGCCTTCATGAAGAGCCACTCTTCTAGGGGCGACACTCCGCACCTCTGCTCAGGTCTCCTTGGATCCGGCGGCGAAAGGGGAGATGGTTGGTGAAGGCAGCCCTCACCTTTGCCTCTCTCACCCTTCCACCAGCTGCCTTCTCCCGGGTTCCAGCCTCTCTGTATTGAGGGGTGGGGGACTGCCCCTTCCCTCCCAATAAAAGCGCCCCTCCCCTTCCCCCAGCTCTTTTCTCTGCAATGAGGGGGAGGAGCTCACGGGCGGCCTCCAGGTGCAGATGGTCAGCACCACCCCCGCCCCCGCCCTTGTCTAAAAGCCCCAGCACTGCCTGGGCCATCTGTTGCTGGGAACCTTCTCCCCCCACCCCCACGTGCTGGCCACCTGCTCAAAGGACTGGCAGCTGAGGAGCGTACCCACCACCACACACACTGCCTCGTGGCTTCCCGGCTTCAGGCTCCCTTCTCTTGCTCCCAGCAACCTCGCCTTTGCTAATGGGCCCTAACGCCTCTGCCAGCTGCTTTGCCAAACCCACGGGTCGGGGGTGGGAGTAGGGGCGCAGGGGTCTAGAACCGCGCCCTGGCCCCAGCAAGCCAAGCCGATCGCTTAACAGGACGCCGAGGTCCGTTCATTCCCCCTCCCCTTCCATGCAAAAAGTGCTTCGTCACCGCTTCTGCCCGCCCCCGCCGGGCTAAGAGAACCGTGGGGTTAGCAAGATTTGAGGACGGACGGCGACAAGGCGCCTCCCAAAGCAATTCTTGCGGACGCAGAGCTGTAGAGGGGATCTGAGGTCAGGGGCTACAGAAGGCGAGGAAACCCACGCCTGAGCCGACTGTGGGGAAGAACTCACCCAGGCTCCAGTGCCGACTCAGCCCCGGCCCGGGCAGTGGGCGTGGCGGGGCGGTGGCTGCACTGGAGAGGGCGGGGTCACATTTCCGTATGGGCGTGGCCTGCGGTGTTCTTTTGCATATACAGCAGGCGGCGGGCCAATGGGCGGGATCGGGGCGGGGCGCCGAGGCGGGAGGGACGCTCCCCCGCCCCCGGAACGGAATCCTCCGGGGAGCCGAGCTGGCTCGCGTGTGCATCCCGCACCATCCCCCGGCCCCGGGCCCGGCCCGCGTCAGACAGAGCTGCCGCCGCCGCCACCACAGCAGCAGCAGCACTCGGGAAACCGGGCCCAGCCGGGGCCGCGGGAGGCGGGGGCGCCCGGGCCCTGGATGTCCCGCAGCGCGGCGGCCAGCGTGAGAAGGGCGGGAGAGGGGGGCTCGGGTCGGGGGCGGCGCCGTTGCTGATGTGGCGGAGGGTGGGAGGCGGCCGCGGCGCCCGGATGGAGAGAAGATGCCAAAACTGGAGACGGTGGTCCTGGGTGGGGGTCCAGGACCGGCTCCGTTCAAGCCAAAGCCTGGGAGATTGGGAGGGGGGGTCTCTGGCACGGGCCATCTCTTGCCAAGGTCCTGGAAATATGAATCCTAGACGTAGAATCCCCCCCCAATCAAGGACAGGGGTTCGGAAATTCTAGGTTCAACTCCCTAGGCAAGGTTTTGGGGGTCGGGTCTGGGATGCAGCCCCCATATCAAGCAAAGGCCTTCCTGGGGCGATTCCTACCCTTCCCTGACAAGGGGTCTCTGAGCACAGCAACCCAGTACGACAAGGTTTTGATCTTGGGGACCTGGGTACAGCTTCTCCACCGAGCCCACACCCTGGGGGGTTGGGGGGGACTCCAAGCACAGTCTATCCCCAGGCCTCACAGGCAGGCTTCCTGAGCACAGCCACCCCCCACTGCCCAGTTCTTGGGCGAGTCCCAGGCACATCCCCTTCTCAAAACGAGGTCCCTGTGCCTGGAACTCCACCCCATTCCTCCCCAGCTTAAATAAAATAAGGAGAATTTGAGGCAACCCCCACTCCCACGCTTGGTCAAGGGTCTCAGGGCACAGGTCCCCTAGGCCACCCCCTTTGTCCCTAGGGCTGCCCAGCTGTTCAAAAAAGGCACCACCTACAGACAATACGCAGCCACCCCCCTGCCAGATCTGGGCCCCTAGCCTCCAAGATTCAGGCTGGGTTGGGGGCGGCTCCCCTGGGACTCGGTGCAAACCTGTTTGTAGCCTCTTAAGTGACCAGCGGCTTTGTGTGTGGTACCTGGGGTGGGGAGGAGGGGAAACAAGGGATGGGAAGGCAGCTAGGAGTATGACCCCGTGTTTGTGTGGTTGTGTGTGTGTGTGCGCGCGTGCATGCGCAGCAGCTGGAATCCTGTGTTGAATGTCTGCATGCCTGTGGTTGGATGTGGCAGTGTCTGTGGTCCTGTGTAACCCTGCTATTTGGGTGACATTGTGAGTGTGTGTGTGTGTGTGTGAATGACAGCTGTCCACTTTGCAGAGCCCTCTACTTTTTAGTCTTGTCAGTATTTGGGTGGGTGCATGGTTGTGATTGTGTAGTTGTGTCTGCGGTTGTGTCTTTTGTGACCCTATTTTGTGTATCTTGGTATGTGACAGCATATATGTTGTGCCTGGGATTAGACATATGTGTGACTAAGAATGTGGATGGAGTGGAGTTGTGTCTGTGACTCCATGTCCCTGTAAGAATATTGTGCTTGTGTCTATAAGTGATTTTATATACATGTGTGACTCTGGGTGTGTGGCTGTCATTGTATCTGAAGTCATTGTGCCTGTATGAGTAGGGTTGTATAATGCCACTGTGTGTAACAGTGGTTGTGTGTTACTGTGCACATCTGTGTATGGCTGGGGTTGTGTAAATGACTGTGTCTAGCTGTGTTGTGATACTGGTTGTATAAGCATAGTCTTGTATGTGTGAGTATTTGACTTAATTGTGTATGGATGTCATCTATGAGTGCTAGCTCCAGGTACCTGGGTGTGTGTGTGACTGTGGCTTCTGTTCTCCTGTGTGTGTGTAACCTGGATGTCTGTGACCCTGGGTAACTGTTTGTGCCCTGCTCTTTGAGAACGTGTACGTCTGTAGTATGTGGCTGTGTGTGTGTGTGGTAAGTCCATGTGATTGAGTGAGAAGGTGACTGGCCCCTGACTGCAGATGACTCTGTCAGGGACCATGTCTTCTCTGTAAAACCAATAACTGCTACACCAAGGTCACTACATTGCTGTGTATACACCTCACTGTGTACTTGTGATGTGGGAAACTGAACTGTGTGCTTATGTCCCTATGTGTGAAATATTAATGTGGGGAGGTGGGCCCATGACTTTATGTGCCTGTCCACGAGGGGCTGAGATTACATGTGGTCACATACTTGTTTATGTGACTTATGTGTCTACATGAAGAAACTGTGTGTTTCTCTGTGATGGTGACATGGGACAGCTGTGTATGGGACCCTGACCATGATGGATAGCTGGGTAACGTGGACACTGATGCTGTGTGACTGTGCATCCAGGACAGTCTCTGGAATGTGCATGGCAGTCTGAGGGTGGCCATCCTTGAGGACATTCGTCTCTGAGTGGTTGTGTGCCGTCCCTTGCACGTGTATGCCTATCTCTGTGTAATACATGGGCTGTAGCTGTCAGCATATCAACAGTGAGTAGTTGGTTGTGTATAGAGGACTGTCGTAGAAGAGTGGCTGTCACAGAGAACTATGTCACAGATATTGGGACCAAATGTGAACCTGGGGATGTGTGACTGTGACAATGGGTGACATAAAGAGGTGTGTCGGTGTGACTGAGATGGTTGAATTGAATGCCATGTGCAGTGGTGGCCGTGTGTGGGCTTTGTGAGAACAAATGTGCATCTGTTTATGTGCGTCCAGATGTCGTCGGTATGCAGTGGTGAAGATACATGTGACAAGTGTGTGCAGCTGAGATTGTGTCACAGTGTGTCTCAGTGCTCATGTACGAGGTGACCAAGTGGGTAAACTCTGACTGGGTGTGATTCTGTCTCAGGGGGCCTGTGATGTGGGTTTCTTGGGTGGGTGCCTGAGGAGACACAGCTGTCATTGGGTGTGGTTGTACATGTGTTGTCCTTGTGGGTGTGCCTGGGCCCAGTTCTTGTATGTGACTGAGAAAATGGGAGTGGACAAATACCAGTTGCTGGTGTGACCAGGTGTCCATGGTGGGGCCTAGACAGGTTAGGACACTCTGCATGAATGTGGACAAATGTTCGTAGTAGAGCAATGTGTCTGTGAACCTTACATGTGACCATGTTTATAGTGGCAACTGTGTGTGGCCATGACTGTGTCTCTGTATCTGTGTGATCTGAAGTGGTAGCTAGGATGGTGTCTTTGTGTAATTAAGTGTGCAGAGCTGTGACTGGGTGCTATGGACGATGTAGACATGAGTTGGCTGCATATGTGTAACTGTGTCTGTGTATAGCTCTAGCCATGTGTGTAGAGGGCAAAGCCACTGTCTTCACATTGTCCTCGTGGGTACTGAGGGCCTCCTGAGGCTAGCACAACCCAACAATGCCCCCTCAATATACCTACTAGTTCTTGGGCCTACAGAATCAGGTGGCTAGTCTCTCTGGCAACAGTTACTATGACAACCAGGGCTCTCACCAGGGAGCAAGAAATGGAGGGGGTTAGCTAAAGTCCAAGAGGGGTAAGGTTGGGGACTGCAAATACCCCAACAAACTTCTCACCTTCTTCCTCCTTTGGGCAGGGGGGACCCAGGAGGCCTGAGCAGCATTTGCCCCCAGCCCCTTGTGGGGCCCTGGGGCCCCCTGAAACCTTCAGGACGGAGGCAGGTGAGTGACCAGCTAGGGAAAGGGCAGGGACTGGGTGGGTGGATGGGGCTGTCTAGCATGACCAGAGAAATTGGCTAAATTGCATTTGTGAGTAGACACCCTCAAATATCCTCCCTGCATACTCAGTAGCCGCGAAAGCCCCCCTCATTCATAGATATACCCTAACCTACCTCACAGACACACACTGACATCCTCACACTCAGCAGTTGTGTACAGAGTCACATCACTGCAGACTCACACTCGACCTTCACACAGCCATAGACATACAGTTAGACACACACACAGATGTTGATCTCTGTCAAATCCACACACACTTGTTAATGCGGCGACATGCACACTTGAAGATGTGCTAAGTAATTATTCATTTACATCATTGTGCAGGCATGTGTTCACATGGATGGATACACACACACACATCCCTAGGCTCTACCAGGCTACCACAGGCACTTACCAGATATACACTCAAGATATATATAAGCTGGACATGACAGTACACCAGATACAGGTATGCTGGCCTGTAATCCCAGCACTCAGAAGGCAGAGGCAAGAGGACAGCGAGTTCCAGTTTCAAAAAAAAAGAGAGAGAGGGGCACCAGTGGCTCACACCTGTAATCCTAGCTCTCAGGAGGCAGAGATCAGGAGGATCATGGTTCAAAGTCAGCCCCAGACAAATAGTTCACAAGACCCTATCACAAAAAAGACCCCATCACAAAAAAGGAGTGGCTCAAGGTGTAGGCCCTTAGTTCAAATCCCAGTACCACAAAAAAAAAAGAAAAGACAGATGCACATAAACAGTCTTACAGATGACATACACAGTTCTTACTTTTACTGACAACAGCTGTACTTTTGCAGACAAATACAGCATCACAAACAGTTCCCACAGACACAGATCCTCCAAAAGAGCTACACTTACTCCAATCTTACAAATAATACTTAGGCAACCATTACCCCCCACAAATAACACTCATGAATATAGTCTCAAAGACTACAACCTCATGTTCTCACACATCCTCACAGAGGCACCACTGCATTACAGGTGGACACTCACAACGACATTCATGAACCACACTCTACATTCTCTGACAGACACTCCCTTACAAATAGTAGCCACGGTCATACAGGCATGGTCTTGGTGATGGTCACAGACAGACCCGCCCTCTCAGAGGCAACAGTCCTAAAGGACAGTAGCCACAACCTCACGCAGAGACACAGCTTTACAGACAGCAGCTGTGGACACACCCTTTCAAAGACGGTATACTCATACAGTCTCAATTTGAACATAGACCCACTCTTCAGGTAACATGCACTGAAACACAAGTTCTCCTAGACAACCACCGCACACAAAGACAGCGTGCACTGACATGCACTCACAACCACACTCAGACATTGATGCCCTTCAGCAACAACCTTCAGGGATGCATACTCATAAGTCACAACCACTTTTGGAACATAGAGCCCCTCACAGAGAGCATTCACAGACACCCACCTCATAAACCACCATTCTCAAGCAAGGATCCTACATACAACACACTCACAGTTCATAGTTGTGTGCTCAGTTACAGACACCCTCACAAACACCATTCTGGAATACACCTTCATACACTTCCATATGTCACAAACAGAGTCTCTGTCGCTTGTGGTTGCTGCTAGTCCTGGGTGTCCCTTCATCCTCTTCCTGGGACTGTCAAAATGGTGTAGTTGCAGGGTGCTGGTACTCACACCTGTAATCCTGGCTGATCAGGAGGACTGCAGTTCGAAGCCAGCCCCAGGCAACTAGTTCCCAAGACCCTATCTTGAAAAACCCATCACAAAAAAGGGCTGGTTGTGTGGCTCAAGGTATAGGCCCTGTGTTCAAACCCCAGTACCGCAAAAAAAAAAAAAAAAAAGTCAAAGTCAATGAAGACTCTCATTGAGGCTCCAACACACCTTTCTCTCTCTCTCTCTCTCTCTCTCTCTCCATACACACACACACACACACACACACACACACACACACACAAAAAAAAAAAAAAAAAACACGAGTCCTGCCTCTGATCGTCACAGGCACACACCACCCCAGACACAATTCACCTAAACACCACCTCTGGGCTTTCTTATCCCCCTGACTCCCCCACTCAAAGGTTATCTGACCCTTTGCTCCTTGGGCTCCCTTTGGACCTTCCTTGTTCCATTCCACTGTCCTGTGTCACTAGACGGGCCGGGCACCATGAACAAGCTAAGGCAGAGCCTACGGCGGAGGAAGCCAGCTTATGTCCCAGAGGCATCGCGCCCGCACCAGTGGCAGGCAGATGAAGATGCGGTGCGCAAGGGCACATGCAGCTTCCCGGTCAGGGTGAGTGGGTGGGATGCGCCAGTGGGCGGGATGCGCCAGTGGGCGGGATGCGCCAGTGGGCGGGGCATGTGGTGGTGATGGGCGGAGTCAGCTGTTGGGTGCTTGCCTGTCTGGGGATGCTGGGCAGGATCTCTAAAGACCTAGTGCTGTAGCAAGAGACTTTACATTTTTAAAAAGCTGTAGAGCCTATGGGAGCAGGACCTAAGGTCACGAAGTTGGTATAAAACCCAGGACGCTTTCTCTTGAATTAGGAAAATATCACTTGGGAATGTCCTGCTGGGGGAGGGTCACCCAGTTCTCTGGAGACTCACAAAGAACGTCACTGGAAGGGCACAAAAAATTTTTATAGGGCCGATGGAGTGGTTCAGGAGGTAGAGCCCCTGCCTAGCAAGCATAAGGCCCTGAGTTCAAACCCAGTACCGCCCAAAAGCAAAGTAAAATTTTTGTAGCATTTGCAAAGCCCTCTACTGTTAAGGGTGTTCAGGTTTAGATAGCCACAGCCCTTCACAACGTAGGCTGCACTTTTACCAGGGAGACAGCAGGGATTCAGAGCCTGGGCTGTGGAGCTTGGTGTCTTCCTAGCAAGGAGACTCGCTAGCTCCTCTGCCTGATTTTCTCTTCCCCCAAGCAGACCCTGAGTGTGAGGGGTTCATTCTGGTGGGGCCAGAATTGCTAGTGGGTGTGAGAAAGGGAAGGCAGCCAGTACGGGTTGTGCCACTGAACTGCATCTGTGGACTACCAAGTTTAGTTCCACCTGCATGTGAGGGAGCTGGGGACGCATGCACCCAACTTCCCATCAGTCTTTGCTGGCTGGTGCAGGCTTTCTATCAGTAGTCAGGGGGAGGCAGAGCTCCTGATGTGGTCTACAGCCTGTCCTCAGGCACAGGGATGCAAATCCTGGCACTCAGAAGGACACAAGTAAAGTGTGAAGGCCCCAGGGCAGAGGCAGGACAGGGCTGACTACAAATCCTGTGTGCTTGAGTTTTCTCAGCTGCATATCTGGGGTAGGGATGGAGTGCACACCTTGTAGCATTGAGGTGCAGAGTGAATGAATTAATACGTATGATGGCAGATGTTTCTTGAACAGTGGAAGTGATTGATTACTGTGCTTATTTTATGTCCCCATACCCTTTTCCACCCAAGTACCTGGGCCATGTGGAGGTGGAGGAGTCCCGGGGGATGCACGTGTGTGAAGATGCTGTGAAGAAGCTGAAGGCGGTGAGTGAGGGGCTAGAACCGGGGAGGGGGCAAGGTCAGGAAGATGCAGTTCTGAACAGGTCCCTCTGTTCCCCCTCCCCCACCCCAGATGGGCCGGAAGTCTGTGAAATCTGTCCTGTGGGTGTCAGCTGATGGGCTCCGAGTGGTGGACGACAAGACCAAGGTAGGAGGCTTGTGAAGTCTGATGGGTACCAGTGAGTCCCTCTCCTCACCCTGCTCTAAGTGGGGGAGGATGCCTTCCTGCCCCTCTGGGATGTCCCTCTCTCAGGGGCCTTCTAGACTATACCATGTGTTCTTGCAAAGGCTTGGCTTGCTGCATGGTCCTAATTCAGGAATGAGGGCTGTGGTTATTTGTGAGCTGGTATAGAGAGTGGGTGAGAGCACGAACTGGAGCAGCCGCCTCAGCACTGCTCCAGCCACCCTCTCACCACCTGGGCATGAGATTTAACCCTTCTGGGCCTCAGTTGCCTCATCTAAGAAATGGGGTTCATCATAGACCCTGCCACTGAATGAGAAAGTATGTGCAAACTTTGGAAACACTGTGTGGCATCAGGCATGGTGTTTCACTCCTGTAATCCCAGCATTCAGGAGGCTGAGTAAGGAGAGTACGGGTTCAAGGCCAGCCTGGACTACCTAGCAAGATCCTATCTCAAAAAACAAACGAACAGGTTTGTCATGGTGGTGCACATCTGTAATCCCAGCTATGCAGGAGGTAGAGATAGAAGGATTGTGGTCTGAGGCCAGCCCTGGGCAAAAAGTATGAGACTGTCTGAGAAATAACTAAAGCAAAGAAGGGCTGAGTGCCTGCCTAGCATGCATGAGACTGTGAAGTCAATCCCTAGTACTGCTAAAAAAAAATAAGCAAACAAAAAAAAACAAATAATGCAAAAACACTTCCTGATACATTATAAGTATTTATATTAATAAATGTTGACTATTATGTTCTTATCATCAGTCTGCCTAGCCAGGCAGGAGCACTGTAGGACCAGGATCTAGGAATCTATTTGTTCTCCTTTGAATCCCTTCCCCACCCATCTCCTCTCCCCCAACCAGATACTACGTGAGGAGGTGCCCAGGACATGTGAGAGTGGGGCTGATGATTGAACAGTTTTACCACCTTACACAGACAGTTCCCTCAGCCTGAATACTGTTCCCTGCATTTTTAGCAGTACTGGGGTTGAACTCAGGGCTTTACATTTGCTAGGCAGGTGCTCCACCACTTTTGCCAGGCCTGAAGCTCTTATTCCCTGCATTTTCACCCAGGTAATTCGTCCTGCAGGAAGTTCTGCCTGAGCCTGGGTCAAGCACCCCTTCTTGACTCCTGCAGAGGCCTCTCTGCTCCCCAACCCCAGTCCAAGTCCTACCCCGCTGCCTGTGCCTCCCTTGTTACAGCCTGGCTGTCTCCATATCATAATAGATCTGACTTCCTGCTGAATTGGGAGCCTCTGGAAGGCTGGCCCACAGCTGTCTCCACAACTGCTGGGTCCCCACCCCGTTCAGGATGAGATTTAGAACAGACTCTATGGGAGCATTGCATGAATAGGGCAGACAAAGTTCAGACTGCTCACCTGCCTCCCCCACCCCTCCTAGGACCTGCTGGTAGACCAGACCATCGAGAAGGTTTCCTTCTGTGCTCCTGACCGCAACCTAGACAAGGCCTTCTCCTACATCTGCCGGGATGGCACCACCCGACGTTGGATCTGCCACTGTTTCCTGGCACTCAAAGACTCTGTGAGTGTCACCAAAGCTGGCTAATTCCCTCTCCCATGTCTCAGCATGTCCTGCTGTGTGGACTCAGGAAAATTGCCTGCCGCTTAATGCCCAGTTTCCTCATCTGGAGAAGGGGGTCTAGGCACAGTTTTTAACCTCAAGGATTTTGTGAGACCCCAGTGGATTAATACAAAGCATTTAGGACAGTGTCTGGCACATACCACGCACTCAGGAAAACAGTACTTACCATCTTTATACTTGTTGTTATCAGTGATTCTTCACAGATAGGCAGTGAAGTGCACAGATAGCCAGTGCACAGCTCTGTGAATTTTTTGCTTATGTATAAACTTGCCAAGGTCAAGTGATAGAGTTTCCTGCCCAAAAAAGACTCCTTGGGTCCTTCTCAAGCAATATCCCCAGGCTTCCCATATTCCTCAGTCTCAGTACATTTTTACCTGTGGATCTTAATATTTTAGGGATGGGTTCAAAGCAACAAGTTGACTCTTTTTCAGATATATTCATATCATAATTAGAATTCTGAGGCTTGTAACTCCAAATCTACCAGATAACAGTGGTTTCAATGAAATTGAAGTTTGTTTCTGTTTCATTTAAAGGAAATCCTAAAGCAGGCTTTGCAGCATTAGTGTGACACCCCTGTGCTCATCAGAAGCCATGGTTCCTATCCTCTTGTTGTTCCTGTAGAATGGCTCCCACTCCATGATCCAAGATGGTTGCACATGCTCCAACCTTCATGTCTTTCATTCCAGTCAGTGCAAGAGAGAGAAATATAAGGGAAAAGCACACCTTCTCCTTTATAGGAGATGCATAGCCTTTCTACTTACAGTCCACTGGCCAGGACCTATTCACATGGACATCCTTAACTGCAAAAGATGGTGGGAAATATTTATTCTGTTCTGATCCCTAGACCCAAAATGTCAGAGCACACACAACTCTGAGGGGAAGCCACAATCTCTGTCTCCTACATTAGCCAGTGTTCTTTGGTTGCTAGCAATGGGAATTAATCTGGCTAATTTAAACGCAGAGTGAGATTAACAGAAGGATATGAGGAATCTTACAAAATTGGCGTATCAGGTGGCAGAAAGACAGAGCAGGGCAGCCTTGGAATGCTGTACCCATGGGCAGCCTCTTCAGGTCACTATAGAAGAAGAAATTCTACAACACTCTGGTTTCAAATTCTAACAAGAAGGTATGAAAAACTAGCCTGGCCAGGTCTTCCCTTGGCCCTGAGAGGGCGTATCTGTGATCCCAGCACTAGGAAGGCTGATACAGGACTGTGAGTTTGAGGCTAGCAAGGCTACATAGCAAGACTCCATTTCAAAAAAAAAAAACAACAAAAAAAACCAAATAGCTCTGAGCCCTCAAAACTAGTCATTAGTTCCAACCTCCAAACTCACACACAAATTCAGAACTTGAAACCAGGGATGAAAAACAAATTTGAGAGTGTCAGGATTGATTAGTCCCTGTTGAGTGGTCCCTACCCAGGGCTTGGTGTGAAAATAACAGAAGCTGAGAGGCCAGAGCCACTGCTGTTTCCTGAGCACAGCAGAGTGCATAGTGGTTGTATCAGTTAGCTATTGCTGTGTAACAAAATGCTCTGAGATTTTGAGGCCTGAAATTACACCCGTTTCTTATCTCCCATGGTTTCTGTAGAGCAAAAAAAAAAAAAATGTTTTTTTTGGTGGGACTTGGTTTTGATATCAGGGCTTTATGTTTGCAAAGCAGGTTCTCTACTGCTTGAGTCACACCTCCAGTCCATTTTGCTCTGGTTCTTTTGAAGATGGAGTCTTGCAAACTATTTGCCTGGGCTGGCCTGGAAGTACAATTCTCCTGATCTCAGCTTCCCAAGTAGCTAGGATTACAGGTGTGAGCTACCAGTGCCCAGCTGTAGAGGAAGAATTTGAGGAAAGCCCACCTGGTGGCTCTGGTTCCAGTCTCTCATGCCATTGCTAATAGACAGTATTTGGAGCTCCAGCACCAAGAGACTGGCTAGATGGCTCATAGTCTTAGGACCTTTCCATGGGAGCTTTCCAACGTGGAGGCTTCAGGAGAGCTCAGCGCTCCAAAATGAGCTCTAAGAGAGGGAGCCTCAAGAGGGAGAGAAGGGGCCAGGTATGGTGGCCTGCGCCTATCTCAACTCTTTGGGATCAGAGATAGGAGAATTATGATTGGAGGCTGGCCAGACAAAAGTATAAGACCCTATCTAAAAAATAACTAAAACTCAAGTGGTAGAACAAGGCCCTGAGTTCAAACCCCAGTATTGCCCAAAAAAAAAGGAAGAAGAGAGAAAGGGGAAAAAAGAGGGAGAGAGAAAGAGAGAGAGAGAGACGGAGAAAGCTGTATTGCAATTTTGGTCTTAGTCCTGGACATCACCCAGCATGGCTGCCATGGGACTCTTGTTTGTCCAGTCAGCCACAGAGGTCTTCCCAGGCTAAGGGAGAAGATACAGATTCCACCTCTGACAGGGAGGTGAAAGTTCTAGAAGAACATATGTGGGGCCAGAAATTTGTTGTGGCTATTTTTGGAAAACATGCTGCCACTTAGTTGGTGGTGTGGATTCAGTGTCCAGCCACCCAGCTGTGTGTGGGATGTTTGGCACAAGTGACATGGCCTTCTGGGGATAACAATGATGGATTCTCACAGAGTCACTGTGGAAGGATTTGTGATGGTCATGCACAGCAAGTTCTCGGCAGTCTGATAGTGTTCATAGATTGCAACTCTTTTTTTTTTTTTTTTTTCTGTGCTGGGGTTTGAACTCAGGGTCTACACCTTGAGCCACTCTACCAGCCCTATCTTTGTGAAGGGTTTTTCAAGATAGGGTCTTGCAAACTGTTTGCTTGGGCTGACTTAGAACTGTAATCCTCCTGATCTCTGCTTCCTGAGTAGCTAGGATTACAGGCGTGAGCCACCAGTGCCCAGCCTGATTGCAACTCTTTAGGAGATGAACATCACACTGAGATATTTAGGAATCAAAGCTAGAGCAGAGCAGTGCCATCTACTCTGGGTAGAGTGACAGTAGGTGAACTCCTTCCCGGTTCTGAGTTTCGGGTTTTAAGTGTAAGCAGGTGAAATTCACATAAAATTAGTCATTTTAGCTGGGTATGGTGGTACATGCCTGTGATCTCAGCATTTGAGAGGCTGAGGAGGGAAGATCTTGAGTTCCAGGGCAGCCTGGGCTACATAGACAGTGTCAAAAAAAGAAAGAAGGAAAGGAGGGAAGGAAAAAGAAAGGAAGGGAAGAGAAGGGAAGGGAAGGAGGGAGTGAAGGAAGATGGAAATTTGTATAACACAATCGTATTTAGTTCTCCATATGATGTGGTTCCAAAATGATTTCATCACACTAAGGGAGACCTCATATCCATGAAGCTGTCACTTCCCTGACAACCACTAGCCTGCTTTCTTTCTCTACAGATACGCCTTTTCTAGCTATTTCACTTTAACAGGATCACGTAACACAAGCCCTTTTGCGCTGGCTTCTTTCACTTACCATGTTTTCAAGGCTCATCTATGTTGCAACATGTATCTTTTTTTGCAGTACTGGATTTTGAATTCAGGGCCAGGCAGGTGCTCTAGCTACACCCCAACCCTTATTTGCTTTTGTTATTTTAGGGGATAGAGTCTCAAGTTTATACCCCAGATAGCCTCCGATACTTCCTGGATGTCAGATGTGTCTTTTCTTGATTGAGATGGGGGTCTTGAGAACTTTTGCCTGGGTTGGCCTTGAACCTTGATCTGCCCAATCTCTTCCTCTTTAGTAACTAGGTTTTCAGGTGGGAGCACAATACCCAGCTTTCATTCCTTTTCATACCTAAACAATATTCCATTGTGTGGATTATTTTATTTATCCATTTATTTATCTGTTCATCATCCACTGATGGATATTTGGATTGTTTACACCTTTGACCTATGTAAACAGTGCTGTTATGGACATTTATGGGCAAGTATTTGAATACCTGTGTTCAGTTCTTTTATTTTGAGATGGTCTCACCGTGCTGGGATTACAAATGTGTACCACCATACCTGTCTTTTACCCATTTTTTAATTGGGTTGTTTTCTTTTTGTTGTTCAGTCCTAAGAGGTTTTTTAAACCTCTTTATATATACACACACACACATAATACATACGGCTTGCAAATATTTTCCCCATTTTATGATTTTCTTTTTACTTTCTTGAGTGTCCTTTGATACACAAATTTTTTAACATTGTTCAAGTCCAGTTGTTGTTCTTTCATTTAGCTCTTTGATCCATTTTAAATTAATTTTTGCCTTGCAGTGCTAAGAATTGACCCAGGGCCTTGTGCATGCAAGGCAAGCACTCTGCTGTGAAGCTGTACCCCCAGCCTTGAGTTAATTTTTTTTTTTTAAGATGGTTCAGGCTGGCCCTGAACTCACAATCTGCCTCAGCTTCCCAAGTACTGGAATTACAGGCCTGAGCCGCCCCACCCAGCACTGAGTAAATTTTCATATATTCGTGGGGGTCTTGGTCACCTTGTTGAAAACCACTTGACCACACATAGATTTGTTTCTGGGTTCTGAATATTCGTTGGTTTGAACTGGAGTTTGAACTCAAAGCCTTGCATTTCTAGGCAGATGCTCTACCACTTGAGCCATGCAACCCCCCCCCCTTTTTGCTTTTGGGTTTTTTTGTTTTTGGTGGGACTAGGTTTTGAACTCAGAGCTTCACACTTGAGCCACATCTCAGTCCATTTTGCTCTGGTTATTTTGGAGATGGCAGTCTCTCAAACTGTTTGCCTGGACTGGCCTCAACCTTGATCTTCGTGTTGTCAGCCTCCCAAGTAGCTAGGATTACAGGCATGAGCCACTAGCATCCAACTGCTTTCATTACTTTTTGACTAGGGTCTTGGATTTATACCTGGACAGGCCTTGACCTTGATTCTCCTGTTTATGTTTCCTGCAGACCTGAATAACAGGCATGCACCACTGTGTCCAATAGGTTGAGATGGGATCTTTCGAACTTTTTGCCCAGGCTGGCCTTGAATCTCCATCATTCTGATCCATTTCACTCAGCTAGTACCACACTGTTTTGATTATTGTAGCTGTGTCATAAATTTTGAAATCAGGCAGTGTGATTCTTCTGCTGTATTATTTTACACAATTATTTTGGCTGTTCTGGATCCTTTGGAATTCCATGTGAGTTTTAGGATCAGCTTTTCCATTTCTGAAAAATCCATTGGGATTCTGACAGATTTCATTGAGTCTGTAGGTCACTTTGGGGAGTACTGCCATCTTAGCCATATTCAGTCTTCCAGCTCATGAACACTGGGTGTCTTTCTGTTTATTTAGACCATGTTTCATTTCTTTTAGCAATGTCTCATAGTGTTCAGTGTACATGTCCTGCACCTCTGTGGTCATATTTGTTCATAACCATTTTATTTTTTTAATGTTATTATAGATGGAATTGTCCTAATTTCATTTTTGGATTGTTCGTTGCTAATGTGTAGAAATATAACTGAATTTTGTGTTGATCTCACATCCTGCTATGTAGCTAAATTTGCTTATTAGTGCTATTTGTGTTTGCATTAGGATTTTTTTTTAGGGGTAGTACTGGGGTTTTTACTCAGGACTTCACACTTGCAAAGCAGCCACTCTACCACTTGAGCCATGCCCCCACCCTTTTTGGTCTTTTGAGGCAGGGTTGGTTATATAGCCCAGGCTGGCCTCATACTCACTATGTAGCCTAGACTGACCTGGAACTCAAGATCCTCCTGCTTCAGCCTCTCAAGTACTGGGATCACAGGTGTGTGCCACCATGCCTGGCTATAAAATCCATTTATTTATTCATTTGTTTATCTCTTTTTGGTGGTACTGGAGATTGAACCCGGGGCCTGGAACTTGCTAGGCAGATACTCTACCACTGGAGCCACGCCCCAGCCCCATAGAACCCTGTTCATACGCTTCTCGCTCGGTTCAGTTTGGTAGTACTTTCTTGAAGGTTTTTGTCAAGCTTGTAAGGGCTCAGCATCTTGGCTAGGCTAGAAGTCAGATGAAACTCATGTGAATCCTGATTCTGCCTCTCCACGAATTATACGGTGGACATGTTGATGTCTCGTCTGAGCCTCAGTTCCTTCATTTGTGAAATCGGTTCATAGGAGAGTCCACCTCCTGGAAGTGTGGGGAGGATTCAAACAGGAGCCATGCTGGGGCTCAGCCCAGGCTTGGCTCTGAACTTGGTGCTCAGTAGATACTAGTTCACCTACTTCTTGCATTGTCCTGTGAAGAAGGCACTGTTAAGATTTTTATTTGATGGCAGGGGAGACTTGGATACTTGAGAGAAGTGATTTTCTTTTTTTTTTTTTAATTTTTATTTTGCAAACTGGGGTTTGAACTCATGGTTTTGTGCTTTGCAAAGTGGGTGCTCTACCGTATGAGCTATACCTCCAGTCCATTCTGCTCTGGTTATGTTGGAGATGGTTTCTCCAACTGTTTGCCCAGGCTGGCCTGGCATTGTGAGCCTCTCAATCTTAGCCTCTGAAGTAGCTAGGATTACAGTCGTGAGCCACTAATACCCGGTTAAAGTGATTTTTTTCTTTCTTTCTTTCTTTTTTTTTTTTTTTTTAGCGGCACTGGGGTTTGAACTTGGGTCTCACACTTTCTAGGCACGCACTCTTAGTGCTTGAATCACTCCGCCAGCCCCTATTTGTGGTGGGTTTTTTTGAGATAGGGTCTTACAAACTATTTGCCCAGCCTAGCTTGGAACCAAGATCCTCCTTCATAGCTAGGATTACAGGCATGAGCCACAGGCACCTGGCGAAAAAGGATATGGCATTGAAAATATCTTTAAGCTTAAGTTACCAGTTTTTTGTTTTGTTTTGTTTTTAGCAGCTCTGGGAACTGCCTCACACTTGCTAGGCAGGCAACTTGCTGCTTGAGCCACTCCACCAGCCCTAAAAGTGTAACATGTGGCCTTTATTGGGGGGCAGTACTGGGGTTTGAACTCAGTATCTTGAGTTTGCTAGGCAAGCACTTTACTACTTGAGCCACACTGCCAGCCAAAGTGATTTTCTTGAGAGCACACAACTAGGAAATGGGAATGGGAAGCCAGTTCAGTCCCAAATTGCTGGCCTTAGAACTTCACAAGTAGACACTCAAGAACACCACCCGAAGGGCTGGTGAAATAGCTCAAGTGGTAGAGCACCTGCCTAGGAAGCATGAGGCCCTGAGTTTACATTCCAGTACCACAAAAAAACCAAAACGGCCCCTAATCTAGGTATAGGGGTTTATGCCTGTGATCCCAACTCTTGGGAAGCTGAGGCAGGAGGATCATGAGTTCAAGGGTAGCCTGTGCTACTCTAAAACAAAACAATAGCAGACGTGTCCCTACCACCCCGCCCAATCCATCCATTGTATTTGGAGGTTAAAATCAAAGTTACAGACATCATAATCTTCCCCTACACACTTCACAAATTCTATGAAGTAGAATTCGTATTTGGTTTCCAGGTCTTTTTTTTTTTTTTTTTTTCTTTTTTGGCGGCACTGGGGTTTGAACTCAGAGCCTTATGCTTGCTAGGCAGGTGCTCTACCACTTGACCCATTCTGCCAGCGCCATCTAATGGGGACTGGGGCTTCGACATAAGAATTTGGAGGGGGCGCAGTCGATTAGCACACGGTACTTATGTAGAGCCAAACTCTACATGTGTGCAGAGTTTCGGGTTTTTGGTGGGACTGGGGTTTTTAACTCAGGGCTTCTCCATTGCAAAGCAGGCACCCTACTGCTTGAGCCATACCTCCAGTCCATTTTGCTTTGGTTATTTTGGAGATGGGGAGGGGGGGGTCTCTTGAACTTTTTGCCCCGGTGGACCTCAAACCAAGATCCTCCTGATCTCAGTCCCTCAAGTAGCTAGGATTATAGGGGCGAGCCACCACAGCTGGGCATATTTGCAGTTTTGACAATTATACGCACCTGCATGACCCACCCCTGCCGCACCCCAGTTGGTTGGTTTTGTTTTGCTTGCTTGTTTTGAATCTGGGTCTCGTGGTGCTGCACAGGCCATTGCCCTGCCTCGTCCAACACTTTTTTTTTGGCGGTGGCGGGGAGGCCGGGGTAGGGAGTGGTGGTGATGGGTGGAGAAGCAACCCGGGCCTTGTGCATGCATGTCTGGCAAGGTCTGCTCCTTGCCACCCCCGCCCAAGGGGTGAAGGACTCACGGGGGCACCCGGCCCCTAGGGCGGTGTGCCGGGCAGCGCACCTGCAGGACGCCCCTCTCATGCGCGCTCTCTGCAGGGGGAGAGGCTGAGCCACGCGGTGGGCTGCGCGTTCGCCGCCTGCCTGGAGCGGAAGCAGCGGCGGGAGAAGGAGTGCGGAGTCACCGCCGCCTTCGATGCCAGCCGCACCAGCTTCGCCCGCGAGGGCTCCTTCCGCCTGTCCGGGGGCGGCCGGCCCACCGAGCGCGAGGCTGCAGAGAAGAAAAAAGGTGGGTGCTGCTGCTGGGCAGGTGGGACAGGTGGGGCACGGGCATCTAGCTTATGCGAGAGACTCAGGGCGCTGCAGCTCCCCCAGGCAGGGTGTCAGCTCCAAGGCTGGTGACAGTCGCTACAGCACACCTCAGTCCAAGGAACTCCTGGGGACGTTTCTCAGGTTTCCAGGTTCCTCAAACCCTCCATGATCTGCCACATCAGGGGTGCCCAGGGCCTCACACTGTGCAGCGGCAACACCTAGGAGCTCTGTTTGCTGGTTAGTGACTAGCATTCCAAAAAAACCAAATAGAGCTGGGCATGGTGATGCAGGCCTGTGATCCCAGCTATGCAGGAGGCAGAGGTAGGAAGATCATGGTCCCAGGCTTTGGCAAAAAGCTGGAGATCCAATCTGAAAAACAACTAAAAGCAGAAAAGGGCTGGGGGGAGCATAGTTGAAATGGGGAGGGAGGAAAGGAAGGAAGGAGGAAAGAAGGAAGGGAGGGAGGGAGGAAGGAAGGAAATTGGAATACATCAGTAGAATGGGTTAAGTATCATTTAAAACTTCTTTTTCATGTGTAATGGGTTTTCTTATGTGTAATGGGTTACTACATAAAAGATATATCATATATATCATACTTCATTATCTTACATGGAGTTGCCATCAAGAAAGGGACGGGCACCTGTGGCTCAGCCTCTAATCCTAGCTACTTGGGAGGCAGAGATCAGGAGGATTGAGGTTTGAAGCCAGCCTGGGCAAATAGGTCTTGAGACCCTCTCTCCAAAAAACCCTTCACAAAAATGGGATGATGGAGTGGCTCAAGGTGTAGGCTCTGAGTTCAATCCCCACTATCACCAAAAAAAAAAAAAAGGCCAGGCTCCATGGCTCACACCTGTAATAATAACTATTTGGGAGGCTGAGTTCGGGAAGATCGAGGTTCAATTGCTAGCTTGGGCAAATAAGTTCTTGAGACCCCCATCTCCAAAATAACCAGAAGAAAATGGACTGGAGGTGTGGCTCAAGCATAGAGCACCTGCTTTGCAATTGTGATTCCCTGAGTTCAAATCCAGTCCCACCAAAAAAAAAGAGGACTGGCTGGGGCCTGACTCGGTGGTCCACTGTTTGCATATAGCATGCTGGAGGCCCTGGGTTCCATCCCCAGTACCTAAAAAAAACAAAATTGAAAAATACCTTATAAAGGGGGAGGAGGTGGCCCAAACAATGTATACACATGTGAGAAAATGTAATAATGATAAAATTAATAAAAAAGAAAAATACCTTATAGAAAAAATAATATTCTAGGTAAATGGCAAGTACTTCACAAGTTCTAAAACAGTCAGGGGTGAGGTTGATTTAGTTTGTTTTAAATATATTGCTTAAGCTGGCTTGGAACTTATGATCATCCCCCTGCCTCTGCCTCCCAAGTGCCCATGTGCTGGGACTACAGGTGTACACCACCACACCTAGCTTTAAAACAGTATATTTTAAAATGTTAACTGTATGTTTGCACTGAGTCACAGCTTTTTCCTATTTTTCCTTTTTTTTTCAGTGCTAGAATCCATATGCTAGGTAGGTGCTCTACCACTGAGCTGGTAGAGCTGGCTATAACCCCCAGCCAAATTCTAGTTTTGAAAGTTTGGCAAGCATTGCTTAGAATTTACCACTGAAACTGGTCCAGGTTTAAAAAGACTACAGAGATTTAACAGGTATGAGTAAATGCATGTGTAATCCTGAATTGGATTCTGGCTTGGAAGGGGAAAAGAAACTCTGGAAAAGACATAAATGTGACAGTGGGGAACTGTAGGTTAGACAGTGGCACTGCTCGCACGTTAAGCTTCCTGAGTGAACCTGTACTGTGCTATACGAGGATATCCTTGTTCTTAGGAAGAACATGCTGAAGGTTTCAGGGCTGATGATACAGGAAAAAAATATTGCAACAAGTATGGTAACTACTGTAGGTTAGCAACCTACAGGCTGACAGACACCACGGGCTTCTATTGTTCTATTATAATTTTTCTGTAAATTTAGAATATTTCTTCCATGCATGGCGGTGTACATGTATAATCCCAGCATTCAGGGGGTAGAGGCAGGAGGGTCAAGAGTTTGAGGGCAACAGAGTGAGATCTTATCTCAAAATTCCAAGAGCTGGGGATGTAGCTCAGTGGTAGCGTACTTCCCTAGCATGAAGAAGGCTAGGTGTAATCCCAGAACTATAGGGAAAAAGTCTAAGCAAAAAGTTAGGTAAATGGAATTTTTTTTTTTGAGACAGGGTCTTGCTATAACCCAGGCCGGTCTTGAACTCAAGATCCTCCTGCCTCAGCCTTCCGAGTGCTGGGATTATGAGCATGTACCACCATGCTCAGCTCTAAAAATGGAAATTTTTATCACTAGAATATTAGAGTTGACAAAAGACATTTTTATTTGTAAATTATATGACAATTTATAAGTCTCTCTACAGAGTTCTTCATAATTTGCAAAGCATGTTTCTGTCTATATCGCCTATTAGAATTTGTAAAGTACAGTCAACATAGGGCACGGTAGAGCATAGGATGTCTTATTGCTCACAGAGGACACACAGGCATGCAGTCATCCACCGTGTCCAGAGAAGTTTTTATTTGTTTGGTTTTCTTGTGGTGCTGGGGATCGAACACAGGGCCTTATGCATGCCAGGCGAGTGTTCTCCCACTGAGCTATATCCCCAACCCTTTCACTGTGTTCAAATACTTCTTTACCATTGACATAAGATATTAGAATTTAGGAAGAGAGTTGTGGGCTACAAAGCCCAAGACAGTTGCTTTTGCCTTTGCAAACAGTTTGCTGTTTCCAAGGGGCCTTCGCATTTCCAGGGCTTTTGCCCTGTGGAAAGAAAGCACTTTCCTGTTTGCACAGCCAAACATGAGTGTACAAAGTGAGGTGAGACTTACTGAGCCTCTCACCCATACTGTGCTACCCTATACTGGGTCACAGCCTGAGACCTGCGTTGAGCGCCAGCTCTGGAGTTGTTTACCAAGCTTTGGTTGGATTCTGACACATTGAGCGTTCGCCACCTTAACTGACCTTCTTGGGAGGCCTGAGGACATAGTCTAGGGTTGTTCATCCCAGTTGGGAGACTGCAGCCTAGAGAGAGAAGGGGACTTCCTAAAGTCACACAGTGAGGAGAGGGCAGAGGTAGTTTTCCTGGTTCCAACTTCTGGTCTATTTCCATGGCCATAGCCCAGGCCTGAATGGGCAGCTCATCACCTCTTTCTGGAATATGGGAGAAGCAGCTCTGAGTGACATCCCTCTGGGGGTCTCCCCAGCATTCAGGCTCCAGGTGGGCAAGGCCTGGGTTGGAGGATGAGTATGTGTTTGTGGATTGGCAGGGTGTGTGTGTGGGAGGGGGGACTGCCATTGAAGAGCCTGCCTTACAAGCAAGCCAAATGTAGAGAACAGGCTTCCACAGAGGTCAGAAGACAGTCCCAGACTGCAGGGGCCCAGGCTGAGGGGCTGGAACAATCTGGAATGCATCCTAGAGGATGAAATGCAGAAGCCAGGTCTAGAATGACTGATTGCAGCTGGAAGGAGTGGGGAGGTGGTTGAGGTGGGAAAAATGGTGGAAGGAAGAGAAGCAGAGAAGGACAGTGACAGAAAGACAGCATGCTCTGGAGAGTAAGCCAGAGGGAGAGACAGGTGAGGCAGCCATTGAAGCACAAACTCCCCTTCCTAGCAGCATGATGTGGGTAGGCCATTGGCCTTTGCTGGGCCTCATTTTTCACATCTGTAAAATGGCGATAGTCTCAGCCTCATGGGTGGTGGTGCTGATTGAGTAAGTTAATACAGTAGAGCCCCGGTATCCTCACGTATGTGGTCACGCGGAGACGCTGTGGAAGAAAACCCATGCATGCTCAGGATGCAGAGTTCAGCGCTGTACTGAGGATGCCAGGTTCATTTTCCCATAAGCCACCCAACTTTGGCTAAAAACATGCCACCTTTTAACCAATCTCAAATTATAAAACTGTCACTTTACACTTAAATTGAGCACGTTCACTTTTACATTGCTTTTGGGGCATTATTTGCTTTTTTTTTTTTTTTGTCAGGAGCTGGGGTTTGAATCATTTGCTTTTTGGGAGGCAGATTTTCATAAAATTAAGGGCAGGGAAATACTCAGCAGAGCACACAGTGATTTAGACACAACTAATGATAACGAGAGATTTTCCACATCCACTGAGCAGTGTAATGCGCACACCGAAATTTAAGATTTTTGTTTGTGAAATTTCTTTTTTTGCAGTGCTGGGAATTGAATCCAGGGCCTTGAGCAAGTGCTCTACCACTGAGTACATCCTCAGCCTCTCTTTTGATTTAAAAAGATTATTTATTTTTTAACCTTGCGGGGTCAAAACCATGTATAATAAATCCATGAATAAGGTGGATACTATGTTTGCAAAGCTGCTGAAACAATGCCTGACTCGTTATTCATGAAAAGCATCAGAAAGGGGAATGGAGGGCCAGGTGTGGCAGTGTAGAGCTGTCATCCCAGATACTCTGGAGGCGGTGGTAGGAGGACCACAGTTCAAGGCCAGCACCAGGCAAAGTTAGAAAGAGATAGTGTCTGAAAAACTAACGAAAAACAAAAGGACTCAGGGCATCGCTCAAGTGGTAGAGAACTTGCCTAGCAAGCGTAAGGCCCTGAATTCAACCCCCAATACCACAAAAAAAGAAAGAGAGCTAGAGGTGTCCAAGGGAAAAATGGGGAGAGGCGCGGAGGAGGGCTGAGAAGGGGCCGAAGCACAGAGGCCCAGTTGGAGGAGATTCCCCAAGGATGTCCTCTGGGCAGTGGTCTTGGCTGGGCTGGGGTGGGGGTGCCGCAGAGCCCCAGCCCTCTCAAGGGCACATCAGGTAAGGAAGGCAGACTTAGGGAATGACGGAGACCTAGGGTGGGAAAGGTCTGGGATGCCAAGGTGAGGTGTCTAACTATCTTCCATATCTCCAGCAGAGGCAGCAGCTGCCCCCACTGTGGCTCCTGGTCCTGCTCAGCCTGGGCATGTGTCCCCGACACCAGCCACCACATCCCCTGGCGAGAAGGGGGAGGCAGGCACTCCAGTGGCTGCAGGAACCACTGCTGCTGCCATCCCCCGGCGCCACGCCCCTCTGGAGCAGCTGGTTCGCCAGGGTTCCTTTCGTGGCTTCCCAGCGCTCAGCCAGAAGAACTCACCATTCAAACGGCAGCTGAGCCTCCGGCTGAATGAACTGCCATCTACACTGCAGCGCCGTACTGACTTCCAGGTGAAGGGCACAGGTGAGTCCCAGGCTTGGCAGGAAAGGTATCAGACTCAATTGCACTGTCTGCTGTGGGCAAGGGATAGAGGACAGGTGTACACACTGATCAATTGGCACTGTCTACCAAAGGCAAACAATAGACCTGTGGCATGGATCATGATCAGTTAACAATGTCTGTCATGAGCAAGGAATACAAGAGAGGTAACATGAGCCAAGAGTGGTGGTGCACACCTGCGGTTCTAGCACTTGGGAGGTTGAGTCAGGAGGATCGCAAGTTCAAGGCCTGCCTGAGTAACATACACAGCAGCGGTAGCACAAGTCGTGACTGATTAGCCACATCTATTAAGGGTATAGCAGAAAAGTAGCACGGTCACGATCGGTTAACCATGTCTTCTGGGGTTCAGGGAAGGGAGCATAGTCTGCTCCAGGCTATTGAGTCTTCTATGGGCAAGGGAAAGAAGAGAAGCCCTGGTTTTGCTCAGGACTCAAACACCTGAGTTCACTGCTTCTTCCAAGCATTTGGCCAATAGAGCCATGACTCAGGAGAAAGGAGAGCTGGGAACCTGTGGTAATCCTAGCTATTGGGAGGCTGAGTTCAGGAGGATCGAGTTTTGAGGCCCACCCAGGCAAAATAGTTTACAAGACCCCATCTCCAAAATAACCAGAGCAAAATGGACTGGAGGTGTGGCTCAAGTGATAAAGCATTTGCTTTGGGATCACAGTGCCTTGAGTTCAAACCCCAGTCCCACTTAAAAAAAAAAAAAAAAAGAGAGAGAGAGAGAGAAAGGTTATAATGGATTAGCAATGTCTGGCTAGGGCAAGGAGGATAGAGGGATGGCAACAGACATACTGATTTCCTAATGATGTCTGCCATGAGCAAGGAGAGAGGTGACACACACATGATTAAATAAGTACAAGGCCATGGGAGAAGGCAGAGGAGAGGGCAGCAGGGTGTTTTGTTTTTGCTCAAAGGAGAGACTCCCAGAATTTGGTCACTGGAGCCATGAGATCCATCCAAGTAAGGAATAAGGTGAGCAAAGACGTCAGTGGGGAAGAAAAGCATTGTGTTTGATTATTAATGTCTGCCATGGGCCAGGGAGAGGAGAGAAGTGGCTCAGTTTCCTAGCTTGCCCTTCCAGCAGTCAGGGAAGCCATGTGGTCTGTCCCACTCTGCTACTCCATATGCCATATCTGGGACACCTGCCCCTCTGGTGGTGAAGGTTGGTGTGGGAAGGTGTTGATTTGTATCTGCCACACTGGGCTGCTCCAAAAGGTAATTTTTGAGCAGATGCCAATGTGTGTCGAGAATGATGCACACCACTCAGTGTCCTGCAGCATTCCTTGGTGTCATACGCCCTCACGTTTGCTGTCCTCATGCAGCCTGACATTAAACACACGCCCAGGGCTGTCACACATGCTCCCTGAGAGGTGGCAGCCTCCCCAGGCTCAGTTTGGAAGCTCACACTCCTTGGCCATCTGCATATGTGTGTGGTTGTGACTTGCCACGCAGAAACTTCGCAGATGTACAGTGATGTCCCACTCTTACATATGTCACACTCAGGAGACACGCACACTCAGAAATCACACACCAGATTTACACACACTCACAAACCACACACCTGGCTGCACACAACTCGGAAGCCACACTCACAAACACTCCTACGTCACACAGGCAGAATCACTCACACTTAGCTGCCACACATTTGAGCTTTGAGTCACAATCAGAGACCACGTCCTCAAATACTGTGTGCCTGGATGAATACACACAGCTATCTTACATTGACCTGGAAGCCACTCCCGACCTGGGTCCCCACATCACACCTGCTGACTTGCTACAGCCTCTTCTTTCTGATGTTCATGGAGCATTCCTCCTGCCCCATGGAGACAGCCACTTGCTAAAGCGTCACAGACATTTGTCACACATGACATATGGCAATCCTTAGCTTATTTGGATGGTACCTTAGTTCCTCCCAAGCCCTCTCAGGCCACCACACCTGTTCTGTATCTCCTACTTTGCTGGTACAGGGGCATGTCTACCCTGGTGATAGGCCAGACCAGATTGGGTGGCCATGAGACTTGGCTGTTGTACCACTCAGATGTCACACACACACACACACACACACACACACACACACACACACACACACACACGCACGCAGTTATTGTAGTGGCCATGGCCACCTAGTGACTCCAGAGTGGATGCACCAACCTACATCCTTAGGAAGGAAAAGGACCCAGGTCATAGAGGGCCTCCTTGCTGACCTCTGCCCTTCCCTGACTTCCCAGTACCTGAGATGGAGCCTCCAGGTGCCAATGACAGTGACAGCATCAATGCTTTGTGCACACAGATCAGCTCATCTTTTGCCAGTGCTGGAGCACCAGCATCAGGGCCACCACCTGCCACAACAGGTAAGCCAGCCTTTCCACTGTGCCGACACCCTGCAGTGCCCCTCCCACATTCCCCTTCTCCATTCAAGGGCAGCTTGGAGACCTCAGGAATCTGGGATGGTTCAGAGTTCGAACTAATGGTCATCATAGAGCCACGGGCTGGCCTTAGAGCCAGGAGATCCCCTTAGAACCACAGGATCATCTTAGAGCCATAGACTAGCTTAGAAACATCGGATCCACTTAAAACTATGGGTCATCTTAGTACTATGCAATCATCTTTGAACCACGAGAGCCTGTGACATTCGGAGGCATTGGCTCATCCTAAAACCACAGGATCACCTTAGAACCAAGAGATCATTTTAGAACCATGGATCATCTTGGAACCATGAGCTCATCCTAGAACCATGGGAGCACCTTAGACTCTCAAACAGTGTAGACCTCTGCAATCTTAGGAAACACAGTCTTAAGACTGATGAGCCAGGCACTGGTGGCTCACGCCTGTAATCCTAGCTACTGAGGAGGCAGAGATCAGGAGGACCACAGTTCAAGGCCAACCTGGGCAAATAGTTTGCAAGACCCTATCTCGAAAAAAACCATCACAAAAAAAGGCTGGTAGAGTGGCTCAAGGTGTAGGCCCTGAGTTCAAACACCAGTACCACAAAAAAACAAACAAACAAAAAACCCTAGTGAGCCTCACTGACTGTGGTGGAATCTTTGCCTCCTAAAACAATACACCCCAAGTACTAGAATCAAAGATGGTTTTATATATGTATGTATGTATGTATATATTTTTTTCCAGTGCTGGGGTTTGAACTCAGGGCCTTACACTTGCTAGGCAGGTGGTCTACCACTAATACTCAAAATATTTAATATCAGTTGTGGCCCTGACCAGTGAGAAGGGCAGTAGGACCAGGTGAGCATCAGTCCTACCTTGGCCTCTCCATCCTAGGGCTGTGGAGTGTCAGCATTGTAAGTTCTCAGCCCTGCAGACCCATTATGTGGTCTGGAATGGTTAAGCCCTTGTGTGAGGTCAGTACAGCTAGAGAGTTCAGCTGGGATTCAGAGGCAGGCAGTGAGCCTGTGCTCTGATCCCCAGGCTCATCATACTCCCAGCCAGGGGTTCTTCCATTGTAGCCTGTGCCCTTCACCTGCCTCTCCTCTCTCGTCTCTCCAGGGACTTCTGCCTGGGGTGAGCCCTCTGTGCCCCCTGCAGCTGCCTTCCAGCCTGGACATAAACGGACACCTTCAGAGGCTGAGCGATGGCTAGAAGAGGTGTCTCAAGTGGCCAAGGCACAGCAGCAGCAGCAGCAGCAGCAACAGCAGCAGCAGCAGCAGCAAGCAGCCTCTATGCCCCCAGTGCCCACCATGCCCCCTTCCCTACAGCCCTTCCCCGCCCCTGTGGGGCCCTTTGATGCTGCACCTGCCCAGGTGGCTGTGTTCCTGCCACCCCCACACATGCAGCCCCCATTTGTGCCCACCTACCCAGGCCTAGGCTACCCACCCATGCCTCGGGTGCCTGTGGTGGGCATCACCCCCTCGCAGATGGTAGCCAATGCCTTCTGCTCAGCTGCCCAGCTCCAGCCCCAGCCTGCCACCCTGCTTGGGAAAGCTGGGGCTTTCCCACCCCCTGCTGCACCCAGTGCCCCTGGGGGCCAGGCCCGTCCACGCCCTAATGGGGCCCCCTGGCCCCCAGAGCCAGCACCTGCCCCAGCCCCTGAGTTGGACCCCTTTGAGGCTCAGTGGGCAGCATTAGAAGGCAAACCTGCTGTGGAGAAGCCTTCCAATCCCTTCTCTACTGACCTGCAGAAGACCTTCGAGATTGAACTGTAGCCCAAGCTGCCCTGCCCACCCTGTCCTCCCCAGGTGTACCACACCTGGGAGTGGAGGTACAACCTCTCCCCTATCCTCCCTGGGGCTGTGCCCCTCAGTACCCCCTCTAAGACCTTCTCTTCACCACCCCTCACAACCACTACAGAACCAATATTGTGATGCCCACGTTGCAACAGGATGGAATTCAGGGATGGACCCAGCCTGACTAAAGGAGCCATTTCACTGCCGGAATTAGGCTGGCAGTGCTCCTTCCCCAGCCCCAGACAGAGATGGCCGCAGTCCCACAGAATGCCCAGTTCAAACTACATTTCCCAGTTTCTGTTGACCTTCCACCTTCCAGTGTTGGGCAGGATGGAGGAGGGATGCTCATTTAGGGGCTCTCCTGGACCCACCCCAAGTCTGGTTGTCTCCTTCCCCGCCACACAGCACAAGCTAAGGGCTCCCCTCTGCCCACACTGCGTTCACTGCCAATGCTGTGCTCACCCCACTGCCTCCCCTGATCATTCGGGCCCTCATCATTTGGAGGCTGAGGTCTCATGGGGCAGGGGCCAAGTTGGGGGCCCAGGAGGCAAGGGAGGGGGGAAGAAGATGCTCAGTTACCTCATGTCGGTGCCCGCTGGGGAGGGGTCCCGGAACAAGGGGAAGAGGTACCTGGCGGGTACTTTTCTATCTTTTATTTCCAGATTTTTTTTGTATCTAAACTTGCAGATTTGTATTATACAAGGACAGCCAATAAAGGAAGAATATAACAGTGGCCCTCAGGAAAGCGGGGTTGCAGAGGCTGTGTGTGTGTGTGTATATAGAAGGAGCAGGGTTGCAGAGGCTGTGTGTGTGTGTGTGTGTGTGTATAGAAGGAGCAGGGTTGCAGAGGCTGTGTGTGTGTGTGTGTGTATAGAAGGAGCAGGGTTGCAGAGGCTGTGTGTGTGTGTAGAAGGAGCAGGGTTGCAGAGGCTGTGTGTGTGTGTGTGTGTGTATAGAAGGAGCAGGGTTGCAGAGGCTGTGTGTGTGTGTGTGTGTATAGAAGGAGCAGGGTTGCAGAGGCTGTGTGTGTGTAGAAGGAGCAGGGTTGCAGAGGCTGTGTGTGTGTGTGTGTGTAGAAGGAGCAGGGTTGCAGAGGGTGTGTGTGTGAGTGTGTGTGTGTGTATAGAAGGAGCAGGGTTGCAGAGGGTGTGTGTGTGAGTGTGTGTGTGTGTGTATATAGAAGGAGCAGGGTTGCAGAGGCTGTGTGTGAGTGTGTGTGTGTGAGTGTGTGTAGAAGGAGCAGGGTTGCAGAGGCTGTGTGTGTGAGGAGGATGTGATCTCCCTGAGCAATACATCTGAGTCATAACTCAGGGATCAGCACCTGCCACATGGGTATTAGAGGAGCCCAAAATTAATCACCCCGTTTCTATTATTAACAGACTTTGAGCCAATGGATAAGAAATGCAAGTTCTAAAGTACTGCTAATTGGTCAAATTCAACATTCCATATAAATAGTTTTGCAGTAGTGTATCTTTGACCACACTGGTAAATTCAGCCATAACTCAGGCCTGATACAGCCACATGTCTTAAAGGCTCTCTATATTTTTAAGAATATTGCTTGGGGATGTAACTAAGTGGTAGAGCAATGCCTTGCATGCACAAGACCTTGGGTTCCATCCTCAGCATCTCTCTCTCGCTTCTCTCTCTCTCTCTCACACACACACACACACACTGTATTATTTATAGCTCTTTCAAATGAGATGATTGATTTTGTGCAACCCAATATTCTATCCCCATTGGATACATGGGCAAGTGGAGTCACTCGCCTAAGGCCACACATCTGATTGGTGGAGGATCTGGGACTCAAACCCAGCCTCTGGCCAACCTCAAGGCGCATCACTAAACTAACCAGGCTAAGAAGTAAACCTAGGATCTGCCCTCCAGAGTTTCCATCACAGCCCATTAACATGCTCGGAGAATCCAGGACCAGGGGAACTGACGAACAGCTCTGCAAGTGCACAGGCATCCCCCAGGGAGGGAAGAGAGGGCTCTGCTAGAGATAAGCCATGCTTCGTCACCTCCAAGCCTTTGCCTGTGCCATTTCCTTTGTCTACATGCCCTTCCCCCACCTTCTCCCAGAGAATGCTGGTCACTAAGTCCAGCCAGGACTCCACAGCCTGGAGCCCCATCCTGTCTTTTTTTTTTGTCAGTACTGGGGTTTGAACTCAGGGCCTATGCCTGGTGTCACTCCAACAACCCTCTGTGTGTGTGTGATGGGTTTTTTCAAGATAGGATCTCACTAACTATATGCCTGGGCTGGTTTTGAACCATGGTCCTCCAGATCTCTGCCTCCTGAGTAGCTAGGATTGCAGGCATGAGACACGGGCACCTGGCATCATTCTGTCCTTTTAGTCTTGGGTTTAGACAGCTCTTTACCACACTCCCCAGACTGGGTCAGGAAGTACCTCCTTTGGGACCCTGGGCTTATCCATCAGATCTCTGACCCACCCTGGGCTGTCACTATCCTTGACCCACTCTGGGTCTGTAGCAGGTCTGTCTGCTCCACTGGACTGTGAGGAGAGGAGGGTCCAGTGCTCTCTCATCTCTCCCGTGTCCCAGCACAGGGCCAGGCACAGAAGAGGCAGTCTCAGCTGCTCACCTCTGCCAGCGACTGGGAACTGAGCTAAGTAAAAGAGCCTAGAACCGGGGCAGAGATGGTTTGGAGCTATAGGTCAGAGGGGTACAGCACGCAGCCATCATGGACTGACTCAAGGCCACGTCCAGGTGCCCAGAGCGGTCTTTTCGCTGAGCTCCTCCACATCAGCCCCACAGATGCAGGTGGGAAAGGCGACACCAGGGGCAGCTCCTCAGCGCCGCATCGCTGGAAGATCTTTCATGGGCCCCTCTTGGCCACATACCCCATCTTCCCTTCCATGCCCTGGATGGAGACTCTCGCTCTTTTTTTTTTTTTT